AAGAGATGTTTTGGTGGTGGAGCAAGAGTTATTGGGGGGAGCATGAGCGTTGTGCGTATGTCTATCGAATAGTTGGCCGTGTAGTGGTCGGAAAGTAATCACGATGTGTTGTACGCGATGGGCTGTGACACGTTTTTGCACTCGCAGCCTCGGAATCCGCTAGTCTCGCCGGGGGTAAATCGACCCGAAAATGGCACCTGGTCCACCGGGGCATTCGGGCAAATTGGACGTAGTGGTGTAGCGGTATTTTGGGGAGAGTACGGTAGCGAACAGTTGCCGTTTTTTGAAGATTAAAGCGAGAAATTATGAGAAAAATCGCTAATTACATCGATTTTTTGCTGTAAATTAACGTTTACCCTTAAATTTTGTCGATTAAAATATGCAGAATTTTCCCAGGCATTTTACTTCGTACCGTACCTGCATATAGTTGTTTTTGATTATATTTATATCTTTCAAATAATTACGTTTTTAAAATGAGCTAGATTATTGCCCAATTATGCCAATTTTGCCGATTTTTAAATATTTTCAAGGCCAAATTTTCTGGATTACTGTAAATACCGTGTTTTTTCAAAATATGTAGATTTAAATTAATCTTTTGATAACTGTGGAAAATCCCGAATTTTGTAGATTTCTCCATTTATAATTTAAAAATGGCCTCGATTACTGTAGGATTTTCTGAATTTTGTCGATTGAAACGACTAAAAATTTACACGCTCGAATTTTCTGGATTACGGCAGATCCCCATTTTTTCAGAAAATTTATAGCTTCAAATTAAGCCCCAATTACCGTAGAATTCCCCAAAATTCAATCAAATTAAAAGCGAGCCCTAATAAAGGCCTTTCGCTTGAAATAATGTCGGCTTAAACCCTAAAATATTACCTCCACAATTTCGCCCTTTTCAAATAAAAGGAAAAGCCACCAGAAGCCGACGGCCAATTTGAGGTTTGCGACGTGAAAAATGGGCTTTCCTGGGGGTCACGATATGTAAATGAGAGGGTGCGACGCGGGGCCCGAAACGAGGACCTTCCACAGAAAAATGGGCAAATTTCATTTTCATTTCATTTTCGGGAAAGGCTCCGAATTGGGGTCCCCTAATTCGTATTCAAGTGTACGATCTAATTCTGATGTGATGGCTGGTGGAGGTCTGGCTGGTCGTGTGGGTTTCGGGGGTTTTCGGGGGGTATTTGGTTAGTTTTGGGGCGCACTTCAGCGAAAGGTCAGTTTCGTGAGGTTTTTTAAAAGGGCCGAGCAAAGCTCGGAGACAATGGAAGTTATGCAAATTAGTTGAATTCAAATTACGAGCTCCTTTTTGTCAGAAAACAGTGAACCTAAGTTTCTGCGCTTGGCGATTCTTAAATTCTTAACTCTAAAATTTGCATGTTTAAGTTTAAAGCTGTTTGAAACTTTAAAGCAACCTTGAAAGATGGTAGGTTATGGATATTCTGCAAATTCGCTAAATTCGAATTATCTAGTTTAAGTTAATAACGACAAATAATAACCCGTATCTTCTGAGCATTAAAATCTGGCATATAGCCCATTTTCAAGGGAAGTTTAAGGCTGGGAGGCAATGGATTTTATGCAAATTAGTGAATTTTGAACTTTAGTTTTTAGAAATAGGAGAAAAGGGATCATTGCAAGAATTCCGATTATGTCTGAAATGACTAAAAAGTCGCGTCGTAAAATTTTGAAGCTGCGCGTAAATGGCAGGCTATAAATTTTATGTAAATTATAAAATTAGGGGGAATGAATGATTTTTAAAACAAGCATTAAAAAATTTTTCAATTCTTGGATTTGGGACAATTTTATGTACTTTCTACTTTTCTTTCAATTCCTTTCCGAAACCCTACCAGTTCCGGCGGTGCCAAATAGTTCTCTGAATCCATTCCCCCTCCCCGGATAGGCTACATTTCCCTGCCAAAAATTAACAAGGCCGGGCCACGCCTCTGGGATTTCGGGTATTGGGACCTGGTTGCCGGCTCAGCCATACCACTAATTACCGGTGAAAAAGGAGACCTGGGGAGGTTGAGAGATTGCGGGGAGGAGTTAGAGGGGAGGGACAGTACACTCAAGAGGAGCACGAGCTAGGGAGAGACGCAGAGAAACAAAGATAACAGCCCGAAACAAGGGCTGCGTGTACAAATTTGTACCGCGCCACGCAGGGATTGCAGTTGGCAAGGCTGTGGGGTGGGTGGAAAAGCCTTTGGGGCCCCTCCAGTGGGGCCCTGGGCCCTTTCTCTGGCTCTCTCTCTCGCTCTCTCTGTCCCTCTCTCCCTCTCCTTTCTCGGGCATGTGGCCAGGGAAAATTGGTGATTGCAGAAAAGAAGAAGAAAAGAGAAGAAGAGGAAAAGGAATCTCTGGCCTTCACCCCCGTAAAAAGAAGAGGGGCCCCTCAAAAAGACTTCACAAGGGCCCCTGGCGGCCCATCGATCGCCCCTAGCGGCCCTGTTTTTCTATGGGGACTCTCTTGAAATGGCATATTCTCTAGCAGCCCTTTCCCCCCTACCACACACACCCACAGACATCCACCAAAATACGCGAAAAGCCGCTCTCTTTTGGTTTCCTCTTTTTTAGAAATGGGCATGGCAAGACAACAATTGGCGAACAACGGATTTTGAAGCAACAAGGAGGCTTCATTTTTTGGGGTTAAGGTTTTTTTGTTTGAGCTTTGCATGGAAAAATCGGGTGGGAAATTAGGACCTACATCGAAGGGATGAGAAAGCGAGAGAGAGAGAGAGAGAGAGCGAGAGAGAGGGAGGGAGAGAGAGAGAGAGAGAGAGAGAGAGAGAGAGAGAGAGAGAGAGAGAGAGGGAGGGAGGGAGGGAGGGGGAAAAAAAAAGAGAGCGAGGGAGAGATATTGTCACAGAAAGCGACTGCGACAAATTTTTAGTTTTTGAATTATTCATAAACATTAAATACGCTTTTTTTGAAACGTTTCTAAAGTTTAAGTCGTGGCTTGATATGCGAATGTTAGGAATTTTATAGATATAGCAAGAGGGAAGAGAGAGGAAAGAGAGAGTGAAAGAGAGAGAGAGAGCGAGTGAGAGAGAGAGAGCGAGAGAGTGCGTGTGAAAAACCGAGAGAGCTATTGAGCGAGCAATAAAAAGCAAAAACGTAGCTATACAGTTTAAAATCCTTTAAACCCGACAAATTCCAAAAACACAAAAATATCGAAAAATCACCGTTTCCCCGTATATCCGCCATGCTCTCGATTCCATATAATCTCCTTCAACGATATCAGCGATCTCCGTCGATTCAAAACTGACACTTTGCCAGCCGGGCCCATTTCGCTAAAAATCAGAATTTCCGCTACGTTACTACAAACAGACCATCAACCCAGGGCACAGCTAATCAAAATCCACCGCCTTTCCGTGATGCCGTGAAGCCGGCGATTTCACTCCGTTCCCACACTCACAACGTTGAAGAAGGAGTTACCGCAAGGAAGACCCTAAAAAGTAGATAAAAAAGGGAAGCCCTTTTTTCACTTATCCAAACTCCAAAAAAATTGGTCCCGACTTACCAGATTATAAAAAATCCATAACGCCAGCGGTATTGGGGTTTCAGCAGCTTGAAAAACGTGGTTAAGCGGAAGGAATCCTGGGAGGGGCCGTTTTTTCGCCCGATTTGTTCATCTACATTTTGGTTATAATTGTTGGGTAGTGGTGACGGTGGTTGAGGGGACTGAATATCCAAGGTGGCAATTTGTTTTGGCGTGGCTGAGGGACGAGGCGACAATTTGGCTTTGGAAGGCCTCGTCAAAGGCCCGGTTTTTTTTAGGGATTTCCAGCTTCATATTTCTTGGATTGAAGAATTGGAGAAGTTGGGATAACGGAATTTGAGCTTTTGGTCGGGAGGCTGGGGCTAAGGCTGGTCTTTGTTGTTGCCTTAAGGAAGCTAGAGAGTTGAACTTCTTTGTGAAGTGCGGTAAAAATGTCTTCCAAACTTAAAAAAAATCAGGCTCCAAACTTCGGAATGCCGCCTCAATTTCATTTTCCAGGTCCACGACATCGTCAAGGCGTTTGCTTAGAATCTGCCGAATTTAATGAAGATTTCAAGCGACTCCCTAGTAGAAATTCTGACGAGGCTGAACTCGCTAAAGACGTCAGAAAACCGCTAGAAGTTTTTTTTCGAAATTCACGACACCCTCAAGACGTTCCGTTTGATGACTAATAGCTGTCTCAACTACCGGTAATTCCCAGAGACTCATGAGTACAAGTTCGAATCCGGTTGTACGAAATTTAGAATTTGTATACGATTACGGCAAAACCTCTAGAGCTTCAGCATCCAGATCCACGACATCTTCAAGACGTTCGGCCTCCGGACAACTTCAATGTAGTAATCAGACTCGATCAACCGGTGAAAAACTTCAGAAAGACAACCTGAACTTCATCTTCCACGCCCGCGACACGCTCAAGAGGTTCGACCTTACACTGTAGAAGATGTGTGCTAACGAGGCCCAAAAGACCTTTTAAAAAACTTGTGCTGTAAATAGGCTTGTTCTGCTCGAAGTTCTGCGGCTTCAAAGACCATGGATCCATCAACAATTTAAGGAGTTTAGAAAATCGGCTTCTACCATATCCGAAAACTTTAGATTTATAGCAGATCTTGATGGCTCTCATTAATGCGTCTGATCTCTAATATCGGAAACTTTAACCTATTGCCATTCTTCTCAACAATATCAAGGTATTTTAAATTTGTTTCTCGATTTTCGCTATTTTATTTTTTACGTTTCTCGCCTCCCCCTTCCACTCCCCTTCCATGGCCTAAGCGTTTCTAGGCACCCTTCGTAGCCCCCACCCTGACTCTCCCGATTGAGGACCAAGAAAGGAGGAAGAGGACACGCACGCATCTCTCCCTCACAACATCCCCTAGGGAGGACATGTGACAAACCTAATTCTTACAAATTCGCCACTTCACGTTGCTATGGGGTCATAATTAAAATATTCGTTGAAGAAGAGCCCTCTTCATTTCTATCCTCCCCCAAAAACTACCTCCGCTGCCGAATGTCCGACCCATTGCAGCCGACGCCACCCGTTCAAACTGTTCAGCACCAAATCCTGGACGTAGCGGCGGCTGCGGCCAAGATTCGCGAGTTTAGAAGGAAAATAGGTATCGAGATTTACTTAATTAGATGTAAAAAATACAAAAACACTTCAAATTTGGCCGTTTTCTATCCAATTGGGTCCAAATTTTAACCAGCGCTGAAACCAATACAGGGTGTGCAAAAAAAAAAGACCACAGTTTGGGTCGAAATAACTCGCGAACGGTAGAGAATCGAAGGTACGTTACCATGCCAGAATGCTTAAATATGCTGGGTATGAAGATTTAACACAACTTGATTTTTTCGATTTTTGAGTACGCAACTGTACTATTGACGCCGGTTACGACCGAAAATTGTGCGTTCTTGAACGGGAGGTGGGAAAATTCTGATTTTTGGCCTAAAAATAGTATAATTTTGTAAAAATGTAATGGTAAAATCTTAGAATTTATCGAGGTCAATTTCATTTTTTAAAAGCAAAACAATTTTCGCGATTTTGCGTTATTTTTGTTCTTTGAGTCATAACTGGCTTATAAATCGCTGCCCATGGCTGATATTTTGTCTATGACCTATCCAAATATTAATCTCGGATTCCACACCAAATTCCACCACAATCTATGGTATTTTTGTATTGCTTGCTAAAACGTGCCCCAGCGGGGGTACTGTAGGTTTCGCTTTTCCCACTTTTCTCGGGGCCCCTAGCTTCGATTTGGCTAAAATTTTCTGGGTTGTTAGGCAATAAGTAGGGGCACCTTACTGCCAAATACGAGAGCGTACTATCCACAAACTTTCATGAAAAAGACTAAAAACAGATTTTTTAATTCTGCGGCAGAATTTTGTAAATTTTTTGGTCAATTGGTCCAAAAACTGCTACTATTGCTTTTCCGAAAAGATCGAAGCGATTTCATGGCAAAAACACCACGAAAATCGCAAATTTTGGTTTTCTACAGTAACCCACGTGGAGCGCGTTTTAGCATGCCATCACAAAATTCCATAAAGTGACGATTTTTCTATTCGAGGGCCTTCTAGAGTTGATTGTAAGATAACCTGTCAAAAATTATTGATTTTTGGTGGTAAATAGCAAAGTTACGAGACAAAGTGCAAAACAAGGCAGAGAGCCGATTTTGGGTCCGAGTAGCCGGGTCAATTTTCGAAATTTTAAAAATAAAAAAACCACCTGCTTCTTATGGATACGATTAAAGATTTGATGTTTTTATCTACGCCCGTCAAATTTGGGGGCAATATGGTGACTTTCAGCTCAAAATCGAAGATCACCCTATTCCAAAATCTAAATTTAGAAATCTTCTTAAAATGTTTGCGACATGAAATTGCTTTAATCTTTGCATAGTTTTATTCAACTGATGGCACTGTCTTATTGCTCAAAACATCCCTACGACTCCACCTTCCAAAATTTTTTTACGCAACCTCGAATTCGGTTTATTTCGGGTTTTGATGAATTTTCTTGGCGGGAACGCCTGGTTAAAAAAATTCATGAATAAGGCTTTAGGATGCGCTATTCAAATTATATCAGATAAAAATAAAACAAAAATTTTCAAAGCGCGACTAAATTTTATAAAATGGTGACAATATTCGGAAAAAGCACGGACGAACCGTTTTGGAGGCCCTAAAAGACGCCCTTCCAAAGGGGTACGGTAGCTCGAAATTTTGTAGAAGATAGAGAAACCCCAGTACTACATAGCTAAGCAAAGAAAACAGATGAGTCACCTTTGGCAATCTAGAAATATTTTTCCAAAGTTGGGTTTCGAGACCTGGAAAAATCCATGACCAGGGGGGTCGTTGAAAAACTCGAAAATTCGTCGATCTCAAAAAATTCCTTAATATGTTTATGCGATTGTGTCAAGCCCGTAGGTATTCCACAACAACTGATTTTGAGGTTTTCGCCATAGGTTTTTTCAATATTAAAAATTTTCGAAATTTCTCCATACAAAATTTCATTCCTCTCTAACTTTTCAACCAGACCCTCAAAAATTCTTAAATTTTGTAGGTACATATCTGCTGCCGAAATTAACTTACTTAATAAAAATTAGATGCCAGCCACCACAGGAAACTGAGAAAAATACAAATGAAGTTTCCCCGAACGCACAGTTTTCGGGTGTCATTTGTATTGATACGTCGTCAAAAATCGAAAAAATCAAGTTGTGTTAAATCTTCATACCCAGCATATTTAAGCATTCTGGCATGGTAACGTACCTTCGATTCTCTATCGTTCGCGAGTTATTTCGACCCAAACTGTGGTCTTTTTTTTTTTGCACACCCTGTAAAAACTCATACAGCCGAATTTTAATGTAAATCTTGTAAACCAAAAAATGTTATCGCTAAAAACCAATTTTCTTTCTTAGATCCGGTCTTTGCTTAAATTCTTAGGCAGCTAAAATGGGCATTTTCTGGTTTAGTTCTGTTTGATACTCAAAATAATTTGTGCGTTTAAATAAAAATTTTGTAGCTTAAAAAATTTTTACAACTTGAAAAATCGCATTCTGAATTTTTCTTAAACAAAAATCGAGTCGAAAGCCGTCAAAATCGTAATTAAATCGACGAATACACATTGCATTTAGCCATAATTTTTTTGTTTTACAAAATTTGACAATAAAAATTGGGCTGCAAATTGTTTATATTCTTTTACAGCATTCGTAAAAACTTCAATCCAATTAGATACAAGCCGCCAAATTGCAAGGGTTTATTTACATAATTTAGCCAATGGCATGACTCAAATCATCCCGGATTTATATCTGGGCAGCCTGAGGGACGCTAGAGATGAGGACCAGTTGAAAAGATACAAAATTAAGGTATTTTTCATAGTTTTTTTATGAAAAATCCTTTAGCGAGTTGTGTCCATCCACAAGCACAATTCGTACTGTCAAGTCCATGAAGCTTTGGGCATTAATGTGCTTCAAATCGAGATCGACGACCTGGCTTCATGCCCCATTTCCGAGCACTTCCAACAGACAGTGCTTTTCATACATCATTCTAGGATTGCTAAAGGTAGGAAGATTGGGTGAGGTACAGTAGTTTACAAAATACAGTATGACCAATCGGCGAATTCTAAATTCAATCTGAAAAGTCGAAAACAAATTGATCAAATTGTTATTAAACGCCTTCTTCGAAACATTTACACTTTTTTTATCCATTACGTGGGATGAAATTTGGCTTTACGCTATACGAGTGTAATTCAGCCTCTAAAGAATAATAAATTGTACTATCCTAGTAACTGCATTGTGCACTGAATACTTAGTATGAAAAACGAGTGCTATTAGGGCAGTTGGGTACAGAAAGCAACTGCCTGTGCGTTCTCCGGATGCTCCCCGCCCTTTCCCCACTCGCCCCCCATCTGGACCACCCCCCGGACTGAGGTTCGAGAGACAGGGCCAGTGGGCAGTGCGGGAGTACGTCGAATAAGTAAAAATGAAACGCTCATTCCCTCGGGAAGTCCATGCAACTTTTTGTATGACGACCTCGGGTATCCTCTCGAAAGAGAGATACTTCGGGGTCTGACAAAAATTTGCATCGGCTTTTGGGGGAGGGCCACACCCTCAGGGATCTATTTTGCGGCCGGTCGAATCTCCATTTACATCATCTACTTTTACTAAACTGATCTTATGATATTTATATATATATTCTAGCATACTTAAACTAGTTTTTAAAATAGTCGAAGTTTAGGGAGAAAAATCGGCCATTTTGGTAGAAAAAAAACCATATTTTTATCAAGTTTAATACGTGCAAGCTAGTGAAAAAGAGTTTAGAACCGCTTCCGGTATACGTATTTGAGAAATCCCTCCCCCCGATAATGCGAAAGAACCTATTTCCTTTGCAGAGCCCGTGCTCGTGCACTGTATGGCCGGTGTATCGCGTAGTGCCACAATCGTTGCCGCCTACCTGTGCACAATCACAAAAATCTCCGCTTTCAACTCCCTCGCCCACATCACAAACCTCCGCCCGGTGGTCAACCCGAATTTCGGGTTCCGCCTCCAACTTGCCCAATATGCCGACAGGGTACGGTACTTTTTCGTAGTTTTTAGCCAATTTTTAGGAAGCTCATCATCGTTTTGAATCAATCAAGGACACTTGCGATCAGGAATTATTTGACGCTCAATTGGTGCTTGATAATGCTGCTCTGAAGCATCGTGTAAGTTCTTAAAAACTTGTATAAGTTTAAGGTATGTTTTGCAAGGTAGTAAACCTTCAAATTAATTTTTATAAACTTTTACATCTCTAAAACCTCATTTTTAATCGGATTTCAAAGTTTTTGGGTTTAAACCACCGCGTAACATACCTTTTTTTGCAAAAGTCTTGTTTTTGGGAAACTCATAGCAATTTATATGAGTTTAAGGTATGTTTTGCAAGGTATTAAGGCTTAAAATTAAATTATGTAAAAATTTTACGCCTGTAAAATCGTATTTTTAATTGTGTTTAAATGTTTGGGTTTAAATCACCGCGAAACATGCTTTTTTTGCAGAAATTTTGTGTTTTGAAAATTACAAAAATTTATATAAGTTTAAGAGTTGTTAAAATTACCAAATAAAGTTAGAAGTTTTTTATATAATCATTTTAAATCCGAAAAATCGAATTTTAGACTTGCATGGCAAAACATACCTTTTTGCCTAACAATAATTCCTATTTTCTATAAAGTACAGTACACCCGCACCCACTTTAGTTCCATCCCCGCATGCGCCTGCCAAAGACTAGCATAATTAGCATATTAGCACAATTAGCATCCACCCGAAATCCGCTTCTAGATGGGTTTCTGTGCGTGGATGTTTGAGCGCATTCCGCAGCCGCCAGTCTGCTTTTTATCTTAAAAACGCACACGAAGAGGTATGCAACCAAATTTTGTTGGCGTGATTTGAGCATTTTTAAGTTGTATTTTTTTTTATTTTGAAGTTATAATATTGATTTGCTGATTTCAGATTGACCTCTTCATTCCACCCACTCCTATGAGCTTAAATTAACAAAAATCATCGATTTTGTGTATTATGCAACGAATAAATATTTATTTAATAGTAATAATGTCATGAAAAATCTGCAAAATAAGATTCTGCTGTAATAAAGATCTAAAAATCACATTTCATAGGTATATTTGCGATTTATCGACAAGTTTGACCCGTCTTGGTCTTGGAATTGCTGGGGTTGGAAGTCCATTTCGTATCTAAATACGTAATTTTATATAGAAGTTAATTTATTTTATAAAACCCTAAAAGCCAGCGCCAAGTGGAAAATTTTAGTATATTTCAAGTGAATTTTCTAATGAAATTTGTGTGTTAGACAGTGGAAAACAAACTTCAGAAAGCCGACGAAAATACCGACAACCCAGATCGTTTGCGGATTCGGGCCAAGATGAGCAGGGTGAGGATCACGAGGAGTATTACGAATAGTACGGCGGCTACGATGAGGACGGCCAATGGCCAGGCTGGAAATTATATAGGAAAGTATATTATAACGTTACGCGAGCTGCATCCATCGCTTGAATAAATCCAGCTGCATTCACAAGTGTAAAAATGGGGGCTGTCCGATATACAGGTGGCATAGCCTAAATTGCAGTTTTGCTATCGACAGCTCATAGATTTTCGGGTTCACGAGACGCAACGTGTTTAGTCTAGCGTGCGTCGCGTGTGGCGGGCTCGGTGAATTCGTAAAACCAAAGCCCAATTCTTAAAAACAATCTAGAAAGGCATAGCTATAGATATCCTATGGATTTTGCCACACCCGCGACACGCAACGCACCGAGACTTCCATGCGTCGCGTGGCGCGGGCGCCACAAATTCGCGAACCATAGCTCAAAAGATCAAAACCAAGCTAGGAGTGGAATCCCTTCAACCAGATTTTTCAGCGTTCGCGACACGCAACGCGCCTAGTCTTCAATGCGTGGCTAGGCGTGGTTTCGAAAATCTACAAGAAGGCGCCGCATGTACTATCTAATATGCTGCGAACGCGCCGCGACACGACGCGTGCGTTCGTGCCGCGACACGTATTTAGCACCTGAGAAAACCTTTAGTAGACCCGCGACACGCAACGCATCAGCTATCTAAATCCAATGCGTCGCCTGTCGCGCGCGCAAAGGTTACCGCATAACAATGCCTTTCCAGTCCCTTTAAAACCGCTAATCCCTACCTGGACACGGATTTGTATAACATGGCGTAATCACACACGTAAAGCTGCCCTCCGTATTTCGACACACCGTACCGGGCTCGCAGAATTGCCCAGTTAAACATTCATTAATATCTGAACTTTTTTCTTGCAACTTCTACGCCTTGTAATACCGTCACAAATCTGTATCACATTTCCATATTGATCGGTGGTAGTGCTAATCCCACGATAGCCATCCTCACATATACAAATCGTGGCTTCAGACTGGTTGTACATTGGTATACAACGAGTTCGAGCCGGGCAGAATATTCCGGAACATCGGAGATCCTTAAAAATGCTTTAAGCCACAAACTATAAAAATATTACAGTCGAATTAACACCATTATACGGTATAAACGCATCTCCAAGAGTTCCAAAACACAGCCGAGAGCCATTTTCGCGCCATTCCCGACTTCTGCAGTCTATTACGTAGCGCTAAATTAATAAAAATTAATAAAAGTACGAAGAATAGATACCTTACCTCCAAACTGATCACATTATCTTCAGGAAATCCACTTTTAGGCACTTTTAAAGAGGCATTTAAATTCGCCACCAATGATCCCTCTTCGAACCTCCCATACTCTAGCCCAACCATTAGCGAACCGAAAATGTCGTTCATCTAAATTTTCTTTACTTATCTAAATAAATTCTTACCGTTTCATTGATTTCCTGAGACGCATTAATGAAAAATGGCGTCGAGAAATTGTTGTACAACTCGTTGTAGTATGTGCTCGGGAACTTGAGGGTTATCTCGAGGAGTTGGCCGACTGAAAACATGGGTTTAAAGGTATAAAAAATGTAGGCGGTGTAATTTTGAGGACAAGTTCTAAAAATCTGCCAAAATATTAAATTTATATACTCTGTATGGATGATAAATAGCTACGTAAAAGATTCCCTCAGTAAAAGTGGTCTCCACGGCCGAATCTACCCTCAAACGGGTAATTGAACCTAAAAAGGGCGGCGCTATGGACCAATAGCGAGTTTTTTGTTTTCAAATAGTTCAAATGAGCTAAGATTTCGTCAAATATTATAATAGCAATTTAGTCAAAATAGATGATATAAATGGAGATTCGTCCAGCCGCAAGATAGGTCCCAGAGGGTTTCGCCCTCCCCCTGAGAAGTCGATGCGAATCTTGTCCGACTCGAGCTGTACCCCCAAAAGAGGACAGCTCAGGTCTTCCAAAACTCGCACCGTCTTCCCGAGGGAAGGGTTTTAGCGTTTTATTTGAGTATCAAATGGGAGGGATACACTGTAGGGGGGTCTGTCGCTTCGAACCTCAGTCGGAGGGGTGGTCCAGATGGGGGGCGAGTGGGGACAGGCCGGGAAGCATCCGGTGAACACACAGGCAGTAGCTCCCTGTGCCCTACTGCCCTAACCGCCCCGGTTTTTCATACTAATAATGCAGTTACTAGGAAATTCAATTTTTTTATTTTTTTTAAAGCTTCACTTAAATAGGGTAAAGCTATATTTAGGCACTCGTCATGGCTAAAATAGCATAATTATTTCAAAAATCCATTTAATAATATAAGAATTTGATCAATATTTAAACATTTACTTTATACTTACTTTTTTCGCACGTATTCTCAGTCTCATTATGGAAATACCCAGCTGTACAGCTACAGTCATACTGCCCGGGACCTGTCATCTAAATGAAAAACTTTACTTTATTGAATTTATTAAAAAAACCTTGCAATCCCTTGGGCCTTCGGGGCAATTTTTGAGCTCTTTGTCAAGACAGAAATTCCTCCCTAAATTAAGTTTACTGTAGAAAATAAAAAATTACATCTTTCACAATTTTCGCCTGCCCAATTTTGGTCGCAACTGCAACGGTAGCCGAGGATTGAGTTTTCTAAAATTAAGGGAATTTCGTCATTGTAGTATTATATTTAATTGCTTTACTATGCTATATTGTATTTATCTAGACAATTCGAATCGTAGATATATTATCTTAGGCTAAATCCTACCGTAATCCGGAAACGGACACCTGTGGGAACGGAAATGAATTTATCTCCTTACCAGGCTTTTTATAACTTTGATTCATACCGTATTCCCGACACGTATGCCCATTACATGGATTTGGCTGGCAAATACCTAAATATCACTAAATTTAGGAATTTTCCGCTTTACACCTACTAACACAGGTCCCGTTTTCTAAATGTTGCGTTCTTTTGCGGCATCTGCATTCTGGTTGGCAGGCGGAAAGGTTTGGGGTACAGTACTGCTCTGGGGAGCAAGGATTTAGCTCGCAGGGATCTAGAAATTGTAAAAAATTGGTACATTTTAAAAGAGTGATTAGAAAACCGCAAGCTTCATTCGTTCCGGCAAAGTAGCACTGATTTCCGGGTCCCGTCATGCATCCTAAAAATTCTAGAATTTCAGAATTCCGATAATAAAATTACTTAATGGAGGTGGTGTCGGGATTCCTCGGGTTGTTGTCGAAAAAATCGTCGTGGACTGGAAAAATATACAAAAAAAATATCGTTTTTTTTACCGTTGCTGTAGTATTTGATACCGTAACCTCTTCATCTGTTGAACCTTAAAAATGGGCTTAAGCTCCGCTTAAAACTGGCTTTAACCTACCCTCCTCCTGCGCTGTAACCCAAAATTGGCAGCAAAAAATCAGCACCACCACGCGGTACATCGACATTTGGGGCCCGATGAAATGGCCGGCTTTAGGGTTTGACGCCGGGTGGAACATCATCGAAAATATCGACGCAGCGCCCCCCACAAAACCATTCATCCCCCAGTCACAAAATCTATATCTCTCTCTCTCTCTCCCTCTCTCTGTCGAATACAACAACTAATAGAATAACCAGCGATCCCCCACCCCACTATACCCCCCTTCCAATATAATATATTGACAAAGAGATGTTTTCGATTCCGCTTGACAACGAAATACGCAAACCCGATATATGTGAAACCACAACCTAGATAGACATTTTTTGGCTTAAAGGCGCCAGAAAGGCATGAAACCGATTTTTCCACACCTCTGGACACAATGCACATACCTCCCCGAATTTTGCGATTCCGATCTTTTCACGGACCTCGGGTCTGCGTTGCGTGTCGCGGTAGCCGCAGAATATTTAGCAACACTTTGACAAACAAATCCATAGGATTGCCCACCCTTTAAAGGGACTGCCTAGGTTAGAATTTGGTAGCCGCAGCTTTCGCTTTAGTTTTGCGGCTTGGCGTCAGAAACAGTTTCTTGCATATTCCCGTCGCATTGCGAATTGCGTAAACGGAAAAAAGCCTGAAGCACGGCATAGCTGGGCCTTACCGATCCTTTCTAAAGCGGTTACACCAGAGAAGCTGATTAGATTTTTGGCTTCATTTGAAGCTAGCAATCAGAGAGGCGTGCAGTCAATCGATATTCACAAGAAGTCGATCACAAGCATCCTATTTCGACAATCCCGAAACTCTAAAGTACCCGAAAATCAAAAACGATCTTTTCCAAAGGCGTTCCTGGGTAGGTAAATAGCAACGATAAACCACTAAATGCTTTATACTAAACGAAATACACACACACATACAATGTAAACCTTGTAATCAATTAATTGTTGTCGGAGGGATGCCGCACCTTCACTCTTCTTTCTTCCAAGGGCAGGGAGAGTCCGGCCATACGAGCGTGTGCACGGTGGGCGGCGTGGCGGCCGGCTGCTGGGTGTTCACGTCCAAGGGCTGCAAAATCATAATGCAGGCCGTAATTTGCTATCACAATGTCGAAAGTTTATAGTGTCGAAATTTTATCATTATAGCATTCGGGGATTTCCAGGGAATTTAGCATATGTTTAATTTTAATAAATCGCAGGAGGCGTTTTCAACATTTTCGCTAGCTTTTTTGGGGGTTTCGTGCTCCCATTTGATAGAGCATCGAAAAATATACTAACCACCCTAACTATAGCTCAAAATAATGTAATACAAAAAAGTTAGAGCAAAATCAATGAACCTATGAAAATGGCGGTTAAGACCATAGTTTTCGCTATTCTTGATATTTTTTCGATGTTTTGAAGATGCGATTCGATAGAACGTCAAAAATATACAAAGTGTTGTATTTATAGCCTAAGATAGTGTAATATGAGAGTTCTGACAAAAACAAAATTTAACTATCGTTTGCACCTAGGTACCAGGAGTGTAACGTTAGTTTTCGACAAAAGATAATTTAAAAACCACGGATTATCAAGGTTTCTTCCTTTCAAAAATAGCCATTTGATTCGGTCAAATCCCGGTCGGTAAAAAATAAAAGATGGTAAAAAAATCTGGGCAAGCAGCCTGACTACTTACAGATTTAAAATTACTTAAATTAACATCCAAGTATTCTAGTAAAAAATCCAAGCGTGCCCTGGTCAGATTTGTGCCAAGTTAAATGTAATTTTTAATATTAGTAGTTAATATATTTAAATTTATTACTATTTTCCTATCTAGGTCCTTTAAATCAGCAAGGGCACTCAATCTTATTATAAAATGTACCGAAGAAGCAGGGGCCGGGGAGCCACGGTCCGTGATCATCGACGTGGTAGATGGCGGGGTAGAGGGGGTCGGGAAGGGGTACGTGCCGAACTGGTACAATTCAAATAGGCGCGGGGGGGGGAAGATTTAGGCGGGGGGAACCGAACTTTTTTCCGCCCAAGCCTATATTTTTTATATAAACCAGGGTTGAAAAGCCGCTTCGCGACTTTTCAGCCCTGGCCCCGTCTGATCCCATGATATTCTTCACTTTGCATAATTCTAGCGATTTTCGATAACAAATAAATGAGAAACGCTACCTCTCTTCCCTTATATAGCTACCGCAACTTCCGGCGTATGCTAATTGTTTCCTAACAAAGAGGGTCCTGGATTTTTCAACAAAAACTTCATTTTAGCGTCGAAAACACATAATTTTTGAAAATTTTGTTGTTGTGCAGTCATCCCAAGGCCATTACGCACCTAATGAGGTATAATACATGCTCCTAACTGACCCCCTCATTGAGATACTGCTGGAACACGCTGACGGAAGTTGCATGCAAAGTGGCACGGACACACACACACACAGACACTATTTTTTTATATATAGTAGGAAAACACATAATTTTTGAAAATTTTGTTATTGTGCAGTCATCCCAAGGCCATTACGCACCTAATGAGATATAATACATGCTCCTAACTGACCCCCTCATTGAGATACTGCTGGAACACGCTGACGGAAGTTGCATGCAAAGTGGCACGGACACACACACACAGACACTATTTTTTTATATATAGTAGGATAGTGGAAGTGGTTCTAAATTGTTTATAGCTATTCCTAAGCATAAAAACTCTACAAAACTTAATTAAAAAATTTAATTTTAAGTCGAAAAATCCATTTTTTTCGCCCCAAAAATGACCAAATTTTCGAGTTTTTCAAGAGTTTTTCTAACTTTTAAAAAGTTTTTCCGATTCAAATAGGCTTAAATTGTGCTAAAAACAATGTGAAAACACTTTATATTTGATTACTAGCCCCACCAGGGCCGGCAAAAAAAAGTTGGTTTCCCCCCGCCTAACTAGGGAAGTATCTGAACTTGCCATCGAACTTTGAGAAGTCAGATACACCATTCGACGCGCCGTGACAAGAGGATTCCAAATATGTAAAAAATCAACGGGGAGCACATAACGGTAAAAAGTTATGAGCATTTTAAGTTTTACATTGAATTCCGCAGCAGCGAGAAGAGCCCCTCCAAGTGCACCCTGTCCATCGGTCTCGTGGCCTAGTGGTTTGCGCATGGGTCTCTGGGCTGTGTGACCAGGGTTCGGATCCCGCTCACGATTTTTATTTTTTGCTTTTTGACCGGTTCCTACTTTTTTGCATGTCCAAACTCGGGAATAAGTTTTTCTTTACTGTGTGACCCTTAAAAAGCACCAGAGATGATAAAATAACCTCCGGCAACAAAACTAGGATTGGACGCTCTCTATATCAAAGTTGGCAAAATCGTCGGAAACCGCCCTTTTAAGGCTCTGTGTGAATTCGAAGAATTTAGTGTGTCAAAAATGGAACAGTACATCTTGATCAGCAGAAATCGAATGAGCTATCTTACCTGCGCTTTACGCCGAATTCTTGAAAAGTCTTTGGCTAGCTGGCCATACCCTACCCTTACGCCGCATTCCAAAAATATTTTTTTTTGCGGAAATTTTTGGCAGCCGTATGTAATATGGCTCATTTGAAAAAGCTTTCTTTGTTGAACAAGGAGCACCAATCAGCTTAGACTAAATTCCATTCCGCGGGATGATACAGGGTCTCAAAGATGCTGTTTTTCGTCATTTTGCCGACTTTGAAGCCTCATAACTTTTTACCGTTATGCGCTCCCGTTGATTTTATTACATATTTGGAATTCTCTTGTCACGGCGCGTCGAATGGTGTATCTGACTTATCAAAGTTCGATGGCAAGTTCAGATACTTCCCTAGTAAGTCTTTCCCCCCTGCCTTGAAAAGTACCGCCAGACTTCGGGAAAATTTAAGTATACGGTCACGTAGCCAAACCCAACTTATTTATACATAGAAATGTTCAGCTCAAAGAGCTGGTTCAGGATCAGTTGAAAAAACTATTGGGAAACACTTCTGGAGCGAGATATAGGGATCCAAATTTGGCTAGTTAGGTATACGGTCACCTATCCAAACCGGCATGTTTTATGCATAGAAATGTGCAGCTCGTCGAGCAGAGCCGTTATCTGTTGAAATAATCATTGGGAAAAAAATATAAAGAAAGTTATGAAGGTTTGAAACTCGGTTTTCAGAAAGTTCCGGCTACGCGACACTCCTTTGTACGGAGCGGTGTAGTCTGTATTCGTACGTACCTCTGCAATAACACTTGTTTTGTAATTTTTAATCGTTTTGACGCTATTCATGTAAAATAAAGGTGACGGTGAGGTTTTCACATTGTCAGGCAAGGTGGGCCGTCGCTTCGGATGGGCTGCCGCTCCACTCTTCCGAAATCGGGGCGCCCCCGGCCGCTTCGCCGGCCTTGGCGCCCCGATTTCGAAACCCTGTACGAGCTCGCGCCCATCCGAGCGAGACACGAAGCCTTATCTTTAGGTAAAGTGTGAGTGTATTAGAGCGAAATATCCAAAGGAAATGGGCGTTTTTTGGCCCTTTTGGTGTTCAAACTTTGGACGCCTATATCTCGCTCCAAAAAGTGTTTCCCAATTGTTTTTTCAACTGATCCTGAACCAGCTCGTCGAGCTGAACATTTCTATATATAAAAAGTTTGGGTTTGGCTTGGTGACCGTATACTTGAATTTAGCCCAAACTTCTCATCCTGAAAAATCCAGACTGGCCAATTGTTAAAAAAAATTGTCAAACTAGATTTCTTGACTTATATTTTTAGTTATTTTCTACTCTAATTTATTCTTAGTCCACAGAACAAGAGTAAAAATTTTTATGTACTTCACAGCCCAATAGCCAAAGCGCACCAAAGCTTAACAAAGTTCTGTTTTCATAATAAACTAATTATATAAAAACTTATTTTACTTATCTTAGCGATAATTATTCTAACTCAAAAATTACCCAGCTCTGGACGGTCAGCGGGACCACCGGCAGGTCAGAAATATTAGCAGCAGGACTAGCCATCGTAGCCGGGTAAAGTCGAAATGAATGACAGTCCAGCTCCAGATTTTCTTTTTATACCCGGAAACCCGGAAGTAGGCGGAGCATTCAAATGAGGTATTTGGGGAAATGCGGGGGATCTTCCGGTTTTTGGAGGTGGATTCAAATTTTTGGTTTTTCGGCGCTAACAAGGAGTCGCTTTTAGGTGCTTTTGGAGTTTCGGGACGGGACCTAGATAGTTCGATAGAGAAAAAAATTCTGAGCAACATCCCGTTTTCAAAAAGTGCTGATCGATAAAGCTGTTTAAGAAAATTTAATTTAATTGAAAATGTTCCCGGTGTCCGGACCCTTGTGGTGATTTGAGGACCCTAAAAGCGACTCCTTGTAAGCGGCTCTAAACAACTACAATTCGGGAAGTTGTCTGTAACCCGATACAGTATTCAAATTTTGAACGCGCTAAAATCCGTTTGAATTCGTTCAAAATCCGGTGATGACGATGGTATGCCTTCGGAGTAACACGATGGGTTCTTTCGCATTATCGGGGGGCTGGTTGGGATCGAATTTTTCATAATTGTAGTTTTTTTTGAAAGACTAGTTGAAATATGCTAGAATACCTTGAAATACTGTAGTATCAGTTCAGTAAAAGTAGATGTTGTAAATGGCGTATCGACCGACCGCAAAATAAATCCCTGAGGGTCTGGCCCTCCCCCGGAAAAGCCAATGCAAATTTTGTCTGACCCGAGCTGTAGCTCCAAAAGAGGACAGCTCAGGTCATCAAAAATTCGCACCGACTTCCCGAGGGATGGGCGTTTAATTTTTATTTCAGTGCGATTTGCAGGGAGTACTGCCTACCGCCCCTGTCTCTCGAACCTCAGTCCGGGGGGTGGTCCAGATGGGGGGCGAGTGGGGACAGGGCGGGGAGCATCCGGGGAACACACAGGCAGTAGCTCTCGGTGCCCTACTGTCCCAATCACCCTTGTTTTTCATACTAACTATTCAGTACCCAATTCAGTTCGTAGGATAGTATAATTTATTATTCTTTAGAGGCTGAATTACACTTGAATAGGGCAAAGCCAAATTTGGGCCCTCATAATCGATAAAAAAGCGTGAATATTTCAAAACATACGCTTAATTTTGATTTGTCAAGCAATCGATTTACGCAAATTTTTTTTGAAACTTGGCTTTAGCGTCCTGTCTCGTTACTTTTGCAGTTTTTTTCTTAACGTTTTAGCATAGGCAGAGGGCCCCCATTCGCATCCTGTTCCGTGGATGGCCCACCGTACTACCCAGAGGCCCAAAAGACACGGCAAAGAGGGGAACGACTTGCCCGTGTAGGTTGCAACATCCATCCGATTATGACATTAAATCTTGGATGGGTGTAATGTTGGTTTTCTCATATTTTCAATATTGTCTTAAATAAAACATAAAACCACAATTTTACAGTGTTTACGACAATTTAAATTGTGATTTCTACGTCAATTCCTAATGCGTATAATTTTAAAAATTTAGATAACTACAACAATGCTACGGGCAAGGATTTTGAAGTCTAATTTGTCTGTATTTTTGTGGAATAAATATTTTTAGCTTATTTTGTACTTACAACCCAATTTTGTCGCAGACAAACGGAATATTTTAGCCGTATAAGGCATAGCGTTTATTTAATACAGTTAGATATTCTTATATCTAACAAATAGTTTATAGGCATCGCTGATTTCAAGTTAATATAATTAATTTGCGTGTGTGGTACTAGATGGGACATGGCGGCAGTGATGGGCCAGCCCATTTTAAGGATGGCTGTATTGATTTGCTAGCTGGGACGATGGGTAGCTTATTTAACAATATATATTTATTATATTTAACCGTTTCACACGCGTCCAAGTCTATAAAAATATGAAATCTATTAATTTATCATTAAACTATAATTTAGGTGGCATCGCAAACGTATACGCCGGGCAACCCCTTGATACGGTCAAAGTTAAAGTGCAAACTTTCCCGCATCTCTATACAAATTGGGTGGACTGCCTGAAAGATACCTATGGTCATAGCGGAATTCGTGGATTGTATGCAGGTATCAAAATGTTTCAGTATTAATAAAAATATTATTAAATTTAGGTACGCTCCCGGCCCTTGCTGCCAACATTGCCGAAAATGCCGTTTTGTTTTGCGCATATGGATACTGTCAAAAGGTAGGTAACGTTTCTAAAGGGACTTGGAAGTTTTGCTCAAAGCGATTACGCTATGAAATGCGTTAGCCTTGATTTTGTCGGTAAGGGACTGAAAAGGTATTTGATGAACTGTGGATTTCACTGGACTTTGCCGCCCCGCGACACGCAACGCGTCAAAATCAAATAGATCGAACGCTTCGCGTGTAGCGGCGTGAGGATAGCAAAGAATGGCGTTTTAGAGCTTTGGTAGACGCGCACGCAACGGACTTCAGCGCGCACGCGTGCACGTTCCGCTCGTCATCGATTACGCAATAGAATAAAATGCGCGCGTTACGTGTCTCTTTGCGTACGTATGAAATTCACGATGATCCAGAGCCAGAAAAATATATAGTCGATCCTTCACGCTTCCTTTAACGACACACAATTGAATTCAGTAGACGAATTGAATTACCTAGCCAAATCGCTTCTAAAAAGCAGATTTTTGTCTTTCCTTCAGCCCCTCTAAAACAATAATACCTCCCCCATTTCAGGCGGTCGGCGCCGTCGTAGGCCACCCGGACCCGAAAACCATGACGACCCTCCAAAATGCGAGCGCCGGCGGGCTGGCAGCTGTTTTTGCGGCGCTCGTGTTGTGCCCCACGGAATTAGTGAAATGTCGGCTTCAGGTGAACAGAAAACACATAGTTTTGTAAAAAATTCTTTAATTTTCAGGCAGCCAGGGAGACCGACCCCACCAAGAAGTTCACGCCCTTTTCTGTCTGCCGAGATTTGATCAAAGAAAAGGGTCCAAAGGGGTTTTTCGTCGGGATGACGCCGACTTTGGCTCGAGAGGTATGGACTACAAACTACAAAAAGATCTATGAAAGAAAAAAATTTAGGTACCGGGATACTTCTGCTTTTTCGGGGTTTATGAGGGTGTTAGGTATCTTTTCACAAAGCCCGGGCAATCGAAGGATGAGATTGGGTTGGCGAGAACGGCGGTTTCTGGTTAGTGAATTTTTATAGAATTTTTATGCAATTTCAGGTGGCCTTGGGGGGATGGCGCTTTGGACTTCGATTTTTCCGGCTGATGTCATTAAATCGAGGATGCAGGTGTCGGAGACGGGAGGGAGTCTGGCGGTGTTTAGGCAGATTATGAGAGAACAAGGTTTGGAATTGACTAGAATTAATACAAGCCCATTTTTATATAGTTTTCAATCTACACAGTTAAAAATAGGCGAGCAAAGATTAAAATTTGGCTTTTATCGAGGTAAAAATCAAAATTAAAAACTTTAAAATTAGGTAAAAAGCGTTAAACTTATTTCATATATTTTCAGGAGTCCGCGGTCTCTACAAAGGCCTCCTACCAACCCTTATCAGAACTGCTGTAGCCTCAGCGTGCCTTTTCGTGAGCTACGAAGAAACTTCAAGGCTTCTCCATCGAGTCCTTTAATCGAAATCCTTCCCCCTTGATCTTTTCTACATGCTTTATGTGCACCCCTTGCATTTCTAGTCAGTTCAAACTACAGAAAAAGCCTTAATTGTTGCTCAACGTACTTTAAACTGAGATGAGAATTAGCGTGTTTGTGATGAAAGTTTATGAAATGAGATAAAGTATCGGATAGTTTTTATGAAAGGCTGCGAAAAACGAAACGGCGACATCGTTCGCTGGCTGTCCCTCCACTCACTCGCCTGGGAAAAATCAGAATAAGACAAATTCCGAAGTAGTTTTGTATTCAGATTTTGAAAACCATCGTGGGAATGACTGGCTCTGGGCGCAGGCCAAGTCAAGCCAAGCCAAAGCCCAATCCCAAGCAAAGCTAAAACCGAAGCCCAGGCCAAGCTAAGGCCCAGACCCAAGCCAAACCAGCATTCAAACCAAAGCCAAGCCAAAACCCAGATCCAAGCCAAGCGAAAGCCCAAACCCGAGCCAAGCCAAAGCCCAAAACCCAAGCCAAGCCAAAGCCCAAACCCAAGCCAATCCAAAGTCCAAGCCAAACTTTCCTCATCCCTTCAAAATTTGTATCTCTTTCCTTACACCCGCCCCTGAAGCCTCTGTTTTTAACCCAATTTTCAGGTGTGCTTCCCATAATATTGTGCAAAATACAAAGTTCACACTCGTAGAAAACTTTATGTCCTTTTTTCTTCAATTTGTGGAGGGGGGGGTGGCATCTCTTCGCGATCGTCATTCTGGAGGGCCTCCGCAAGCCCTGGAGATCGTTGTCGTTGTTGAGGCTCTTCTCTGCTACGGCCAGGGCGCCGGGTGGCAGTCAAAGCTAAAATATAATAAGGTTTATTGCGAAAATATGTACAATTAAGATTTTAAATCTTACTGATTTAAACTTGATAAAATTAAAATATTTACCGCTGAGAGGCGCTGGCGCAGCCCCTTGTTCTCATGCGCGCGAGGTTGGGCGGCGGGCGGCGGGCGCCGGCTGGCAGTTAAAGCTAAAATATACGTTTTAAGCCGAAGATTTAGAATATAACAATTAAGATTTTAAATCTTACTAATTTAAACGTGATAAAATTAAAATATTTACCGCTGAGAGGCGCCGCTGGCGCAGCTCCCTGTTCTCATGCGCGTGAGATGGCCGGGTGGCGGGCGGCGGGCGCCGGTGGCAATTAAAGCTAAAATATAAACCTTGATCCAAATAGATAGAGTATTAAAGTTTGAAAAATAAAAATAGCAGCGCAAAAAACTTTTAAATGTTTAAAAAGGTAAAAAGCTTTACCGCTGTAACGCGGGGCGGCTCACGGGCCGCCCCGGATTAACCGTTCGCGAAGCTCCTTGTTTTCATGCTTGAGCTCTTGCAGCTCGCCCGTGAACTTGTCCGCCTAAAATCAAAGGGTTCTGGTGCATTATCGGGGGGACACCCAGGTCTTTTCCCTTATCGTATGGGGGCCTTATTTGGGGTAGTTTACCGGATAAAAAGCGAATCGATAACTGGTTTTTATTTCCTTATCGCAGTCCGATGAGCTTAGCCCCCCCGATAAAAGGAAAGCACCGATATTGGGGATGACGGCAAAGTAGCTCAACCTTGTTTTTAGCTCAAGAACCTGCTCAACCTGGAATCCCCCCCCCCCTCAATCGTCTCTGCTTCATCATGTGAAAGCTTTCGTAAATCTCTAGCCAAACTCATTCCAATGGATTATGTACTATCTTAACCTTTATATCACCATGCCGCTATTCCTCATCATCATTGACTTTTTCTTTCTTGCCATGCCATTTTTTTCCCTCTTTCTCGTTTTTCATACCATATTCCCTCACTTTTAAAATGTTTCTCATTGAAACCTTAGGGTTGAATAAATAAATGATTAGCTTATAATCATCTTATAATAATTAGCTAGACCAAAAACTCGCAAAAACCGTACCGCTTGCTGGCGGCCCCTCGGCTGGGCGAGCAGGCGGCGGCGGGCGGCAGCGGGCGGGCGGGACGGCGGGAGGACGGGGGCGGGCGGCGGGCGGGCGGCGGGAGGACGGGGGCGGGCGGCGGGCGGGCGGCGGGTGGGCGGCGGGCGGCGGGCTGTCGGGCGGGCGGCGGGCCGCAGCTCGCCCGTGAATTTGTCGGCCTAAAAGCAAATGGGTTCTCGTTTATTAGCGGGGGGGCGGGAGCCACACCCGATAAGCAATAAGGGAACGCAAAAAAAAGCGCTAGGTCTTATAGTTAAAGCGACAATGAATTGCAAAGTACAGAAAGTGGTTTTTCCCTGCTAACCCCCCCCCCCCTCCTCGCAAACAACCTAGAACCATTAATATGATACATTAAGGAAGAAAAAAAGTTGTGGAAGATAAAGATAATTTTGATTAAATGTGCAAAAAAATAAATTCTACTTTAGTCACGTACCGCTTGCTGGCGGCCTCTTGGGGAGGCGAGCTGGGCGGCGGGCGGCGGGCGGGCGGCGGGCGACGGGCGGGCGGCAGGCGACGAGCGGGCGGCGGGCGGGGGTGGCGGCAGGCCCTAAAATATAAATTTAAGTCGAGAAAAATTAGCTAATTACCTCGTGGTGGGCCGCTCCTCCTTGTTCTCGGGCTTGAGGTCCCGCAACTCGCCCGTGAATTTGTCGGCCTAAAAGCAAACGGGTTCTGGTTTATTAGCGGGGGTGGGGGGGGGAGATATACCCGATAAGCAATACGCGAAGGCAAGAAAAAGCGCTACGGTTTTAGAGTGAAAGCGTTTGGGCTCTGGATAAGCTCTGCCTAACTATAAAAACTCTGCAAAACACAAACAACTTAGAAGACTGCCTCTATACCTAGTTAGTAAGGTATTCTACGATGCTTTGATAAGCTAAACCTTAAGCTGAATACATCACATTAAGGAAGAACAAGTAGCGAAAAACAAAAATAATTTTGATAAAATGTCGGAAAAAAAAATTAAATTTTACTTTAGTCACGTACCGCTTGCTGGCGGCCCCTCGGCAAGGCGAGCTGGCGCGGCAGGCTTTTGTAGAACGCCCGTGCCGAGAGATGTCCTTGTGCAGCTCTCTGACGTTCACGTCCAGCTTCGGAAGGGCCTGGAAAAACTATATAAAATTAGTCTGATCAACTAAAATCCATATTTACGTAGAAAAGTCTATACCAATGAGAAAGCCAGAAAATCGTTTTTGAGCAACTACTCAATTACCAATTAATAATTTCTTTTACTCAAGGTTAGGGCCAAAAGGGTACTGCCCTTACACTTTCGACGATAGAAAAATAAAAATCCGATATTTGAATACCAAATTTGAATCTCTAAATGGACTCGAAATGCCGAATTTTGCTCATACTACGTTAACTTTGATCAACAAGCTGCGGTAATATCCGGTAGTAAAGGACCAACCATTCGTGGTAGGCGCTAGTAGAGAATGACGAATGATTTTTGGGGCCAGCCGAAATTGATGCGGGATGCAAATTCGGCAAAAATTCATCGATCTCGACAATAATCAGCCAAGTGGTGGAGTAACCACTGGAACAATTATACACTGATTTACACTGCATTTATGTACTAATTTTATGCAAATTTGGTATGCCATATTATTTCGGATTCAAAGCTAAGCTTAAGCCTGAGGTAAGCGAGCCTAAGCCTAAGCCTAAGTATAAGTAGTAGAAGTATCACCCTAAGCCTAAGCCTAAGCTAAGCCTAAGCCCAAGCCCAAGCCGAAGCCTAAGCCAAAGACTGAGCCTGACTTTAGCCTTACAACGATACAATATATTTACACCGAAAACCACCAAAATCTGTAGTGATCTCTGAACCGAAACTCCCGATTAGTCGCCCGGTCCTTTCAGGGAAACGGGCCGAATACGGAGAAAGGGGTGACGTGCCGCGTTCCCCCAAAAAAACTTCGATTCCCCCTCCCCGTCCTGTCCATCAAACAAAAACCGTATTGAGTGATTGATAGGTCAAAATTTGAATATTTTTCTTCCCACTTCCTCCCTAAAAATTGGACGTTTAGATGTTTTCGATTCCGAGACGCGGGTCTGTCTGTTTGCTGTTCAAATAGGCTGTTGTTTCCCTCGGTAGGGTGGGTTTTTGGGCCAGCCCGTGACCAACGGAAAATGGGGGTTTTATTTGAAAAATTTCCAGTCGCGTGGAAGGCTCGTTTTAATCTTTACAAATTGTTCCGGCTTTTAAACAAAAAACTGCGTCAGTTTTATCGGGAAAGGTTCGATTTTCTCGTTAGTCAAAGACTAAAAACCTTTTAAAGACAAGTCAAAATCTTTTAAATTTTTAAACGCACATGAGCAGCTGGACTTGTGTTTTCATGAAAATGACGAGAAAATTCTAGACGTCACCTTCCCTTTAAGGTATCGAATACGTGCTAAATACGTATCCAAATAGCGCATAGTTTCGAAAAACAGAACTTTCGAGGAACTTGACGTATAATATCGTAATTTTTTGTCATTTTTGTAGCAATACGCTACGAGACATGTACGCTACGATACGCTTAATAACAAGTTGCGTATCGTATTGTAGTGTAGCGCTAGGTTTCCTATGGCGTTATAAGACTTTGCTGAAATGGTAAAGCTGCATACGGCTTGGGTTTTTTGTGCCGTGTCAAATTCCATATCTCGGTCGTTTTGCGCACCTGGAAAAATCGATATTATTGTGCTTCCGGCCGTATAAGGCTTCTACAAAGCACCAATATCAGCTCATAAAACTGTTTGCTTCCGCGCAAATTTTAAATTTGACTTTTTTGTCTCTTTAATCAATCCATAACAGTCAGTTCCCAGAAAATCACTAACTCCACTTTAACCGGAAGTCCGAAACCACCCACGAAACGTATATTTCAATCTCTGCTCCATTTCCCTCCTAGCAACACGTTTCCCCAAGTCCTTATCTGGGCGTCCACTTCCCATAAAAACCATCTTCCCCCACCCTTTCTACGATGAGTCACCCGGCAACGGTTTGTGTGTATTGTGGAGACGCGAGGTCTCTGCGTCTGGGCTCTAGCCCCATATGACGAGTTGCGTCTGCCTCTCTGCCAGCGCAATGTTGTGCAATCGGGGGCGGGGCTTGTGCAAGACGGGGCAATGCTCACCCCAACGGCCATTCCCTTACTTTCGGCGCACACCGGGCGGCTGCTTGCGAAATCTCGGGGCTTCTAGGGTTTGGTCAATTAGTCGTGCTAAGGAAGGTTATAGCTCAAAAATTGTTTAGAGCGGTTTTTAAGCGGTTTCTGGGCTTTAAAAGCCGCTTTAGAGGCTAGCGAGGATGAAATCGATCGCGTAATCGATTAGACAAGGACGTGGGGTTTTTGTAAATAATTTTCTAATAATTTGCATACCTAAAAAAAGATTATTGCTTTTTCTACTCATCTCTTCTCGATGATAAGCTAGATTCTAGCTTTTAAAGCAGGATTGTGATGACGTAATCGATTAGAACTTGTTTTCTATCTAAAAACCCTTCCAGTATTTGTGTTTCACTTGACAATTTTTCCTTAGGCGTCCTTTAAGCTCTTAATTCAGATTAACTATCAAAAAGGTCGTAATCGATTAGCAAAATTTAAAAGTTAGTTTTCTATGTCGGAAACATATTACTATTCGAATTTAACTTTGAAATTTTGTCCTAAAATCGTCTTAAATCTTGAAATCGCTCTCAATTAAACCCTAACCCAAAAAATTCCGTTTGAAACCAAAGTCCACTCCTTCTCCCCTCCCGAAAAAGCCTCTTTTTCGCGATAACCCCCACTCACACGCTTCGCCGAGCCCAAGCCAATTTCCCTCCCTTCACTCCGATTTGTCATTCCTGCGTTTTTTCTGTGATAAAGAGAGTTCAATCTCAAACCCCGATTTTCCAGGCCGCAGCGTCTTCTGCTGGCCAAAGGTTCCCACAGCGGGCGAGAGCCCACCACCTACACGCTACCAAGCTCACCAGACCCCTTCGCGGGTGAGTTTTTGATAGAGTGAAAGAGAGAGAGTAGGAGAGGAAGAGAGAGAGACGCGATACGCAGCGACCGAGTCTCTTACAGACTCGGTATAAGCGAAAGAATCGGAAGACAATCCTTAACTAGCGTTTAACAGAATCTAAAATTGAACAGAAACGATAAATTATTACAAAGATCATCTTTTCTTTTCCAGGCCTGCGTCGTACAGGCCCCTAGGCCGCCTTCGTGTCTTCAGAACACTTCGAAGACCTCCTTTCCGCTCACTACGAGCCATGGTCTTTGCAGGAATTTTCGTCGTCTCCACCGCCAACATGCTCAAACGAAGAGATGGAGGAATACCTCCGCCATCAGGTACTTTAATGCTTACTTTTAGATACCTAGAAACATAAAAAGTTAGATAATCCCTAAAAATACATAATTGGGCTTATAAAACCAACTAATAGCGTATTAAATCATTAATATAATTCAAAAAAGTGTAAATTTCGTGAATAAAACCATTATAGCGTTATATAAATAGTATATTAATTTATTAATACCAAAAAATTAGCAATTAGAGTATAATATACCTTATTAACCCCTGAAATCTTCAGGCGGAGAATCCTCTCGCGTCGACATGGTGCCACCATTCTGTGAGCTCGTCTCCGGATTGGACACCGTTTTCAACCAACAGTCCACCTTCAACGTACACGAATCTGAGTCTCGATTTGAACGTGGAATACTGGAACACCACGACAGCGACGAATCACCAATCCTCTTCGAAGACGTACTACTTGGACAGTCTACAGAAGAGAAGCACCAAGCCCACGCCGTTCAGCGATCAGTTAGTGTAAGTTTAATCTTTAAATCAAGATACTAAATTTGTATTTTATATAAATAATTTATATAATTAAAATTTTAGCGTACCCACGCCACAAATACGCCGCACGGAATCCTCAGCCAAGACTGCTGTCGGGTTTTCACTTTGTCCTCCCTCAACCGAACCTCGCCTCTTGGTTCCGGATTCACAGGACAACCCAATACTTTGCGGTACGAAAAATACGCTAAAAACTGTATTAAGCGATTTTTTAAGATTTGACGCCCCGGATCCTGACGCACGATACGCCGCAGTACCCGACGCACAAGCCCTACCGGCGCCACCCACGCAAGATGGAGTGGCAACAGCTCGAATCTGATGAGCTCGTCAATGACGATCTGCTCTTCAATGACCCGTTCACACTCCCCGACCGTGTAATTGAGAATCTTGTCGACGAGGATGTCGTCGACATCCGCGAATTGGACGCCTACCTCTACCCTGGTGATGCCGCCACCAACCCCATTCTTCCCCCCGCCGCAGCCACTACTGCTGCACAGACTTTGACGTCGACGGTCGAGGCGTACGGATTCCAAGAGGTTGGTGGGGGTAACGTGAAAAAGAGGTTGGGAGGAACAAGGCGAAAAATCCCGGCAGTAGAAATGCCGACAGTAAAAATGCCGACAACGCTAATAGGACCGGCCAAAATGCCGACAAAGCAATTTCCGATAGTCAAGATGACGAAAATCAAAATCCCGACAGCCAAAATGCCGATAGCCTAAATGCCGATAGAAAAATGTCAATAGCCAAAATGCCGACAGCAAAATTTTCGATGGACAAAATGCGGAAATTGAAAATTTGGTTAGTCGAAATACCCACATAGAAAAGTACGCTACGGCAAAATGCTGACAAATTTTTGATAACCAGAGGCCGACAGGAAAAATGCCGATATGACAAAATTCCGGTGCATAAAATGCCGGCAATATCGTCTTCCGAACGTCTATGGTTGTCGGCATTTTGGCGGTCGTGGTCTTTGCTGTCGGCATTCTGGCCAGGACTCCTTTGAATTGTGAACAGGGAAAATCCCGGACTTCGTGTCGCATAGTACCTTACACAACAAGCTACAACACTTTTTTGCTCTGGCTGCGTTCCAAGGGTCTTGACAACTTCCGCCAGCTCATCTTGCCGTTCCTCGTGACAATCCGGGTGTTCTCTCTCTCTCTCTCTCTCTCTCTCTCTCTCTCTCTCTCTTCCCTAGGCCCCGCCCCCAGATTGCACAACGTTGAGCCACATTTCGAAAGCCTGAACCAAGGGGTAGGGGCAGCGTATAGTAACCCTCAGACCCGAGTCTGGCCACCCAAAAATGTGCCATCACAATGCAGCAGCTCGAGTTCTCGGATATACTCAGGCTAGCTGCTAAGTCTGAACTAGCTAGGGTACGCTTTATTTGAATATAGTATTGTATAGTATTAATATACTTTAATTATTTAATTATATTTTGATTTTAGGATCCGTTCACCGAATTCTTCCTCCCCGACGACACAATGCCTCCGCACACGAGCAATCATCAGCACCAGCATCATCAGGAGAAGCCCTGCGAGGTGTTCGTGGAATATGCCGCTCATGAGTATGAGTTTATGGAGACTGCGCAGGAGTTGGAGCAGTACTGCAAGAGAGGTAGATCTTAATAAACTTACTAAAGTATCGATATAGTTTTAAATAGGATTTAAATACTTTAAAAAAAACTAATATGCCTTTAATAAATTTAAATCTTTAGATTCGGCCTCTATGTCTCCAATCTCCATCGGTTCTCCAGAAGCCTCGACCTCCGAGTCGACTTCCGGCCCGATCCGAGTCGAGCCCCGACGCTTCGTTCCCGCCTCCTCATCTCCGTACTCTGACGTAGACCCCGTCACCGACTACCGCCAGAAGCGCGACAAGAACAACGTCGCCTCCGCGAGAAGCCGTCAGAAGCGCCAGAACAAGTTCCACGAGATGAAGGTGGGTAAAAAGTTTGATTTTTTCCAACGTGTTTGTGACGATTCTAGCTTCAAAAGTTTGGGTTTAAAAATTTCTAGAGTTGAAGTGATTTTGTATTCTTGTAAATTTCAGAAAAAAATAGGATTTTTAAATGATGTTGATCAAGACTAATTCTTAAATTTGTAAAAAGTGTTCTAGCAATTTAAATCAAATTTGAAAACATTAAATAATTTTAGGATTTTTGAAAATTAGGACTTTTTTATTTTAAATGATTTTATTTTTAATCAATCGTTTAAAAGCAAGATTTTTCAAAAAACACTTTTGTTTTGCAAACCTTTAAAACGATTAAAATCTAAGACCATCTATAATCTCCCATTTTCAGAAAGAATGCAACGACCTCGAGCTCCGCAACGTCGAACTCCGCGCCACCCTCGACACACTGGAGAAATCGGTCGCCGAATACAAAAACATCATGCTTGCCTTCATGAATAAGCCTTGACTAGACCGGCTTATTTTTACTCATCGACACCGTCTTCCACGAATCTCACAACTCCTCCTCGACATTTAAATCTGATTGATTCGCTCGTGCTCTCCCTCCCCCGAACCCCCAGAATCCTTTTTTGCGGCTTGCTGTACAGAATTTGTGTTTCTACCTGGAGCTCATTCTGGGTCGCCCCCTGTGCAGAGCACAAGCAACTGGTAATCTACCTTACGTTGTCTTTGTCATTTTCCTTATTTTTACACGCTGGTGTTGATACTCATTATACCTAAAAACTTCCATTTCCTTCTTTTTCTGCAGTAATTTTCAACTTCCGGGATGTATAGTTAGTTTACTGGGTTTTTTAATAAATTTAAAAATGTAATGTTTAAACTTAAAACCGCAGGAAAGGGCTAAAACACTATCAGAACAAGTTAAACCCTTAAAAATATTATATACACTACGCATACTGTGTTTGAAATGAATTACAGTTACCAAAAAAACACAACAAAATATTGCGTCACCATGGCGCAAGGGTGCGCAAGATTATTCTAGCGATCGCTCATCGCTGGACTACGCTGCGTGCCAAAAAAGGGGTAGTTTCTATTTCTCTGGCTGTCTGTGGCTCTCTCTCTCTCTCTCTCTCTCTCTCTTCCGCCCTCTCTCTCTCGCTCTCTCTCGCTCTCTCCCTCTCTCTCTCCTCCCTCGCTCTCCTTCTCATTTTCGTCCTCCCTCTGGTTTGCTTAGGTTTGCTCTCCTTCTCGTGTTGCTTCTAGTCCTTGTTCTCTCTCTGGCTCCATCTGTCTCGTCAGTTCGTTCTCTCATTCTCTCACGCGCACTCTCACGCTCTCTCTTGCTCGATCTCTCTTGCTCAATCTTTCCTTTCTTGTCACTCTCTTATCGATTTCCATTTTTAGAATACTCTAATAACCACAAAATTTATCTTCCGAAAAATACAGAAAATCACGAAAACACAGGCACATCATAGAATCGAGAAAACATCAAATTTGAGCACCACAAAAAGATCTAGATCGCTGAGGAATGTAGAGAAGACATAGTCAAAGAAAAATATTTAGGCCAATGAAATGGTTTGTGATGGTTTTATCGGGGGTAGAAGGCGGGGTTATTGTATGCAAAATATGAGGGTTGGGCGGATGTGGCGGGGCTGCCTTCTTGGAGAAGTTGTCGCCAGTGGGGGCCATTTTGAGACTGGAAAAATGAATTTTTGATTTTTGATTTTCTGAAATTGTTTTAAATAATTGTAAGGTTTATACGATGATTATTACGGTAATAATTACCTCACGGCGCTCCAATCGGTCAGTACCGCGGCCCTCCTTTCGTTGAGGTTGCATTCGGGGTGGGACAATTTCTTCCCGAGTGGTACGGTGCATCTGCAATTATATATAAGTAAATGAAATGCGAATTTCATATGAAGGCTACTATATCTAAAAAACTACATTGGTTGTAGAATGACCCGGGGACGCGTGCCGACACATTAAGCTTTTGAAAAGCTACCATTTTCATTAGTAAAATTGGATTTTTGTAAAAGTCTTGACGCTCTTTTAGGAAACAATTAACATATTCTATATAAAAACAAAGGAATCATTTTTCACTTTTTTTCTTGCTAGAATTCGTGAATAAACATGCAAATTGAAAACGGGACACGGGATAAAAAGCCGCGAAGCGGTTTTTGGTTGGCCCGGAATAATTGATTGGGAGGGTATTAGGGGTAGGTATGGGGGCAGATGGGAAAGACCCCTTTTGAGGGCCCTCTGCGCGCTCGCTCCCCAATCCTCACTCGCCCCCCTTCTGGCCCACCTCGATGCGGTAAGTGCCGAGTTTCTCCACCATTGGTACTTTGATGATTCTCCCACAGTTCCTTGGATCGCCCGGGCGGTGTCGTGGGAGGGCTATCCGCAAGGATTAGCACTAATTTTTGCGGATAGCCCTCTCACGGGGCCGTCCGGCCGACTCAAGGATGTAATGTCCTCAAAGTCAAAAAGCAAAAGGATTTTGAAAATGTCCGGAATAAGAAAACCGTTTAGAATACATGGAAAAATGATAATTTAGCTAATATTAATCTAACTTCCACAATTTAGTAACATTGCTAAAAATACTTTTATTTGCTAAAATAGTAGCATTTCTAAAAATAACTACTTGCGACAATGCCCAATACCCGATCAAAAACCGCGTCGCGGCTTTTCATCCCTGGTATATAGCTAAAACTTAGGTATTAATTTATTGCACATTCTACAATTATCTTTAGACACTAAGGCCACAAAGGGCTTTTTTCTCTTCAAATATAATTTGTTTTTTGTTTGAGCTTTTCGACTTAAAACAGTAACCCTGATGATTTAAAGTTTTGAAATCGATTACATTATATAAAAATAGGATTATTGGAAACGAATTCATTAATTTCTACGAACTAAGCTTTTACCGGACTCGGGGGTGCTTCATAGATACATTCCGGATCCCGGAACTCCCTCCTTCGCCGCCGGTCATCAATTCTTGGAGTACCCACAATCGAAGACTAAAAAATCGATAAAATAGTAAATAAATAATCCAGACAACTCTTTATAAATTAAAATGCATATCTATCTAAATAAAATTTAATGAATATTTTACCTCAGCAACACTCGGCCGTCGCATCCTTCCGTAAATTCCCGGCTCAAATCGGCCTAAAAAATTATAGAAGTACTATTTTTTTTGCTTTAGAATTACCATATAGCGGATCAGCAGGTCCGATTGCTAAATAGGAAGGAGGCGGAGCCATTTTGGGCATCGTATAGTTGTAGCTTTGGTAGATGCTGAAAAATGATTTTACTATCGAACTTTTGGGAATTTTGAGGTCGGCATTATCAAATTAGAATAAACCACTAATTTGCATACCCTTCAGTTGGAATAATCCTTCCAGCAGTGGGGATGTAGTAAATCGACGACTCGTCATCGGCTCCGTGCATTAATGACGAGATTGTGGAGAGAGCGTTGTCATTTAGGAAGGAAACGGCGCTAGAAATTTTTGAATCAAGTTGTTTCTTAAGCCTAGGCGGAAGCTAAGCCTCAACCTAAGGCCTAAGCTAAGCCCAAGCTAAGCCCAAGGTTAAGCCTAAGCCCAGCCTAAACCCAGCCTAAGCCTAAGCCCAGACTAAGCCAAAGCCAAGCCTAATTTAAGCCTAAGCTAAGTCTAAACCAAGCATAAGCTAAGCCCAGGTTAACCTAAGCCAAGCACTTACTTTGGCAAGAACAGCAAAATATGCGCAAAGGATGCGATTCCATTCAAAAGTAGTATCCTCCAGATATGGAGTACAATCGGGGCATCGATACGGAGAAGCGGCAAATAGGTCACCACCGGAAGCGCAATCGCGATCGTCACCGGCACCAGGCAGGACTACAAGATGCACCTCTTTACGGGGGCTGTACGAAGCCACATACCTGGAAGGTATACTGTATCCGTTGTGCTGGCCGAAGTCCTCTGCCAGAGTTTGCGTAAGCGTAGCAGAAGGACATCGACACGACACAAGAGAGGGCGTTCGCTGAAAGTATGTAAATTCTGGGAATTATTTTCTTTTTCCTTCTTTAGCTTCTTTTGCTTTTTCTGGCGGCCCCAGAGATCCACATTTTATGGCTTCAACATTTGCCTAATCCGCGTCCCAGAATTACAAAAAATTTGTTGGCTTCCACCATTTTCGAAGCACTGGGTCACCGACCAGGCTGGGTGCGTTGTCGGTGTTTTTCGGGTCTGAGGAGACCGAGCGCGTCAGAAGTTGGAAATGTCTAGATCACTGACCACAGATTGCCATCGTCAGGGTGACAGTGTTGAGTGGGACTCCCCAATGTGAGGCGTAGCCGACGGTTTCGATGATGACGCACAACTAGAATGGAGGAGCTATTATGACGAGAGAGAGAGAGAGTGAGAGAATGGGAGAGCGAGAGCGAGATAGAGAGAGAGAGAGCGAGAGAGAGGGAGAGTGAGAAAGAAAGAGCGAGCGATAGAGAAACCGAACTATAGAAAGCCATATATAGATAACCAGAGATAGCAAGAGCTTGAGCTAAAGAGTCAGCGAGCGAGCGAGAGAGAGTGAGAGAGAGAGAGAGCGAGAGCGAGAGTGAAAGAGAGAGCGAGCGAGAGAAAGAAAGGGGAAGAGAAAACTTACAGATGTCGCCACAACCACAAAAGTCAATGACGGCTGCCCGAAGATGAACAAGCTGACGAACAACAACACCGTCAAGAACACTCCAAACGCAAAGAGAGCTGTAGACAGCGACTAAAAATATATTTTTCCGGATGTCATTCTCTTTTAAAACGCACCTGGAGATCGTGCTGAATCGAGAACAAAAACGGGGCCTTGATCGTGATGGGGAGCTGCATAGCTCTTGCTCGACTCAGGAGACCATCAACGACCTCTCGCCTGGATTCAAATCTTTTAATAATTTTATTAAGCGTACCTATGCTCGACTCCTTTTTTATTCAACTCCAAATACATCCTGCTCCTCGTAATTTGCATCTGAAAGTGATCGTAGACGACGTCAGAGGCGTAGCTAAACGGAATTAAGCGTAAAATCGCTAGTTTTCTTTATTACCGTTGGTAAGGATCTGTCGTTAAGAAAACTAGGCGGACGATGGGGACGAAAGTGTCCTAAATCGATTGTAAATTAATGAAAATTACCGGAAAAATACCTGGTTGATCTCATAGACGCTAGATTTTTCGAATCGTCCAAAATCGGCTAGCCAACTGACGGCTCTGCTGGCGTAGTCTTCTTTCTAAAAATTGCATAAATATTTGGATAAAAACTACAGATTAAGAGATCTATATAACAATATTCCGATGTAAAACGAACCACTGGCTGCTCAAGCAAATCCAAAATTGATTGGCGTAAGCTTGGTTCATGGTAATCCAGCGTTTGTTCGATGGTAATTTCGAGATATTCCTAAAAATTGAAAAATAGGCTAGGGAGAGGAGAGAGAGAAACAGAGAGTACGCCACTAACCTCCGTACGCCCAAATAATTCTCGGAAATTCTCCAAAAACTTTCTGGCCTCAGAGTGGGAAGGCAGAAAGTGCTCCTCTCGAAGATCGATGCTAAATTATAGATAGCTTTAATAAAGAATATAATAGAATTACTTGATATTTACACATCCCCAAGCGGCCAGCAACAGATAAACGGTACACAGGAAAACGAGCGGGTACCGCAGCGACGGGCCAAAAAGCCAGGCGGCGAATTGGCGGCAAGGGCTTGATTTGCTAAAAATACAAAATTTCTAAAGTTATTTCAAATAATTAGGTATAATATCTTATCTATAATACCAAAAATCTCGAAAAGTTGTTTAGTTACTTACGTATCGATGAGACGATCGTGGAGAACCTCAAGTTGCGCATTTTCAAAATCGACAAGATTCGCGGCTAAAAACACAAAATTAAGTATAATAATTGCTTCATAAACCTTGTAAAAATACATAAATTTATTTATAAAAAGGCATTTTCATAAAACTGGTATTAAAGTTTAGATCAAAATCCTTAAAGACTCAAAAAACTTACAAGGAAAATGCGTATCACCTGACCGGCAGAAATGGTACCATTTACACCCTTTTGCCTCGCGTCTACCGCTTCTAAAATATTTATTAAATCAACAGGTTTTGAGATTTATTAAATCATAGAAAACAATCAAAATACAGCGACTAACTTGAAGACGAATACGGTAAGGAATAGTAGGCTGAGGATAAGCAAGGCGGCGATGCCTAAAATATTCAAAAATAAAAATTTTACGAAAAACTAGAATTTTTCGATAACTAGAAAATTATAACAAACCTGCAGCCATTGTCAAAAATGCTGTTTGTACGTACGGGGTAGCGGAGAGGATCCCGGAGATCACTAGAAGAACGGCGAGGTAATTAGGCCAATTTCTGGGACTCACCAAACATTGTGATGAGCAGGAGGGATGAGGCGCAGATGAATGTTCCCTCGTAGGCCATGACGAGGGCGATTTTTTCTGGAAGTAGAGAAAAAATTAAAATACCAGAAATTACTGTATACAACGCGAAAAAAATTTTTGAAAGTACCTGAGGGGTGGAGGGCCACCGCTGAAAATTTGTTCCAGGCAATGTGAAGCGATTGGCAGTAGCAGGAGCCGATTCCTGAACGGTTTTAGCTGTAAGAATATTCACTATAATTGTCGTTAAACTAAAAATAAATAATATTATATAGTATTATTAAAGTATCTGTGCACTAAAAAGACTTAATATTAATATAACATTATTAAGTAACGAAGAGCAAGAAAACGGCAATTTTAGCTGTACTTTTTATAAACAAAATACCGCGCCCCGCCCGTTGCTCCCCTATTCATAGCGTAATGGCTTTCAAACAGTTGTAAATCTAATGGATAGCAAACATCTATAGAAATGCCTTCTTCATCACGCCTGAAATTTTGAGCAATTTTGGGGTATTTATTCAAGCTAAAAATTTCAATTTAGCTGTAGTTTCCACATAGATTTTATGACACCCGCGACACGCAATGCGTACGCGCTGTCTTGATGGCTTAATGGTTTAAGGCAATTTTAAATTTAAAGGCTGGTAAAAATCCACTGCAATGCCATGGCTGTCCCTTTAATTAAGTATTGAAGAATATAAAATTTATTTTAGCTGTAGTTTCATATAGGATTTATGGCGCGCACCCGCGACACGCAACGCGGAAGCTCTGCTCTTCACAGCGTAATCGTTTATGTGGTTTCGAGCTACAAAATGGCACGCGCAAAATCTTTCGGCAATATATAGGCAATTAAAAATTGCCTTATCTATCCCTTTAAAATTTTTAGGAAGATTCTAAAATTCAAGAATGTATGAAAACTAGAAATTTCAAGTCAAAACTGAGGATTAGAATGGCGTGCGGCTGTTGCGATGGTTTCTGAAATCCGCACAAAAACGGGGCGGTCCCCAGCGCCCTCACCCCCCAACGGGTTCAGTACAAAATCGAAGCCATAATTCGTGAAGTCCCAATTTCCCTTCGCACCGACCTACGGTATCCCCTTGGGACGCCGAAATAAGAAATAAGGGACGCGTCATCAGATCCAACAACGGGGGATCTTTTGAACTTTTCGTCTCTCTCTCTCTCTCTCTCTCTCTCTCTCTCTCTCTCGCTCTCTCTCTCTATCTTTACGGCGATAACAGGAAAATGGCTTCATCGGGACGGGGCGGGTCGACGCAATGTATTTAAATGTGGCCCGACGGGGGATATGAGGAAGAAGACTTATTTCCATTACCCCCGAACGCCATTAATTTTTTTCGTTCATTTTTGTGCGTCAGGGTTTTCTACGTATTTTTTGGTATTTTTGAAGGTGAATGTCAAAAGAATATGGTACGTCAGAATGAGTCAATTTTCAGGAATATCCAGGCTTTTATATGTATAAAAGCAATAAGTATTTCAAATTTTCAATTATGTATGAATTTTTCTTGATTTTTGTAGATTTTTCTATCTTTTCGTCTAAACTTTTCCACCGCGAAATGCAACGCGCGAAGTAGCATACCGTAACGTAGCGTGAAGTAGTGCACGTCATTCCGAGCGGAAAGGGCAACCAGTTACGCTATAAGTTACGTGTCGCGGGCACGACAATAAATATAGTATCCAAAACTTATAATTCATCTACAGCCAAAAACACAAAATTTTTGCCTTGCCGAAACCTTGAAACGGATAAGAACAACAAATTAAATTTTTTAACCAGATCTTATACCCTTTTTTAGCATTTTCAGGTTATTTTCCATCTGTTTTAGGCCCTAGAAGCCCGCAAAAAATTCGATCTTTTAGCCGAAAAGCGCCAAAACAACAATCCGTACTAATGAACTCACCCATAATAATGAAGGTAACGGGCAGGAGCAGCAGATTGATAATTGGAGACCCAGACACCGAGACACACATCCCAGCTGCTGCCGATCCCAATAGAACAACCCCCGTTGCCAACCCGATCAATGGCTTGCTCTGGAACATTCAAAACCTTATTTTATTCCGATTTTATTCGTCTTTCGAGGCTTTTTTGGATACCTGATAGGCGTTCGATCGGAACGACGCGGCGAGGGAAATCAGGAGCACAAGCCCTCCGGATACAGCAGCCCAATAGTGATATCGTTCCAGGGCTTCGAGTACGGTATCCACGAATTCGAGGTGACTCCAGCGGCACACTTCGAGGCTTGGCTCTTCCTTGCGGAGCGCGTCGACCTAAACGATTGATATGATTTGCTATCGTGTTGTCGAAAATTATGTTGTAGAAATTTAATAATGCCGAAATGCATAATCTCGACATTAAAATGACGAAATTTCGTTGTCGAAATTGATTTTTATTTTGCGTGTTATTCGAGGGGTTTCAAAGAGTTTCGTCTCTAAAAAATGCCGACATTATGAAATTTCGACGTTCCGAAAAGCCTTCAGTATGGAATTTCGACGTTCAGAAATGTCGGCATTATGAAATGATGAAAATGCCAAATTTCGAGATTATGAAATTGCGAAATCCTGTTTATTCTACAACATGAAATTGGCCATTTTGAAAGTAAACTATTTTATGTGGTAGATATTTTTATTTTTAATGCATTAGACATAGACCGACTTACCTTGTGAAGGAATGACTGCTCCCAGAGTTGCGTGTCTTGATCGTTCAAATTCCGGTTAAGCCCGAATGGAATCAATAGGGCCTGGGCCGAGGCGATGGCTCCATCAACGTCCAATTCCACTCCTGAATTAAAATTAATTAAGTTTAATTTAAGTATTTAAATAAATACTAAACACAGTTAAATACAGTAAGTATTGCTACCTCCAATAGTTGACGCCAAAAAGACACGCGTTAAATTTGTGTCTTCTCTAGAGAGGGAGACGTAAGTTTCAGGGTAGGTAAGGGCTATCTAAAAAATTAAAATTCAGATTACATGGTTTATAGAGTGATTATCTAAATCTGAAAATTGCAAAAATAATCTAAAATCTTGTACCTGAGTACTTTTCTTAACAATTTTATCCAAAATCGACGAATCAGCCGAGCAACTTTCCGCACTGCACAAATCGGTCCACTAAAAACGTATATAAAATAAATTATAAAATATATATTTAATTAAACATAACTATCTTTAAATACATTTTATATTATTATATATTAATCTATATTTTTAACAATATATTTAAGCAATTTTTACTTACCGATTTCCCTCCAAAACCTATCCCCTGCATCATCGCCTTCACATTTGAATAAGTGGCGATCGTTTTGTCTTGGAGAATTGTCTCTTTTGGGTCCCTATGAAAGAAAATTAGCTTTTTAAAAATCCATTAAGTACAAAAAATTATCTGTTTAATAAAAAACTTACAAATTTTTAAACAACACCGCATAGGTGTAATTATTTAGGCGGAGTAGCGGGGCATAGGAAGGATTTGTGGTGTTGAAGTTGGGTGCGATTTGGCGTAGGATGCCGACCCCGGAAGAGGCCACCTGAAATGGCAACAAGGGGATTAATTTACAAATGTCGATAGGATGGGAATGGAAAGGCGCGATTTTTCGCTTCCGCTTTTTCGCAGACATTAACTATGCTAGAGCTCTTTTACATGCAAAGACTTTCAGAAAAATTCGATGCATTAATTGTAGGGTTTTTTTGAAGTTTGAAGTTGATGCTCGTATTTTAAGGATTTTAGCTCATGCTCGAAAATTACGTCTTAAGGCTAAACACTCACATCGAATTAAATTTTCGAATTTTGAAGCTCACGCTCGCATTTTTTAAAGTCTGAGTTCATGCTCGGAAAACGTTTTTAGGCTAAAAACTCACATCAAATCGATTTTAGAATTTTTAAGCTCATGCTCAAGAACGTGTGTTTAAGTCTAAGCACTACGATCATTTTCATTTTTGCATTTTGGAGCTCATGCTCGAAAGAAGCCAAGGTTTTTAAGGCTAAAGACTCACATCAAATTCATTTGTCTGGACGAGAGAGCGGAAAGGCAGCGCCACGGATAGCTTATCCCAATAGAGTACGGGGATTACTAGCGACAGCCCGACAAGAATGAGGGCTGTGATGGAGAAGATCGAGTTGTGGTTGGCCAGGGCTTTTCCCATGTACCAGAGGACTTTGCGGAGCACACGCTCTGGCCATTGTGAACAACGGTAGGCACCTCGTGCTCCTGAAAGTTAAAAATATGAATTTTGGACGCGAGGGAAGGAGAGAGAGAGGGAGAGAGAGCGAGAAAGAACGAGAGAGAGAGAGAGAGAGAGAGAGAGAGAGGGAGATAAAACCTATTTCTTACCTTGAGAATCCTCCTCATTAACCTCGACTTTCTGCACAAAATGCGCCATCGCCATCTCATTCGTCACCCTCCTCACAAGTGCAGCCGCTGCTCCCTTGGCTTCTCGACGAAGCGTTTCCGGTGATGGCGGCTCCTCAACATAGCTCGTCCTCATCTCCTGAGTCTCGTGCTCACGGTCCCTCGGCTTTACCGGTGGGAGCTCCTTGTCCTGAGGAATTAATTGTAGTAACCATATGATTTATATATTTTAATTCCAGACTTTTCAAATAAACTTACAATTTTTAGTTTCCAATTTAATTTCATGAATACTTACTGTAGATGCGGGCATGACTGACGAAGACGAAGAAGACGCATTGGAGGTTGTGGTGCTGCTCAAATTAGAATGCGCGGGGAGTGGGGGTTGCTAAAAATATGAACATTGAAGTTATGAAAAAATTACGGTGCTCGTGGGGAGTTCCGGCTCCGGTTTTCGGGCTAGGGAGTTGAAGCGAGAATCCGATGCCGGCGGAGGTTTGGCTTGAGGAGGGCCCTAAAAAAGGGAAACTGACATGTTTATAATTTTATACTTTAATATATAAATCTCAATTTTTATCACACCGCAAATAAATTCCGATCTAAATTACTAATTATTTTTAAAAATAATCTACCCTTTTCAAGCTCCTTTCAAACGTCGTATACCCGTCTAGCGTGATTAGCATAGGATTTTAAGGTATAGATAAGCTTTATAAAATTGTAAATAATTTTTTAGGTAGTAATTTGGTATCCGGCGTTCAGTGATAATGTTTGGGGTGGCTATCTCCTTTTGTGATTGGGTGGAAATGAAATGCCGACAGGAAAGTGGGTCACTCTCCTTGCTCTCTCGCTCTCTCGCCTGGGGAGCTGCAGCTGATGCTCGGCACAGCTGGGTGCAAATTGGAATGAAGGTGAGGGCAGTGAAAGACAATGTAGAACGGAAGAACGGGCCCGGGATTAGCCTAATTTGTGCTGGAAAAAAGTTAGGAATTTTTTCTGGTGATTTTTATCACATTTTTTTATTTTAAGGCTTCCCGGTTCCTTTCAAATCGAAAAATCTTCTAAAGGTTTGCCAAAAAGATGATTTTTTAAAATTTTTTTGAAAAAAGACATCAAAATTGAAGCTTCCTATTTCCTTTAAAACCACAAACAAAAACAGAAGTGTACTTTCTACGTCTCACATGGAGCATTGTTGTAATTTTAAAGGGGCTTGGAAGGCAAAAATAAAGCCGGAAAAATGGCGGTCTCCCAAAATGAAGTAATCGGTAAATCCGTCCGTAAACCAAAAATATCGAAAAACAACGGAAAATCGATATTTTAAAGAAATTTTCCAACAAAAATTAATTTGGAGGAATGGCGGTTTGCCAGAAATAAGGCAGATTTTAACTTCGCAGTTCCTTTAAAAGTTTAAAAACTTGATAAAACTGGAGCAACGCATTTTTCACAAATTCTACCAACCAGCCGCCTGGCATACGTCGCGTTCGGCGTCAAATGTACATGGTGTATTCGTTCCATTAAAGTACTCAGTACACCCCCGGGGGTAGTGTGACAATTGTCAATAGGTGTGTGGGTGTTGATGCTTAGAGAATAGGGGGTGTGGGAACGGTGTTCGCCTCGAGGGGGGGGATGGCGCCTTCCTGCTGTGCCATTCTCATCCAAACAGTTCATCAGTTCGTAGCAGGCTTTCCTAGGCTTTTTCCAGCCTCGAAAAAAGTGCCCCCACCACCGCTACGGCCGCTTGCCCCCTGGAAATCAACCCAAAAATATGGCCGTGCGGAATCGGGGAGGAAACGGAATTTGGATGCAAATTAGCCTTGTAATTTTTATTTTAGAAGGAATACGGTACTTTCAGAATATATTTCATTAGCATAAATTACGGTGGAAAATTCAAAAAGAGTAGCTGACTTTGATCTCCTCATATTTATCATTTTTTACTTTACAGAATCCGGGTTGGAATTCGCGGTCGGAAATAACTTTGTAATTGTGAATTTCGAATGCATACTATAATTTTTAACATTATTTTCAATAGTAATCGATTACGATATGCAATTAAAAGCGTTATTACTTATAAAAACAGCATGTTCTATCCCTTTAGGATAAACAAAATTGCACTTAAAAATTTTACGTTAATTTGCGTTTTTTACGATTTTTATGAAATTAATTTAGTTAGTTATAATTTGATAATGTTCTTAATTTTAAAATTGAGTGATTAAACGTTATGTTATTACTGTATAATCATCGAATACATTTGACAACCCACATCATTATTCAGATTCGACGTTCTCCGCTGAATTCGGATGCCATCGCCGCGCAGCCGGGGTGGGGATTCGGCTCTTAATGAGCCCCCAACACCGTAGTACATTTAATACCTATTAACAAAAAATTTTGAAGGCTAAGAGCAGCAGAATATTTATTAAAACAATGATAAGAATGTAAAAAAAGAAAAATAAGTTTTTTTTAGCACGATAGGAGGAGCTTCAAGGCCAAAACCAGCAATATCAGCTACAATTTTGAAGGAAGGTTAAGCTAAAATAGACAAAAATAAAAAATTGTATGAAATAGTATAGGTGGAAGAGGGGAGAGTACGCGTGGATATGAATGTTGCGGGGGATGAGATGGGAAGAGGAGAAGAAGAGAAGAAGAAGAGAAGATGCAGATCGAGGCGATAACCCGGTCGCGTCGATCAAGGCAGGCTGACGGCTCTATTCCGCCTGTCTAATTACTTTTCATATCGAAAAATTCGGGTTTTTGAAAGCTTTTCATAAAAAATTAGAAATATCAATCAAAATAGTAAATGACAGTAAGCCGAAGCAAAAAAAGACTAAAGTAGCGGGTTGAAACGAAGTGATTTGCTTTAAGTTAATCACTTTAATCTCGAAAATTGGGTTTTCGAAGGTGGTAATAGAATTTAATAGGAAATATAATCAAAATAGAAAAATACCGTAGTCCGCCTGAAATAGATACGGTAGAGGATCGTAATACACAGATAATTTAGTGTAATTAAGAAAAATCTTATACAGAAAATCCGGATTCGTCGGCTTGTAAAATCTAAATAAATCTGACAAATACACCAGATAATACTGTAGTCAGGGCCGGAAAGAGTACGATAGCGGAATCCGAAGCTGTTATTATACTTTCACGCTCGGTCAAAGTATCGGAAATCGTATTGATAAAAAATATTTATTTCTTAAAATACGAATGATTAGCTAAACGCATGAAATCCAAATTATAGACAATTAGTAAAAGATTTATAGATAAAAATATGGTTAGATATTAGTAGATCGCATAAAAAAGCGCCTAATAATTTTCATATAAACACCCGAAAATTTAGTGATAGTAGAGATCGGGAATCTGCGGTTAAGACTGTGGTGGCTAGCGGAATGGTCCGGAATGGGGGAACACCAATTTCAGAAATGTGGGTCAGGGTACAGGAAAGAGAAGAGAAGAAGAAGAGGGGCATAGACAAGAAGATCCTATCACTTCCTGTCCCCCCCCCCAATAGCCACCATCTCCACACAATGATAGTCCTCATATCGCAAATCACTACGATTTTCCCCTATTAGGAATCTCGGCCCATTCCATCGGATAGATTCGCCCCCATCCACACATTCTCACCCTATTTCGGGGTGGTTGGAGGGAAATTATGTGTGATTAGGGGGAGTTCGTAAAAGCTGGAAAGTAAAAAACAATATGGTAAAAATCTCGAAAACCAGAAATTAAGGTAATTTAATGTAGCTGCATTCAAACAGTAAAAAACTAAACCAACTGCATTCAAAAAGTAAAAAAAAGTTAAAGGGACTGTGTGATTAGCGGGAGTGAAATGGAATGATGGAGAGCCAATAAAAGCTAGAAGACACAAAAATACGCAAAACCATTACAAAAATCCAAGCATTACAGTACTTTCATGTTTATACAGCTACCATACCCAAATTCAAACGCCCACGAAATTTAAAGGGACAAATCAGGCACAATTACTTCTATGGATTCCGCAGCGCGACACGCAACGCGGGGTTCCTTATGACTTGCATTTAAATTTCCCATTTCCAACCTATTACAGGCTAGACGAATAGAAATTTTGTGTGATTAGGGGGTGAAATGGAACAACGGGTAGATAAAAAAAAACCATAAAGCCATTCAAAATTTAATTAGTTACAACTTCACGAGTAGTGGGCCCTACTTTTTTTACTGATAATTCCGATGTTCAACCTGCATCGGCAGTCCTTAGCCTGACCAAACCTTAACAAAAGATATTACTACACTAATAAAGTTAGAAAATCTAGAAAAAAAGCTAAAAATAACAAAAACCAGGAATTACGGTAGTTGCATGTATTTTTAACTGCAGACCAGTACTATACCAAAATTAAGAGGTTAAAAATTTAAAAATAAGCCAGCATTTTGGCCAACAGGCAGGTTACGAAAAGAAATTACATACTTTTAATAAAAAAGCCGTTTCTGTCTATGTGTCCTATGAATACCTTCACCCTGCTGAATGACTTCAGCGTCACTGACGTGGTCACGAAACTTCTCGTTTCCCCATCTCCAAGAGTGGCGAATGGCAATGTAGCAGTCCGCGCAAGTCGAGGAATTCTGTAACAGTTTCCGGGTTTGGATTTATCACAGGTAAAATAGTTCTTTGAATTAAAAGTCCTGTTGATGGTGGAAAATCCTTTTCGGAACAAATGGGTTTATTTAACCCGTCTTACCTAAAAATAAGGTTTGCGCCATCCGAAGCGACGGCCCGCCTTGCCTGAAAAAGCTATAAGCCTCATTCTGCACGATAAATCAGTTTTGTTGACTTTTTTATCGATTTGATCACAAAAACTGCGTTTTGGGCGCGTGCCCCGGATAAATTGGCATAAAAATTTGTATATGTATATAGAATTTTTACTAACGCACATTTTTTACCGGCCGCGGTAGTCTTTGGTTTTGGCCCGACATAGGTGGGGCGAGCAAACCGGAATAGAGACGACGAATTGCGTATCCAACCATCACGTCTCGGAAGAACGATGCAGACTCCAAAATCCCAGGAATCGCTGAACTATAAATGGGTTGTGTTGCACTTGGAATACGGCTACCGGTGTAATAACAGGGCTAGACTTTACTTTACGCCATCCCGGCCGCAATTTCCCAAAATTTTTCGAGAATTCGGTTATTTTGTGGGGATTTCGACTACATATTCGATAAAACATCCAAAACTACAATAAGAGTTTGGATTAAAGCCAAAATTCCGGCCGGGGGTAAAGTAAAGTAAAGTCTAGCATGAATTGTCTCCGCATTGTTGAAAATCCGCCACGTTCGTTCCATGTGCCGCGTATTCGAAAGGTAGTCCGGTATGTTCAGAAATCGACATCAGTTTAAAGACATCACCTAAAAAGTATATAAACAGCCAATAACGCGATTATACGATAACGACGGCACGGGTTGGACGCATCATATTTACGAGCAACTTCAGAGGGGCAGCTCGCCAGGTCCGCGCCCATTTCATCTTTGCAGCGACGGGTTCGGGTGATTCGCGCGTCCCCGGTGAAGCGCCTGACATCTAAACACGCGATAATAAGAACAACGCGTAGAAATAGCTTCGATAAGTTGCAAATTTTCGAAGATAAATTCCGCGAACTACCAACAAAACGTTTATCTCCAATGAATCGCGAAAATAAGTACCCATTATAATAAAAGCCACAGTAAAGCCTATTCGTTTTTACAAACACAAAAATTATTTAATAAAAATAAGTAATAGGAAATACATGCGGGCAAAAATATTAGTAAACTCACAGTTGCGCAACTCCGGAAGCTCGTCCGACCTTCTCAGCCACGAAATCCTAAGAAATCATTGTATAAATGTAAGAAGGCTTACCGGGATAGGCGGGAAGGGCATTTTATTGTTCTCGCGAACACCTGTGGCCGTCTCTGGGAGGGCGTCGCAGCTCCACTCGAATTGGGCGAACAAGTGGTCGTACTCCGATGGCAGAGCGGCCTTCTCCCATTCATCGAGTTGCTAAAGATGGGTAAGAGGGTGAAAATCTCGGAAAACCTCCATGTCTCGTTTCATCAATTCGGGATCCTGGCGACGTTTTAGCACACAGGCTTTTGCCACCATCTCGACTGGAATGGCGCGTTGCTTCTAAAATATGGCTTGGCTATTCCAATACAAAGCTACCACTTTGTTGAAAAAGGGCATATCCATCAGCGCGGCGTACACCTTGCGTGGATCCTCTTCAGAATAGCCGAGGCGCGCTTCCGGGCTCATGGCGAGAAGCCCGCGCAACACAGCTAAGGCAGACGGTGTAATACCGGTGCGCATCAGGGCCGTGGACTGCGAGCAGCGAGGGAAAAGCGCGTCCTAAACAAAAAGTTTTAACAAGCGCGAAACTCCTTACATTTCGCTCTAAAAAGGCCACTTTTTGCTTGTAGCCTTTGTAGTTGCCTTGCATCCTCTCAAGTAGATAGTTATTGCCAACGATCCACTCGTACATGCACATCCCGAGCGCCCAGAGATCGCGCCTAAAAACAAAATTCGAAAACTCTTTGGAAACCCACGAGTGCGTGTAGGAGCGGCTGTCGAGGAAGCATTCAGGGCCCAAATATTCCGCCGTTCCACCGCGTGTCATTGCCTTTTCGCCTAACGGGAGCGCCTAAACGAACATTTTCTCAAGCGGGTCCTTTCGCATTATCGGGGGGGATCGACCTGTTTTTATAAGTCTAGAAATACCTAGTAACGTACAAGTGTTTTAATAGTGCTTTTAGTGATATCTAACTGTATTTCAACCAAAAAACTATACAAAAACTTTTAAATGCCTAATGTTGGTCAAAAACCGGCCATTTTTCGATGGAAAAATCGATTTTTTTAATCCAAGTTTGTAAAGTTTTCAAATTCAGGAATAGTAAAAAATTATTTAGAAACACATCCACTATTTGTATTTGGAAAATTAGATCCTAAGAAAAAGTTGGTCCCTCCAGTGATGCGAAAGAACCCAAATTTTAGTAATAAAATATACCTTGCTCCACCCAAAATCGGCTAGAAGTACACGACCATCTCTGGACAGCAGCATGTTGTCGGGCTTGATATCGCGATGGATGACGCCTTGTGAATGGATGAAAAGTAGTCCGTCCAATGCTTGTGCCATCAGTCGTTGGACGATGGGTTCGGGCAGCCGGTGTTGCTTGTCGTCGATGGCGGTAGTCAGAGTGTAGACGTCGGTAGCAGCTTCCTCCATGCTGAAGTAGAACGTGTTGCCGACCTGGAAAAATAAGGGGTTTTGCCGCTATTTACGCTTGCTGACCGCAAGGACGCTCTAAAAACCCTGCGTTCCGATCGATTAACCTCAAAAGCACGTTTTCTGGCCTAGTTTCGTGTGCCGGGTTTGAATTTGTCATTTACAAACTTCAAAAACTTATATTTAGACTACAAACTACAAAAAATTGACGCCGGAAACGTTTTCCGCGTGTTGCCGGGACTTTTGACAGAAAATTTGGTTTTGATAGACCGATCGGGCAACGCCACCCAGACTCACAAGCGAACCTTTTTTAGCGTTTGCCTAGTTTCGAAACCAGAACAAGCCTATTTTGTGCAGAATTTTTCGCTAATCACAACGTGCATTCCAGAATCTGCCTAACGCCCATATTTGGAACGTTATAAAGCTTTAAAGGGTGAAAAATGCTGAAAACAGCGACTTTGGCTGTTTTTTTCGAGCTCTAAAGCTTCATAACGTTCTTACTGTGGCCATTTAGCAGCATCTGCAAACGAGGTTTTAATCAAGATTTTGCACAAAATAGGCTTGGTATGGTTTCGAAAAACGTTGCCTGGTCAGCGTTTTTGGCCCAAAACAAGAAACGCCATCACAAGAAAAACCAACTCGTTTGCACGCGTAGAGCTTGACGACGTTGTGGTGACCATTGGAGGCCCGCCAGGACTGTGTCTCGACTTGTATCGGCTCCAGAGTAGCCCTGACGCTTTTGAGATGTTGGAGCTTCACGATCTTCAACGCGATGGGGCGGCGCTTGGCGTCGGTGGCCGTGTAGACCTGAATCGAATTCATAAAATTGAAGCGAATTAAAGCTTACCAAACCGAAGGTGCCACTGCCCAGTCGTTTCCCAAGCGTGAAGCTGTCGTAGCGCCGTCCCCCGGTCTGCGAGAGGGCCTTGTGGCGTTGGCGATGGGGCGCGTTGGTGGCGTTGAGCATCGCCACGCGTCCAAGCATCTAAAAAAGGATCATCAGTAACGTATCGATCGGCATATAATGTTAAATAGAGAAAAGAAAGTTTATAAGAAGAAGTGGACCTTTTTAGAAGAGCTTTCCGAAACCATGACGGCTGGAAAAACGCAAAGCGCCAATTTACGCCAAATGTTGGACGGAGCGGAACGGAATTTCCGCCAGTAAAAAGTTAAATATGTTATTTGACAAAATTAAAGCTATATAAATTTAACTTTCGCCGCTTTTAGCGTTTCGATCTTTGGAGTGCTATAATTTGATGGCAAAACTACGTGAGTTTGCTTATTATGATGATCACAATCAGACCTTGCAAGCCTATGATCATCTTTTTCTGCCCTTTGGTAGCCTTTTCCCCCTACTATGTGCGCAAAGTGGTAGATAAACGATATTTTACATTAGAAAATGACGCGCGTTGTATTTCGCGACGCTTGCACGGCTCGTAAAGGCCATTTTCATGCTATAGGTCCTATTTTTTACAACTTTCCGCCCACGGCGCTGTCTTTGGACCAAATTTCGCTTCAAAAAACGTCATTTGCTGCCAGGAGCTGCGAGTGGCGTTTTCGGCGCTTTTTTTTCTAGCCTTTTTCTGAACGATGTAAGCCTGCGCCGCTTTTTTACGCCGTTTCTTTGCGCCTAACACTACGGTTTTACAAAAGTCGCGACGGGGGTGCAGGGATTTTCGTAGTTTCGGGCATATTCGGACAAAAGTTTGTTGAATATAAGTAGCGCAAATGTTTGTAAACTTTTTTTGCTATCCCCAGGCGTAAAAATTTTACAAATGTTTAGCAGAAAATACTAAAATATCGATTTTTCGATCAAAAATGACTTTTTTGGCCAGAATTTCGCCTTTATCAATAATTTTTCAAAGTTTTAGATTGTTTATATAGTAAAACGATAGTTTTATTTTACCGAAAACAGTCTGAAAATATTTCCTATTAAGTTGCTGGGCATTTCAGATTAGTAAAAAACAGTACAATACAGTGGTATGGGGTCGGTGATTCAGCCCGTCCTTTTTCAATTTTTTTGCTGTTTTTTACGCTTTTATTTGGCTCGGAGGGCGTCTAAAAATACCTTCATAGCAGCTCTTCTTCTTTCTTTCTCGCCTGTAGCAGTCATCTTCCTGCATTTTACACTAGCGCAGTCGCTTCGCGGTCCTCTAACTGAGCGTAAACTTCTTTACTTATACTTCTTCTTTAGATTACGTTCTCTGATAGAGATAGAAAATGAGAGCTAGAGAGAGAGGGAGAGCGCGACAGAGAAGAGAGAGACAGAGAGAACGAGAGACAGAGAGAGAGAGAGAGAGAGAGAGAGACAGAGAGAGAGAACGAGAGACAGAGAGAGAGAGAGAGAGAGAGAGAGAGAGAGAGAGAGAGAACGAGAGACAGAGAGAGAGAACGAGAGACAGAGAGAGAGAACGAGAGACAGAGAGAGAGACAGAGAGAGAGAGAGAGAGAGAGAGAGAGAGAGAGAGAGAGAGAGAGAGAAAGTGAGGGAGCGTGATAAATAGAGAGAGAAAGAGAGAGAGAGAGAGAGAGAGAGAGAGAGAGAGAGAGAGCAAGGTCAATGGCTGGTAGGGTGTCTAATCGACTGCATGCATCGCAATACCATCAGATCAGTACGATTTGCATGCAGTTGCTCTTATTTGTGACATGACATATTTTCCCTGCTCCGACTTTCTTGACGTATAAAAACTAGAAGCTCTCAGTTGGCTTGATTGTTTTAGAACTCTGGTAGCTGCTTGTATAATTTTTAAAGTATTAGTCGGTCACTTCTGCTCGCTTGTAGCGTTTTTCGGCTTCACTTGGATCATCCTTGATACCATCTCTGCTTAGCTCTATCTCGTTCAGCTTCAGAACAAACCGGTTCTAAACTACGTTTTTTAGAAATTTGCTTTGCATGAGTCAACATATTCCGGCAAATAAAGAATACAAAATTAACAATTACCAATTATTTTTCAGTGGTTTTTCAGGGATGATACATCTTGCACTGTTTCTGCTTGCTACAGTATCTTTTTCTTCTGCTGATATATGGGTACGTATGGATGCTTCAAACTGCGTTCATCTCAAATGCGAGTGGCGTGGCAGGGGAAAGGATTGTGAATATGCCAACACTCATCTTCCAGCTAACCAACAGGTGAGGGAGAGAAAGTGAGAGAGAGAGAGAGAGAGGGAGACAGAGTCAGAGAGAGAGAAAGAAAGCAAAAATAAATAGAATTAAAATTAACCTTTAGAAGGTAGGACAAGCCATATTGGGTGGCGCTCCGGTCTACTACCCATCACGAGGAGCTCCCACCAAGGACGAGTCCGAGGCTAGCATCATGGCTAAAATAAAGGTAAGAAAAAGATGATACCAATTATTTAAAACATTGTTTAGAGAATTCATTTATTCATCAAAAATCCTTTCAGAAGAAGCACCCCGTGAATACGTTCACCGTGTTGAATGACTTCAGCGTCACTAAGAATTGTGCGCACAAATCGCTGTGGTGCAATTCAAGGAAAAGTATACTAACTGATGACAACGACGTAACCCTTAAAACGCCGTCAAAGATTTTTACAACCAGACCGAGGCTTGATTGTTGACTATATTTCCTGATCGATTAAAGGTATAGACAAGGCATTGCTGTGGATTGTGGTTGTGCGTAATCTGAACATACGTTTTACTGACAATTTGGTTTATTATTTGTTAATTATGATCTTCAATAAATTTCGATGCGCTTAGATCCATAACAAATATTCAACAAGTTTTACAGATATCAGGGTCTTTGCCTTTTTTATAGTAACAAATATTTGCCTCATCTGCTATCAAATCAAATATAGCAGAGAAAATAATCAGAGAGAGAGCGAGCAAGAGAGAGAGAGAGAGAGAGAGAGAGAGAGAGAGAGAGAGAGAGAGAGAGAGAGAGAGAGAGAGAGAGAGAGAGAGAGAGATAGAAGAGAGAGAGTCATGAAAGGTCAAGCAAGGTCAATCGTTGTGGAGGAGTCTTATGGACTGCAATACCATCAGATCAGTACGATTTTCCTCCATTTGACCTTTTATTTCTTTCGCTTTTGCGGTTTTTGACGAGAGCTACCATTTTTCAAACTTTGCATAAGTAAACGGAATCCCGCCAAATTCAGTAGTACATCAGTAACATTTTCAATTACTTTTCAGTGATGGGTCGTCTGGCGCTGTTTCTGCTCGCCGCAGTATCTTTTTCTTCTGCTCGGATCTTCGTATTCATGGACGCCTCGAATTGCGTTCACCTCAAATGCGAGTGGCGTGGAACGGGAAAAAATTGTGAGTATGACAACGCTCATGCTCCAGCTAATCAACAGGTGAGGGAGAGAGAGAGAGAGAGCGAGAGCGAAAAGTACAAATAAAATATCATTCAGAAAGCCATTTCGGGTGGCTCTGCAGTCTACTCCCCATCAAAAAGATGGCCCAACAAGGACGAGTCCGAGGCCAGCATCCTGGCAAGAATAAAAGTAAAAAAATTATACCACAAATTATTTGAATTATTGTTTCCAAAATTCAATTTTTAATCAAAAATCCTTCAGAAGAAGTACCGTGTGAATACGTTCACCGTGTTGAATGACTTCAGCGTCACTAGGAAATGCACGAAAAAAGAGCTGTGGTGCAATACAGCATTGATGATACTGACGGATGACAACGACGTAACCCTCAAAACGCCATCCAGGGTCTTTTACACCAGACCGAGGCTTGATTGTTGATCTGGTTTTTGTAGCGTTTAATAACTTAATCATGTGGTTAAATATTTTTTTGTAAATTTTGACAAAATGATGGTTTCGATAAATTTTTTGATTAAGCGATTTTTTAAAAGCCGTGTTTTGAAAGCGTTTCCCGATCATCACATTTCATCCGTATTTTTCGTAACGAACACCTCGAGCGTTGCGTGTTTATAAACGTAGCTCTCTCTCACTCTCTCTCTCCCCCTCTCTCTCCCTCTCTCTTTCTTTCTCTCTCGCTCTCTCTCGCTCTCTACTTGCTGGCCGAGTGACCACAATGACCTTCACCCCTTTCCTAAACTAACGATAGCAGTATTGGCTGGAGTTGGGCTAAACATTGCTTTTTGAACCATGCGTTTTTCTACAATATTTATATTAATTTCCCTCTCTCCATTCATCTATTCCGATTTTATTCCAAAGCGCTTTTCTGTCGATTTGGATGCTCCACCTCGAGAGCGATGGGCGGAAGTGATCAAGGCGCATAAGCAATATATACCTGGAGTAGCTGCGGAGAGTCGGTAGTGGAATTTTTAAAAGATAAACTTAGTATGCAAATTTTACATCTTCATAAACATTTGAACCAATTTTATTAAGCGAAAACTCCAATTTTTCAGGAAAATTTTTGATCTCTGTTAATTTACGTCATTAAATAACAACGCCATTTGATTTTTAATGTAATTTTACTAGGGAGAAAATAGCGTTTTTTATTTATTTAAAAATAAACCTCCTAATCTTTAAATCAAATGCATTAGGTTCTAATTCAATTTTATCACTTTGTCAGATAATGGAATACTGGAATATGATCCTAAATAATATATATATAATAAATAATTTGTGAATTTTGTAATAATATACAATCTTAAATAGCAATCACAATAAAAAATTCATTTTATTTAATTAATCAAAAGCTTAAAATCCAATTTTAATATTTTAAAAAATTTTATTTTTCCTTTTTTTCAGAAAATACATCCCCGGCTGGGCGCAACCTTTCGTATTTTGGGTGGCCAAAGCTCTGGTCCACCTTTTCCCGGAGGAATACGCCGAAGAATTGAGAGGTTTTTTTCAAAAAAATTCCCCTCCACTCCATAATGGCAATTAAGGAATTGCCGAAGCAGCCAATCTCCCTCTGGGCGAGGTTGTCGGCTTGAATATTCTCTATGACATCACGGCATTCGACCGCAAGCAGTAATTACGCGTTTTTTAAGCTGAAATTATTTTTATTTTTAGTATATTTGGACTTGGGTGTACATCTTTGGTGGCTGAAGACGCGAGGGGGAGAATTTGGCATGGCCGCAACTTAGGTACTTTTCTTTTAGCGGGAGGGGGGTCCGCAAAGCCATTTTTCAATTTTTCGGTCATTAAAAATATAAAGTCAATTTTAACTTTTTTGACTTGGAGCAATTATCCCAAATATTTTGAAATTTTTATTAATTTGATAATTTTGGCATTTTTCGTCATTTTTCACCAAATTTTAGTAAAAGTAATTCCAGTAATTTGGTCATTTTTGATCGATTTTATAGGTTTAAAAATTGTCTAGGATACTATCAAAAAGTGAAATTTGCTATTGGATCCACCGGAAAACTCGTCAAAAATAATTCTCCCCCGCTAAAATAAAAGCACCAAAATTTAGACTACGAAATGGGTGACCTCTTGAAGAACATCACCGTGTTAATAGACTTTAAGCGGAACGGAAAGGTGGGGTTTTAGGCATTGTTTTGACGCGAAAAGTCCTGTGTTTAGACGGCATTCACCGGAGTCACTTTTGTTCTCTACAATGGGCTTCTAACTGGTCAGAGACCAGGCGCCTTTTCGATCAGCTTGAACGCCAGATGTGAGGTTTCTGATTTTTGAATAGGGAGAATGAGATTGAGTTTCTAGTATGATTTGAGTTTTGGGCAGACCACAGAAGCCTTAAAAAACCCTTTATAAGAAAAAATTACAGATTCCGGGGCCTACATTGACAATATTCTAATGGAAATCTATACAAGGTTCAGAAACCCAGTGAGCTTTGTGATGCGTGAGGTGGGGGAAAGGGATTAAAAATTGATACCTCGGAATTTTTAGGTTTTGGAGGAAGAGCAAAGCTACGCTTGGGCACTTGATCGTCTAGTTCGTACTCCTTTAATTTGCCCGGCGTATATTACGGTGGCCGGAATTAATCGCGGGGAAGGAGCTATTATTTCAAGGTATGCAAAATATCGAAATTATCTAGAAAGAGTTATTTTGATTTTTTTAGAAAAAGAATCGGCGCTGCTGATGTTTGGAAGCTTAATAAAAATCGCTGGTACATGGTGGAAACCAATTTTGATCACTGGACCCCACAGGGTGATAAGAGAAAGTACTGTAGCTCGGATGCAAATTAGCTAAATTCAAATTTTTAGAAAAGTAGCCTCGCACGCGCTGCATAAATTGGGGCAAGAAAGGTTGAACGCCAATACGCTATTTAATCATGTATTATCGAGACAGCCCGTTTTGAATGAGTAAGTAATTTGCATAAAATGTTTATATAAAATATATCGTTTTTACCTGTTTTTATTAATTTATTGTTTGATTTAGTTTAACTATTTTCACGCTGGTGATGTCGCCAAGTGAGCCGGATGTACTCTTTAGTCATATTGTCGTCAGGACAAATACGACAAAGAAGATTGAAAATTTGGAAATATAAATAAATTTGATCAGCCTATTTGTATCTAATTTGCATAAATATCGTCTTTAATATCGTTATTCCTTGTAAAAAAATGCAGATTTACGAAAAACGTGATTAAAAAATACCTTATAGATTTTGATTGAAATTTCAAGGGTTTTCTCGGGCTGTACAAAATTGGCTTAAAAGCTACAATTTTTAAAATTGCAGGTTCGCAAAATAAAATTTTTTAAACCATTTTTTGTTGAATTTTCATAATTTTTAGGGGTTTCTCGACCTGGATAAAATTTGCACAAATATATAGCTATTTTATTGCTCCTTATTCAGTGTACAAATTTCAGGTTTCAACAAAAAAAAACTATTAGAATTTTTCTAAATTTTTAAGTCTATTTTCCGGGTCCATTTTGACATTCTCCTTGTTTTCTTCCTCAAATTTCGCGTGGGTTCCTTGAATTCAAGCCACGGCGACAGAATGATGGATTCAATTGGACCAAATGATTGAATGTGGACACGGAAGGGGAAGGATGAAGCCTCAGAGCCCCCTAGCCACTGGTTGTGATATGGTGGGATTGGGTGGGATTGGTGTTGAAGAGGCCATTTGGATTTCGTGACAGCTGTCCATCGACAATGATCCTCTTCCTCCTCTTCGCGCATTACACTCATTTGCATCTTGGTGGTGTCGTGGTGGTGGTTTAGGAAGTTCTAGAAGATTCTGTACTGCTTGAGGTATAGTTAGATACCTTAAAAAACGTTTTAAACCTTCTCCTTAATTTATTTTTAATAGCTGCCTAACTTAAATATTTTAGAAAGTTTTAAAGTTCAAGTCAGCCCAACATTTAAGGATCTATTTAGATACTTTCAACTTTACTTAAGATACCTTTAGATACTCTAAGAATTTTCTGGGCTATTAACCTTAATATAAGAGTTTTTTTGCTGAATCATACAAACCTCTCATTATTTTATTGCTCACACCTCCAATTATTTTTATTTTTAGCTTAATAACTAACCCTACCCAATCCCATTCATGAAAAATTTTCACTTCACCTTCGTCACTCCATGTGAAAAGCACTTTCAAATTTTCTCTCTCTCTCTCTCTCTCTCTCTCTCTCTCTCTCTCTCTCTCTCTCTCTCTCTCTCTTTCTCTCACTTTCTCTCGCTCTCTCTTACTCTCTCTCTCTATCTCTCTGTCTCTCTCTCTCACTCTCTCTCTCTCTCTCTCTCTCTCTCTCCCACTCCCACGTTGTCCCCCTAATTAAACCCAATTTGTAGCAAAAGTCTCGAGACCCCATTTTCAATCTGGTCCTTTTGTTTATACATCCCAATTAGTGGAAGGTCTGCAACATTTCCCTCTTCAAATCCCCCCAGAATAACTCTCAAGGATTAAGAATTGAGGGGTGAAGGGAGCAGTCTGCGTCATTCGGGGGTCTGCTACATTTTGGAGGGCCCCAGGATTCTAATCTGGGTCTTGGCCCGAAAATCGGGGTTCCCTTAAAAAGTAATGATGATGGTGACGCATGGGGAAGTATAGGGACAAGGTTACAGTGGATTAAAATAGAAATAAAAATATCATCTGAATTCGTTTTTAAAATTCAGTGATCATTCTAAAGAAGGGGACCCAGCAGCTAAAAATCTGTAAAATTTGCTTTCAGCTTTCTCGTCAAAGCTGATGCTCACTTCTTTCCGTTTTTTGCTCAAACTTGAGGCTCACCCAAAAAGCAGGTATTAACATATCTAAAATTGCTTTGCACCTTTTGAGGTCAAGTTGAAAAAGACAGCGCTAACCTACAAAGTAGCATGAAATTTATTGAATATTTTGGCCCTTATGCACAAGGGTCATGCTCACCCCATAAATCTATCATTAAACCACCATATTCAGAGACAGTGGCTGAAAAAGACCGCGCTAACCTAAAAAATAGCACAAAAATTTGGCCATTAAGCATGTTAGCCATCCTGCTCAAAGTTCATGCTCATCGATAAATCCAAGACCTAAAGACCGGAGTTTAAAAATAGTGGTTGAAAAAGACAGCGCTAACTTAAAAATAGTACAAAAATTTATTAAGCAGACCCACGTTCGTTTTCCGCAGTTCATGCTCACCCCCATAAATCCAGCAGGTCGTTTAGCTATTCCGGGAAATTCTTATAAATATCTCATCCTGAAAATCGACGCAGTCATCACGGCCTTGTGACGTCTTCTGACATTGACTACTGGAACGTCTTCCTCAAAAAGAGTTCGAAGACAAATTGCGACATGAGGAGAGCCATCATCGAATGCATTGCGTGTCACAGCACATCTCATCCCGAAAGGGGGAGCACGTCTCATTGCATCCACATCCCACCCGTGGGGGTTGGGGAGGCCGAAAAAATCGTCGGGTGCTGCCAATATGGGTTTTAGGTTTGAGGGTACTGTAGTAGGATTTTTTAGGTATTCTCTAAATAGTTTTTTTGGATTTTTTAAGGGTTGTAAACACATTTTCTTTGCGTAAAATGCACTGTTTTTCCTTGGAGCTCGAAAACAGCTCCGGATTTTGCCAATAATTCTAATTTTTGGCGCCGGGATACTGTAGTAAATTTTTTAAGCTATTTTAAACTATTTTTTTTGGATTTTTCAGGGCCTGCAAACACCTTTTTTACATTTGTAGAATTTTTAGAACAATATTATTTTTTAGATTCGAATGAACTTGTTGTTTTAAAGCCCAATGAGGACATCGGCTCCTGGCAATATAACTTTTAAATTTAAAAATACGCTATTTAGGAAAAAATTACGATTTTTAACGTATTTATAAAAAATTTTTTTTTTGGATTCAAATGACCCATTTTCCCGATTTTACATTTACATCCTCCCCCCACAGCTTTCTGGACTCATTTTAAAATCCATATTTTCAAGCCGTATCACCAAATCCAAAATCATCATTTTTCGCAAATCCTCAAACGCGCCCAAAATACTTTTAATTAGTTTTCAAAATCTGCAGCTTACCCCCTCTACCCCTCTACCATGGTGACAATATTCCGCCACGCAACCCTGTGCGCATTTCAAACCGTGACAATTTTTCCACTCTCCCCGAGTCTTCCCCGTCTCGATTTCCACAACCATACTCTTTCCGTTTTTAGGCCTCCGACTTACCCCAGACTTTGAAATAATTCCATTTCCTTCCCATTCCAAAGACCACCCCTTGACGTCAAAGCTCCACGCCAATTTATGCCTCCACTACTAGCCTTCTCTCCCCCGGCCCTTTTCCCAGGCTACAATTACCCATCAAAATTTCATTAACGCAATGCAACGACGGGTGGGGAAACAATTAGGAAAAGCTCCAAATTTTGAAACAATTGTCTTTGGAAAATTCGGGACCCAAGAGCGGTTTCGAAGGGAAAAAGGGAAGTGCGCTGCCAGGCACTTCAAGAGGGGAGGGGGTCCCGCCCATTTCTAATTTTGCCCATTCGACCTCGATTTTGCATGATATTTACGCTATATCGAAATTTTTAGAAAACTATACATCAGTTAAGGTGCATTAAGATACCTCAAAAAATTAGCTAGCCTTTTTGGCGGAACTTAATTTCCCCCCCAAACCGGACGTGCCCAAAATTTTCCAAAATTTCCGTTATTTTGATGGGATTTTGACTAACATGTAGAGGTTGCGGGGTCACAGAGTCCAAATCGGCCCATAATTGGTGGAAAAATCAAATAAAATACGGAGAACACGATGCGATAAAAATTAGCTGCCAATGGGCACTTTTGTTTAATAAACTTTTAATTTTAAGATTTTGTATGGAAAACGACCTAGAATCGCGACCTGGGTCGCCAAAACCGTACCGCACAGGGGAGCCCTCTTGAAGTCTTCCGAAGAGCCCCTTCCCGTCGGTTCGGTGGTGTGGGGGTAGGGTGCACGAGTGACAGGCTGGGGGTCGAAGGTTCGGATCCCGTCGGTATTTTTAATTTTTGCTTTTTGCTGCTTTCGCTTTTATTTTTCAGGAAGATTGTCCAGAAGGGTTTTCGAAAGTTTTTCGGTCCTATTAATCCCAAGGAGTTGCCTGGCCAGAAAAATAAAATTTCGAAAATTTTAGAATGTTTGTGGAAAAAAGGCCTACCTACCTATTCCAGTTCGATGAAAACCAACCGAATAGTTAATAAATATTATTTTTAACCAATATTGTAAAAATAGAATTATTCCGGCAATCTGAAATGTCTCGGCGCTCCGATTTGAAGCGCCTAGGGGTCAGAGCCACCTATTTTAAGCAGCTTCCGACCTTCCCAGGATCCGGGGCTATGGGATAGGTCGTCAAAATTTTCGTGAAAAAATATTTTCTAGATAAAATTTTCTTCGGGTCCGGAAAGATGTCTAGTGTCGTGGCGGTTATGAAAATTCCATCAAAACATTTTTTCCCAGTCGGAAGGCGCGATAGAGCAGTTCAAGTGCATTTCAGCAGCACTTTTTTTGCATAAAATTAAAAGTTTATTAAACAAAAGTGCCCATTGGCAGCTAATTTTTATCGCATCGTGTTCCCCGTATTTTATTTGATTTTTCCACCAATTATGGGCCGATTTGGACTCTGTGACCCCGCAACCTCTACATGTAAGCCCTTTGATAGAGCCTAAAAAAATCTACCACAAGTTTTAATTACAGCCCAAAATAATGTAATATAAAAAAGTTATAGCTAAAAAAGCGGGGAACTTCCGGCTGGGTGGTGAAGTAAAGTCCAGCCTATCAATGTTCCATTCATCAAAATTTTCATTTCCGCTCCTTCATGTGAACACAACAATTAGAAAAAGCTTCCGATTTTGAAACAATTGTCCTTTCTAAATTCCGCGGCCCAAGAGGGGTTTCGCGATGAAAAAAAGGGAAGTGCGCAACCAGCCACCCCCCTAGAAGGGCCCGCCCATTTCTAATTTTGCCTTGGACATTCCGGGGAGGGGGGGTAGTGCTTCTGGTGGTGTGGGTCCAATATTCCACTCGTTTCTGAAGGTCTTCCATTCCGTACGCATCCTCCTTCCAATTTCTGGATATTCCTTGGCATGGAGGCCTCATCACATTTCCAATTCCGGGACCCAAATTGCTCATCGGGAATTGGGGGACGCGAATTTTTTGGGTTTAATGATTAGAATAATTTTGTTCGGTTTTAGGGTTTAGGCGTAGCTTCCGGCTAGTCAGATGCAGGCTTAGGCTTAAGCTTGCATTAGGCTTTGGGTCATGCTTAGTCTTAGGCTCAGGCTCATGCTTCGTCTTAGGCTCAGGCTCAGGCTCAGGCTTAGGCTCAGGCTTAAGCTTAGGCCTGGGCTTCGGTTTTGACTTCGCATGCTTAGGCTAGTCTTAGGCTTAGGCTAGCTTAACTTTAGACTTCGCCAGCTTAGACGGTTAGACCCGTACGTTTAGGCTTGGGTCGGACTTTGCTTAGGCTTAGGCTAAGGCTTGGGCTTAGGGCTAGCTGCGGTTTAGGCTTAGGCTTCGGCTCAGGCGTAGCCTGGACCTCGAATTCCTTTAAATTTCCATAGAATTCTCCCCGACCTTTAAAAATCTGCGCCACTAATGAAGTGCACACCCCCCGATTCCGACGGTCTCTGCTATTGACACATTTGGTGTGAAGCGGAAGGGCGGAGGGAAATTGCCAAGGGAGCTTCTGCTTCTCCCCGACCGCCGTCTTCACACTCCTCCACTCCCATCCTTGTCGTGTTTAAGCGCCTCTTAACGCCTATTTTTAGCCGCCTTTGGCAGTCTACCACTTCCTAGAAAATATTTACGCAAGACTACGCCAGACTGCGTGATTGAAGCGTCTGGATTTTCGGGAAGTTCATTAGGTTCCCAGGGGTTCTATTCTGTTTTTCAACGATTTAAATGCAATTATCAAGTATTTCTAAGTTTTTTGACTATTAGTAATAGTAAGACTCTATAAATTTTGTTAGAAAATACAAAAATATCCTTTTTCGCATTTTTAAGCAATTTTAATTTTTTTAGATTGTCTTCACCCAGAATATAGTTAAGTTTTACCACAAAATTATTACAATAATTAATACTGCGTTTCAGGCGTTTCTAAAATTATGCAAAAAATTCAGTCTCCCCCAATAATGCACCAGTACCGTAGGTAAAATATTTAAAATCCCTTCCGACTATAATGCAGTAAAATTTTACTAAACAGGTTTTCAAAAACGTGACGGAACTCCTAATGTTACGTGACTCGGAATTTCTTGGCTTATACAAAAAGTTCGGTTTCCACCCTCACCCACCCCCGATAATGCCAAAGTACCCTTAATCCCTCGTGAACCTCGTTTTTATTAAAACTTCCGTAAAGATAACCATCATTTTTGGGCCTACTCACCGATTTAAAGATTTAAAGATTTGCATGTCATCTCTCGGCAAACAAGTGGGCCACCCCCAAATCCGGGACTCAGCTTTTTCCACGTCCAAGATAATCGCGAAAATCATGCGTCGATGGGTGCGGATCAGAATGTTTAGCAGAGAGGAGGCAGGATCTAGAAGGAGGTGGGGGAGTAGAAAAAGTGGAAAAAGGGTGAGATTGGTGGCTTCGATAATCCGACGAAATGAACCGCGCCGTAGGGCCATGGGCTGGGGGATTGGTCGGTAATCTTGACGGAAAGGGGATTCTGGTTGGGTCCTGGGCATTCCATTGTTTTGGCAGTTTGCGATTTTTCGACGCCCAGGATCCGGTGAGGGATGGGGCGTCGCTGAAATTTGGGTGCGACTGCGTTTGAAAGCCCGTTTTTGGGGACCTCCAATTTTCAAATTGTCATTTTTTAGCTCAGAACCCTGGGAAACTCCGGACTATTGCTTTTTGCACCCCAAAAATCCATCTTTACCTTTCAAAAATGATTTTCCGGGTCCTCCAATTTTCAAATTGTCATTTTTGGCCTAGAAATCTTGGAAATTCCGGGCTACTGCTATTTGCACGGCAAAAAAACTAGTTTTTATGCATAAAAAAATTCATTGCTGGGTCGTCCGGTTTTCAAAAACATCGTTTTTTGCGACTGAATCCCGGAAAATTCCGCTGGTACCATTCACGCTCTAAAAATAATTTTTCCTTTCGAAAAACCGATTTCCGGGGCTCTGAAATTTTCAAATTATCAATTTCAAATCAACATAGATCCTAGAAACTTCCATTGCTGCTATTTACCCGCTAAAATTTTAGGATTTGAACTTGTCCGTTTTCTTGACAAATATCTTGACATTCCATTCTACTACTATTTACACCCCTCAAAACACAACCTGTCAACCCAAAAATTGCCCTTTTGTACCCATCCTCCCCCCTTTGACCAATCGGCAGGGCCTTGTTTTGCCCGCTTCAGGTTTCTGATTGCTCTTTCTGCTCTTTTCGGCTAGCACGTGCCGTTTGAGGCTTTTCCCTCGAGAAAAACCACCTGTACCCCAGGAATTGCAATCTCAGATTTTTTAGTAGTAAAGCAGCCATTTTCTTCAGCGTCTTTCGAAGCCCAACTTTAAGTCTAAGCTTAAGCCTAAGTCAAAACCTAATCGAAGCCGAAGTCTAAGCACGTCTAAGCCTATGTAACATCGCATCCGTATTTCTCTCTCTCTCTCTCTCTCTCTCTCTCTCTTTCTCTCTTGCTCTCTCTCGTTCCCTCTCTCTCTCCCGCTCTCTCGCTCTCTCTCCTATTTCTAAAAACTCAACCACCCCAAAATCTTTCTGTTTTTTGAAGCAAAAACCCCCGGCCATTCTTCGAAACCAGACGACGTAAGCGCCGGTCCACTCCCCTTTTTCGGGAGGCTTGAGAACGGCGTCTCGAGGCGGCTACAATTAGGAAAAAGCGCCCATTAGACACGCAATAGTGGCGGGGAAAGGCTTCTCCCTCAAAGCCACAAACCACTTACATCATTTGATTCGTCCCTTTTCGCTCGTGGCCCTCCAAATTTCGCGGCTAATTTTAAACAGCCTCAATTTGCAGCTTGCAAGAAGATGGGAAGCGACTCGTCGAAACCGAAGAATAAGAAGGAGACGAACAACAATAATAACAATCACAGCACTAACAACAATTTTTCTGTGCCGTCGATACGACTTCCGGCATCGCAGTCTTGTTATGACGTTCCGAGTAGTGAGTTTTAGGGTATTTTTAAGGCTCGGACGATTTTCAACGTTCCTTACTCACAAATTTTTCAGTTTTTCGAGATTAGCATTACGAAAATTACTAATTTTTAAGTTTTTAAATGTTTTTTGATCCGAAATTAGCATGACGCAAATCAGTCGTTTTAGGCTTTGAAACGGTCTAGCACAAATTTTTCTTTAAAACGGAAATAACTAGTTTTAAGTTTTTTTTAAGCGTCCTTTAATCCCAAACTTTTCATTTTTCTGCAAAATTAGCAGCATGAAAGTTTTAGTTTTTTTAAACGTTCTCTAATCCCAATTTTTTCCTTTTCCTAAATTAGCATCACGAAAACGAGACGCTGCAGGATTAGTTACGCATTTCTGGGGAGACCCCGGGGCCCAAAAAGGAGCAAGAGACAATGATGCCTCTCCCCATCCTCCCTAGAAATCTAATTTCGTTTCGGGAATACGCGCATGGAAACAGATACTCTAGAAGACTTCCGCGTCACATTTCTCATGTCGTTTTAGGGGAGATTTGATGCATTTTAAATGGTAAAAATGAAATCATAATTTTCAGAAAAAGAGGGGCTATCCCGGTCTCGGCCCGGCAGCAGCTGCTCGGTCAGCAGTCGTCATCCCCTAAATCCACGCCATCGCCGTCTGATTCAGGTCCGAAAATTGTAAATAATTACTTATTTATTATTTTTCTAGAGCTGCTTCGCCAACCCGCACGAGACGATCGGGAGGAGAATTATGAAAAGGGCCGCCGAAGTTCGCGAGGATTTCGGAAGGTTGGTATTTAGGGCTTATTGTTAAGAATAGCTTTTCGTCCATATATGTAAAATATACCAAAATGTTTGCCTTGATTCAGCAAATATTTTGGTATATTTTACCACCTAAAAGCATAAGAGGGAGCCAAGATATTTCTATTTTTATAAACCCGCCGGCTTGCTGCTTGTTTATATTTTTGTAAAATCCTGATCTACACCAAAAACCCACCCCAATTTTCAGGTTCTATCTAAATATGGACGCGGAGCAGCGAGAGATCGCTGAGGAAGCCATAAAGGCCGTGCTCAAGAAGATAATCGCGTGTTTGGAGAGCGCCGAGGATATGCAGCGCGTGGCCGAGGAGTACGGTACCGGATTCGTCGAACTTCGGCCGTTGGGGTTCAAGCCGGACTATTTTGCGGTTATTGCGGATGCGACGATTACGGTAGGTTTTTTTTGTTTTAACATGGCGTTTTTCAAATTTGCAATAAGTCATTTTGCAGAGCTGGAAATTCTACACAAGTCCCGACTTTCAAAAGGCTAAAATACCGCATTTTTTCAGCGAAAATTTCTTAAAATTCACTCCTTGTTAGCTAGGAACAAGAAATTAGGAAAATCATAGCCCAAAAGACAAATTTTCTCAAATACCGTAATCCTAAAACAATTTTTCTAACCCAGTATTTGCTCAGAATTTCAAGCTCTACAAGATGAACGACGCCACGTCCCAAAAAATCAGTTTATGCTCTAAAAACTGCTCTCTATTAGGTACTGTACCTTCCAAACACCCCCCGCGCTTGCACTTTATTTTCGTATTCTAAAATCTATCTCGGGGGAATTCCCCCCAGAGGACAGGTGCAAATTTTCACGGCGCGTGCGTCAAACGGGCTGTGGAGGGCAGGTGAATTCTCGAAATTGCCTCCCCATCGGACGAAAATATTTACAGTATCCTCCTTCGTTTAGGAATGCACCCACCTGGACAGCGCCGTCCACAAAGCCCACACGACAACACATGCATTCAGCCAATTTGGGGCTATGGTAAGGGAGAGCACTCGAGAAAGTACTAAACAATACTCTAGATGTTCTCCTCCGTGCGGGATGGCTTCTACCACGAAGTCAGAAAACGACGTCGCACCTCGAACTCGTTCTCCTGTAGCTCGAACAACTCGTCTGTGCGCAGGAAAAAGAGCGGGGATAGTAGGACGTCATCGAGAGGTGGATCTCCACGACCTGTTTCTCCTGAGTTTGAGGACGATTGCTTCAGACCGGAAGCTTCTCAAGGGTCTTTCTTGAAGCCTCCAACGCCTGTGAATCTTGTAGTTGGTGGTAGTTACTAATTCCATTATTTAAGCTAAGGCTAAGCCTAAGCCTAAGCCTAAGCATAAGCCTAATCCAATCCTTACAACTTCCATTCATTTGCGTGTATACATAATTTATCCGGAATTGCTCGGGCCCTCTCAAACATCGAGCCGTGTATAGTTCTTGCCTTTTTATGTGTATTGTGTATTTTGATAAATTGTGTTTTTGGCTTCTATAAAATTACACAAAATTCCGCAAAGAAACTCAAAACTTACGCATTAAAACAAGTTTTTTTTTGCATTTTGATAAATTGCATTGTTTGTGTTCTGCAAAATCACACAAAATTTCGCCAAGAAATTGAAAATTTACGCATTAAAGCAACTTTTTTGTATTTTGATAAATTGCATTTTTTCGCCTTCCACAAAATTCTATAACAGATTCGCAAAAAAGCTTTTAAATTAAACCTCAAAAAAAAGTGTTGTACTTTGATAAATTGCATTTTATGGCCTTCTACAAAATTACACAAAACTCCGCAAAGAAACCTCAAAATTACGCATCATACTTTGCCGGGATTAATTTTTAGTTTACGCCGTCCCGCCCGGATTACCGTGATGAGGTCAAGCAGCCAGAAAGTTCGGATTAAAACGGGAGGGCTAAAAGTTTATGATTAAAAATACAAATCCGCCCCCGGGGCGCTCGCAGATTATGGAGATCCACACGGAAAAGTTGCAAAAGGGAGTTCGGGGCTAGTATCCGCCCGGAAGTCCACAAAATTCCGGTGGGCACCAAATCGGGACGGAAATTGGGCGGATTACTGGAGTTGGGGAAAGAAATTCGGAGTTCTTGGATATCAGACAGACTTTACGATTGATTTCGCAGTATTTTCTATAGCTTTAGGCCTATCTTCTAACGTAAAAAAAAATAAAATTTCGCGCGCAATCGAAATTTCGCGATAAAATCGGTTAAATTTTATCCTCTGAAATTAAAACCTCGATTTTCAAGCACATCTTCACCTAACCCGAGTTCGTTTCCTTTCCGATATATCCTAATTACGATTAAACCCGCAAATTTTGCAAGAATAAGCGCTAAGTCTGTAGAAGCTAGGAAAATCTCCTTACACAAATAAATATAGCCAAATCATAACGAAATCCAACCAATTCCACCGTTTATAGAAGCCCAATTCCCCAAAATTACTTAATTTCCGACAAGATCAGGCCTAAAGTGACAAAATAATGATAAAAACTATATGATATATGTTTTATAGATATTTTTGAGCAAAAAGCAAAAGAGAGGAGTTCATTTTATTAAAGCTTTTATCGCAAGACTTCGATTTGATAACTCCATGGCTACGCAGGGCTACTCTGACAGCTGGGCTCGTAGGACCAATTGTGTTTTATTAATAACCTGTCAAATTTGTTCAAAACCCTTGTTTTAATTTAATTATTGAATCACTTTTATCGTAACTTCCTTGACCGCGTAACTCAATGGCTACGCGGCGCTACTCTGACCACTGATTGCGGTCCTTCTTACTAAACTTATCAAATTTACCAAGCTCTCTTATTAATTAATATCTTTTATTGTATTACTTTTATCCTGATAGCGTTGACTTCGTGACTCCATAGCTACGCCGGGCTACTCCGCCCCCTCTTACCCTGCCTCCACCCCGCCCTTCCGGTTACTCATAGCAACCGGTCCGCCCTTGACATCACTGTTACTTCTGTCCACTCATGACACACTCCCATTTCCAGCTTCTCCTTCAACTTCCGCCTCTAAACACCCTTTTTCAGGCTCTTCGGAAGGGCCCAAACTAGGATGGCTGAACCAGTCGGCTGCTCATGTAAACGGGTCTGCCTCATCGCTTTCCAGGTAACAGTTTTTGCCCTATTTTTTAATGTTGGTTTAGATAGCCCGATGGTTTCCCGTGCTATTCGTGTTCGCCATCCTAGGATGGGCCTATTATGCCTATGTAGTCAATCTTTGCATTGGTAAGAGTGCTTTAATTTAGTTTTTATTCGTTTTTAGAAAGCGTAGAATCTATACCGCAGAAGGCGCTCTACTTGGTGTTGTTTCACATTCTACTCGCTCTACTTGTCACCTCGTATTTGAGAACGGTGTTCGCGAGGGTCAGACGGCCACCAAAGGAGGTAAAAGCTCAAAAAAAGCTACTTACGTGTATTTTCAGTTCAAAATCCCGGCAGCGTATCGTGAGGAAATTGCTGGTTACAACGGGGAGATTGCTCGGATAGCGCCGATTGTACAGCGGTAAGTATTGTGTACTTTTTTGAATACTTTTTGCTTTTAAAACTTTCTTCATCATATTTTTAACCTTTTCAGATACGTTGAAGCCAATTGCCTGCCAGTCTACATGCGAGAATACGAGGGTCGCGGCGGCGGCTATCGTTTCTGCCCCAAATGCATCGCCGTCAAGCCGGATCGCTCGCACCACTGCTCATTTTGCGGAACGTGTGTTTTGTAAGTTTATTTCAGCACAATAACCCTATTTTTCTTACAGGAAATTTGACCATCACTGCCCCTGGGTCAACACGTGCGTCAACTTCCACAACTACAAGTTCTTTCTGCTTTTCCTTGGGTAATTTAGTTGAAGCAATTTATATTTATTTATTTAGTTACGGCTTGGTGTTCTGTATCTTCTGTGTGGCCACCGACTTGGAGTTCTTCGTGCGATTCTGGCGTCACGACTTTTTGGAAGGCCGAGGAGATGTGAGTTTGAAACCTAGCTGCCCTAAACGATGATTTTAGAGCATCAAAATCAACATGGTGATGTTGTTCTTCGTCGGCGCCATGTTCAGCATCTCGATGGGCGGCCTGTTCTTCTACCACCTCTACCTTGTCGCCAAGAATCGGACAACGATCGGTAAGACAAGAATTCACAACTTTCACTTGATTCTCAGAGTCATTCCGAGCTCCAATCCTCACTGATGGGCCAAACGAAAACGCGTTCAACCTCGGCATCCGCAACAACTTCCGCCAAGTGTTCGGCAATCGTCCACTGCTCTGGCTGCTGCCTGTGTTTACATCGTGAGTTTGTTTTTGAAATAATAATCTGCACCTTATAACTTGCCGTGCAATTGCACCTTCACCTCTGTTTCTATTAACGGCTAGATTAGATTTTTCCTTTCTTTAGAGTGGCAAGCGTGAAAGCTTTATGGAAAGTTCTAGAAAATTGTTGTTTGAAAGGAACCCATGACATTTGGCCGCCTTCTATACGATTGGGTTCAAACTTTTGCCAGCTAGATTTCCCGGAAAAACTAGGTCCAGCCGGATTTGCTTGGCAAAATTTTGTGAAACAAGAAAGTTATGATGAAAGTAGGTTTAGGTTGTCGATTTCGACCTCGAAATCTAAGAAAAATGAAGCGATCATATTTTCTATACCAAAATCGTATCGAATTTTTTGATTTGCGAAAATATCGTCTAAATTCAACTTTCCATCACTTTTGATCGTGTTTGTCATAAAAATCGGCAGAAATTGGCCCGAAAATGACCATTCTGCAGAAAATTACTCAAAATCGTCACGTTGGTTCCGAATGGATGGATGAATGGACGAAAACATGTACTAACTTTCCTAAAAAACGACTTCTTTGCGTTAACTTTTTTATTCTACAATGTTTTATAGAAAATCTGGCTGCATCTAGTTTTTTGCGTCCCAATCGCTGTTTAAAATTTGAACCCGATCGAATAGAAGACCGATGTCGATCAGCGGTTTTTGGCCCTGTACTTTGAATTTAAAATCCATAAAGCTTTCACAATGTTGTCCTCCCCCCAACTGTTTATCGGCTTCGTTGCAGTCAGGGCGACGGGCTTCGCTTCTCAAATCTGAAGGACGAGGTGCCCATCCACGATATCCCCGTCTCACCGAAGTACGCCGAAGCCAACGGCGTTGATGTGTAGACGCCCAATTCTCTATGTATGTTTATTTCCTCAACCCATCCCGCCGTCTCCACCGAGCCATCCCTCTGAATTTCCCCCCAAATGTGCACACCAAATTGCTTAGAGTAGGCATGGGTTTTGCTGTTAGGCTATCTGCGCCCGATTTTTTTTCAGCTCGCCCTTTTTTCCGAGAACTAACCCACTGATCTGGGCACGTTATAGGAGGTCTGGAAAAATATCACTAGAGCTCTGGAGGAGTGTTTGAGTTTTGAGAATGAGTTTTGAGATTCAATCGAAAGCTTTCGTCAAGACGAGGAGAAGATAGTGCTTTTCGGTTTTGATATTCTGTGATGTTTGCGAAATTTTCGGCGGTTTCTATGAAGCAAAAATGCTTTTTTCGAAAACTGAATCTAATCGGCTTACAAGACCTGTTTTTAGTGATAATCACGTTTCTCGATAGGACCAGCCTAACTTGTGCAGAATTTTGCACTGATTCCGAACCTGGTTTCAAAACCTACGAAACGACTGGATCCAAAACTTTATTATAAAGTTTTTAAAGGGTTACCGATGGCATAGGTCGATCACCTCTGATCGACTTTTTGGCACATAGCGAACAGAGCAGAGAACGCGTCCAGGTGGCGAGACGCAGACACATTTTCTTTCCCTCACGTCACCAATGACTTATGCCGTCGTTATCCCTTTAAGCGGAAAAATGGCTAAATGGTACGGGTTCGAGAATTTTTGTCTTTTTTGCGCTTAAAATCCGCATAACTTTTTTAATCTTGCCGTTTCGCAAATGAAAACAGAATAAGGGTCAACGAAAAATTCTGTACAAGCGCGTTTGTAGTTTTTAGCTTTTAGGTTAAGAACAAAGTAAATTTAGCTCGTTTTGTAAAAACAGTAGATCTAACAAAAATACCAAATTTTGAAAATCGCGCAGAGCAACTACTCGCCTCGTCAAAAGCTTTCGATTGGTACCTAAATCTTAAAAATCTGACATTCCTGAGGACCGCTAGAGCGTTTTTTTTTGGGAAAGCTAAACCTTTTGGGAAAAGGTTTAGCTAAAATTTTATTATTGAAAAACAAATTTATCTTGATATTTCCAGATACGGCGATGGCATCGTGTTCGGACAACGTGATCTGGATGGATTGTCGTACACTCTACTCGCTCGCCAATCTGACGAGGACGAGGATCTAATAATAGGTGCCGTCTAAAATGATCTCTCACCCATTTCTCTGCAGCTTTTATCGATTCATTTACAACTCGGGCCAAGTCTTTTGAGCTACTGTGATTAATTCATTAAAGGTTTAAGTTGTTTTCTTCCTTTTTGCAGCTTATCATTTTGTTAGTCGAAATAGTGAAAAGACTTTATTTCCGTTCCGAATCTCTGGGGTTTCAAATATCAAACTTTTATTGCGATTAAACTTTGGCTTGTGTGGTTTATTGGTTCTTGTGCATTATCGGGGGAGGTGGCTTTACAAATTTGGTTAAGAATACAGAAAATAGCGTTTTGGATAACAAATCGTGCCTAAGAAGTTTGTAGATTTTTTAGGCTTCCTGTTAAAATATAGCAAATTTTATAAAAGCGATATTAAAACACTTACTATTACCTTACTAAATATTTCTGGGATTCTAGAAAAAAGTCCCCCCCCCCCGATAATGCCAAAGCACCACTTTCCCTAATATTTTTTCTTTTAGTGCCCCGTTTAGCAGTTCTAAATGTAATCTCACAAATTCCCCTAAAAATCCGACGTGTACACGTGTGATAATACAGCTTGGGAATCAATTATACTCCTTTCAAATTGCCATGTGATTTTTGGTGTTATTTTGCGCTCTCATTTCTTGACTTTTTCCACCCACCCACATGTATACTCACCCATTTCACACGTTCTCCTTAATAAAAACATAAATTTATTCCGCATCTACGAACTAAATCGCAAATTATTGCAACCGATATATTGCTGTCAACAAAATGGGACGAGGGGCAAAAGCACTAGTCAATAAAATAAATTACTATTTTTTAGGAACCAAAATAAGGAAAAGTAGGAAACCTAGGAGCGCTACTTCCGACTGTGATAGCAGAAAATAAAAAATGAAAAGAATGAAATAGAAATTCTGACAGCTTGAAATAGGGATAGTAATAAATTAATAAAAAGCCCACCGGTCGGCATTTTTTGGGAAATATATTTTACAAAGTTTAATTTAGATTTAACAGCTAAAACGGCCGACTTTGTTTTATAAGTGAATGGTCATTCTCGAGAACTGAATTGGGAGGGTAATTATGTGCTTGAAAAGGCAGTGTAAATAAATTAGCAAATTCCTTGCGAAAGTTTATAAATAGCCTATCGAAAGTTTAGAGAATAAAGTTTAAATAGAGTTTAAATAAAGCTTCCGGGACCCTTTAAAATAGAAATAAAATGGTTTAAAATAAATTTAATTTTTAGGGATTTTTAGAGCTACTGTGCCGAGCTGACGTATCGATCGTACGCATCCTGTTGCGGGTCGATGGCTCCGTAATTAGCGTTGCTGACGGCCGTCTGGGGTGCGAATGCGTCGTGCATATCTGTCCGCAGCGATGGCAGGCCTTGGGGTGCTAAAAAAACATAGATTTTAAACGAATTTTTGAGGGCAACTGGTCAAAAATCGGTGTTAATACGTTTTGTTACGGAAATTTGATTTTTCGGCGCTGTACGTTGGTGACCAAAGAACGAGAAACTTTCGAAAAACATCAAAAACGACATTTATAACGCCTAAGGTGATTTTGGTCTTTGTTTTTTTATTAAATGGGCATGAAAAATCGTCCAAAACCTCCAAAAATTATTTTTGAAGAAACTACGGTAGTTTTTACATTTTATTTTTATTAAATGGATAGGAAAAATCGTTCTAAATCTCAAAATGAGATTTAAAAACCTTACGGCAGTTTATGTATTTCGTTTCTAGAAAATGGGCCTTAGAAATTGTTAAATACGCTTAAAAATGACATTTGTGACAAAAAATTCGAAATTTAAGTTTACGAAAGCAACGGTATTTTATATTTTTTTATTAAGCCAGCGGCGACCGTTGTTTTCTCAAAAATGACATTTAGAAATGCTACTGTATTTTACAGTGGATTTTTAAGACCAAATTGCAATTCCTTACCCAAAATATCGCACTCCTCGTCGTCAAACATTCCGGCGCTGTACTTAATGCCGTCATATTTGTAGAATTTGTTAATGGCAAATCCAGCACCAGCTGCCACTGCGCAAAACAGTCCATACAAGACGAAGGTTACGCGGGAGCCTCAAATTTTCAATTGTTTTTTAAATAAAAAATAGTTACCTAGGCTCTGGATGCAGATCCCAGCCAAAATGGAGCCCATTCCCTTGCCGAGACCTTGATAGAGCAGGAAGAGAATTTGTTGCGAGGAGGCTTTTGCATTTGCTGGGGCGATAAGGGTGATGTAGGATGAAGCACACGCCCAGAGGGTGCCGAGGACCAAGCCTGAAATCATGGAAATACAATCGAAATGGGTTCAAGAGACTGAAGCGTAAAAATCGACCCCTTGTATCAACTAGATCTCGACAGCTACGTGCCATGTCAAATGCTGTTTTACTTAGTTTTAACGACAACCTTTGGGGGTTTTTTGCATTATCGGGGAGCATAAAAATGGAAATGTGCTTGTAAAACGTTTTTAGTATTGGTCGGTAAAAAATACGGTTTTACCAAAATGCCCGATTTATGTCCAAAATTTTCGCCCTTAGCGAGATTTTAGATCCTTTTTCTATTAGTGTCTTTTTTTTCTTTCTCTAAAGCACGAATAAAATACTGCATAATAGATCACTAGCTAGGCATTTCTAAAATTAACCAAAAATTCATCCCCCGACAATGCGAAAGAGCCACTTTTCGAGTTATCGAAACCTGCAATTCTTGTAATTTGGCGCTTAACGTAGTTGTCGAGGCCTAGTCGACAAAAAACTGTTGATTTGGGCGTTTCTAAGCTCCTTTGATCCATTTCTTTCTTTGTATATGACATAATATAACTTAATATTTAATTAAATAGTATTTAATAGCTAATATAATTCACCCACCTTGAACCAACTGCAATGGAATCGCCAAAAACGCGTTGTCGATCAGCGCCAAAATTATAAATCTGACGGTGTTGACGAGGAGACATGCGTAAATTGTCTAAAACGGTAATTTTAAGATATAAATTGGGACTACTCACCCTCATGTGCCCAAGCTTATTAATAATCTTGAAAGCATAGAAGAAGACGATGATCTCTCCAAGATGGTTGACAACGGACAACATTCCGAAGAGAGATGGAGAACCTCCCAGGTCCTGAAAACGCATTTTTCTAGTTTGATGTTTTACACTTTCAAACCTGTAGTGTCCAATACAGGAAGCTAAACACGACTCCGGTTCCCATCCCGAAGATCGTGACCAAGACGAGGAAGATGATGGTATGAAGGTTGTTGAGGGATTTTAGAGTGATGAGGAGGCTGTTTTGGGTTGTTGTGTCGACCTGAAAGGAGAAAAGGCTTTTAAAGGGAGCGCGACAACTGGGGGTTTAAGATAGAGAGCGAGAAATAGTGGGAGAGAAATATATAGCGAGAGATAGAGAGAGATATAGAGATAGTGATGGAGCGGGAAAGAGAGAATATGAGAGAAAGGGAGAGAGAAAGAGAGAGAGAGAGAGAGAGAGAGAGAGAGAGAGAGAGAAACACCGAGAGATTGAGGGCGATCGAGCTTGAGAGAGACATATAGCGTGAGAGAGAGAGAGAGAGAGAGAGAGAGAGAGAGAGAGAGAGAGCGAGAGTCAAAGCAGAGCGAGAGGGCGTGAGACAGATGAGAGAGCGCTATAGGGAGAGAGAGAGGGAGAGAGAGTGAGAGTGAGGGGATAGAATTGAATCTTAAGTAAGTAATCGATTCTATAGTAGTATTTCAAGATTTCTCACCTGCGCCTGTCGATTCCTAGCTTTTTCTGCCAATGCCGGAGCCACTTCTTCCGCCCTCGCATCCATCGCCAACGCTGTCGCTTCATCACTTCTCACGGACTCGGCACCAAATTTCAATTGGGTTGCTAAAAATATAAACCTTTTTCAAATTCCTCTTATCCTTACCAATCAGCATGGCAGCCATGATGAAAATTGTGCACATCACGAAGCAGAGAACATAATTCTTTTCGGTCGAATTTTTGACCGGGCATGGGTGGTTCCTGTAGAAAAATAGGTAAGGATAAATTAAATCAATTTAATTGGTTACCGGAAGGTATCAGAATAATCCAGCGCGATTCCCATGATAAACATAGCAGCTCCCCAACCGACCGATCCGAATAATCGGATTTTTCCGAACTAAAACGTAGGTATTTAAAAGATATAGGTAGTTTTAAGGTACCTCTTTAGGATGGTCTTTACACGCATTAAGGGTAGCCGCATCGGCAATGCTCAAAGCTGGCGTGGACAAAAATTCTCCGAATATAATTAGCAATAGTAGCATCATAAACGCTTGCTCGACGACGGGCTGCCTAAATTATTTTTTAACGCTAAAATTAATGAAATCGCTTACTTATAAACCCTGGTAGAATGTGGTGGGGTTACCAAGATACCATAGGCTTCTTCATCATAGTTGCACACCTTAAAGAAAATTAATAAAATTAAGAAATAGGGAATTAACCTCTTCTCGTGTGATATAGACTGGTGAGATTCCGACGATTGCTGTTTCCGGTTTCTCGACGGTTGATAGGTCGATATTTTCGGTTACTACTGAAATTAAAATTTTAAAGGGAGCGTGACAGCAAAAGGTTTAGAATTGAATTGAACAAGTGAAAATTCGGATAATTTTCTTCACTATTAACTATCGTAATTGGTTCATGATTACCTCTGTCAACGCCCCTTTAATTTCTCTCTCTCTCTCATTCTCTCTCGATCTATCTCTCTCTCCTTCTCTCACTTTCTCTCCCCGTCTCTCTCTCTCGCTCTCTCTCCCTCTCTGTCTCTTTCCCACTCTGTCTCTTTCCCTCTCTCGCTCTCCCGGTCTCTGTCTCGCTCTTTGTGTCTCTCGCCCTCTTATCATTTCCTATTAGTTAAAATCTAACGTATTTTAAAGGGGTAGTGGAAGGAAGAAAAAGTAGATTTCGCGTAGAAATCGAAGAATGCGTTTTTGGACTCCGATTTTAACTATCGTAACCGGTTCTCAAGTTCTCTGTCATCACCCCTTTAAGTTATCGCTCTATCTCTCTCTCTCTCTCTCTCTCTCTCTCTCTATCTCTCTCTCTCTCCCTCTCCGACCTTTCGGTGGTGTTGTCGGTTCCGGCGTGGTAGTCGTCGTAATTTTAGATCGTGCTCTGCCCCTCGTTTTCTCTTTGGTGGCCCTTTTCCGTCTTCCCAACCCAATCTTCTTCTTCAGAAACCCAACGGCCCCTCCGGGGATCACCTAAATGCTCGCGAATATTTCATTAGCTCCTTCGGGATCTCGCGGGCCGCCTAGGCAACAGCGCGAAATCCGGCTGAATTTTAGGGTGGTGAGGAGGTGTTTTTGGTAAAAAATAGTAAAGCTGAATGGGGTGCTTAAAATTAAGGAAATGGCTCCGAAAACGCCCCAAAAATTCGTACCTCTCCCGCATTTGTCAGTAGTGAGATGCAGGTATCATTTTCTTGTGGCTTCACAGCTTCACCGGCCTCAGATTCCATAATTGAGACGCAATACTGGGTAGAAGGCTGGATTTTAGACATTAAAAATTGTTTGAAATTCAATAATACCTGCACAAATCCGATAGCCAGCGTAAAAACGATCAGCGATCCCAGGGAGAAGATGAGCAAGAGCTTCTCCTTCTTGAACCGGGACGCAAATGAGCCCCAGAATGGGTGGGAGGCCATTTCCAGGAATGGGCGACAGCCTTGAGATTTTAATAAAAATGTGGCTCTTAGGAATCGATACCTAACAAAATCCCTGCCTGCGTTGCCGTCATTCCGAGCTGTTTGAAGTATACTCCGAGTAATGGGAAGAGGGAACCGAATGACGCGAAGAAAAATAGGTAGAAGAGGCGGCACATTAAGGATTCTCTGAAAACATATTAGAATTTTTGGAAATCCTGTAGATTAAAGCAGTTTATAGGGGTTCTTATCCATTATCCGGGGGTACTAACTATTTTGTATAAGTCTAGAAATGTATAACAATTAATACAAAGTGTTTTTTGTAGTGTCTTTAGTAAAAATAAAGCGATATTTCAGAAAAAAAACTATGTAAACCCTTGAAAAAGGCGACACTTGGTAAAAACCAGGCATTCTTGGTCGGCAAATCCATACGTTGGATATTTTTTGATGCAAGTTTGTAAAGTTGTTGCGCTTAGCAATAGTCGAAAAGCAGGAAATATTAGAAATTTTCCAAGGTTTTTCCTATCCAGATTTGATTAATTGGAGTCTAACAAAAAGTTGAATTCCCCGATAGCTCCTCCCCGATAATGGAAAAGAGCCGTTCCTAGTAATCTTAAAAGTTTACTGATAAAATAAGAGCTTATAAAATGGTTAGAAATTGTAAAATACCTAAAAAACCCATAAAAACTAACCTGGAAAATGCTTGACCGAGGAAGCGCACCGTGCGCACCTGCCCAGCACTGTCCTCCATTTTTCCGGGCTTCTTCTTTCTAGTTTCTTCTTCTTGAATTTCTTCTTCTATCCTATCATAGCGTGATGTCACTCAGTCCAAATCAAAAAACCGAATAAATGACGCCGATTTCCAGCGGTTCTTTGCAACCAAAGAGCGGAAGAAGCCGAAGGAGGAGGAGAAGAAGAAGGCGAGTTGGTTGCCCCTGCTTTCTGGCTGAAGGGGAGACGTGCGCGTTTCGGGCCCTCTTTTAGGGCCTTTGTGCCCTGAGGGGCCCCATCGATTGGCCCTGGTGGGCCCCTCTCTTTCCCCTTTTGAAACTGAATATCGGGCCCTCCCCCCTTTTGCCCAAGCCATTTCGCGCACCCTCGCTAGAAAAAACTGGCGTTTCGGGGGAGGAAGGGTGGCCAAAGTGACCCGATGGGGGGAGGAAGGGACGGAACATTGGCTTTAAAGGGATTGTGAAATCGGGGCGGGAAGTTGAGGGAGAAGCTGGGGGATGGAGGAAATATTGGGAATTGAGTGTGAGTTATCGAGAATGAGCTAAAACTGCTTAAAATAAAACTTCGAGTACGGGCACGACCCGATCATCATGATTCTCCAGAGAAAACGCTTGCTCGGGCCCTTTCCGCTTCTCTTTGCATCCATACTACCGTATCCCCTGCCCCAAGGAACTAAAAAACAGCTGAAACGGTACTCTTTGCCTTCCATGCACCTTAAATGTTTGAAAACGTACCAAATCTACGAAAGTTAGAAAGTTAGAATTCCGATTCCGTTTCACTACCATACGTGACAAATCGTTCTTTTTTTGGTAGATTTTTCAGAGCCGCGTGGTGATCGTCGATATCATATAAGACCATTTTTCATTTCCGCCAACTCGCCACTTCCGCACTTCGACCCCTGAGTCAGTCTACTCATACTGTCAATTGCCAAAATTAAAAGGGTCTACTGTAATGTTGCGCTCGTTACATTCCGTAGCTCTAACTTGGTCTCGTTCTCTCTCTCTCTCTCTCTCTCTCTCTCTCTCTCTCTCTTCTGTCTCTCTTTCTCTATATCTCCCACGCTTGCTGTCTCTCTCGCACTCTCTCTTTCTGTCTGTCTGTCTGTCTGTCTCTCTGTCTCTCGCTCTCTCTCTCTCTGTCTCTCGTTCTCTCGCTCTCGCCCGCTCTCGCTCTCGCCCGCTCTCGCTCTCGCCCGCTCTCGCTCTCGCCCGCTCTCGCTCTCGCCCGCTCTCGCTCTCGCCCGCTCTCGCGCTCTCCCGCGCGCGCTCTCTCTCGCTCTCTCTCCTCTCTCCTCTCCCCGCCCTCTCTCTCTCTTCTCGCTCTCTCTTCCTCTGACTTTCTTAACGCGGTTTTTTAAATACCGTAACCTCTAGAAACCGGCTGTTAGCGTCATTTCCATAAAACCGGTAGTCAAGAAAAAAGAAATGCTTTCCGCTTCGAGTCTGAAATTTTGCAGTTTTTGTTTTGGCTTCATGGCTCTTTTAAACACTCTGGCTCTATATATTTTGGTTCTGGATCGTCCTCGTCATTTTCCCATTCCCACCCCAATTTTCCCACGCTTCTCCCGCGGGAGACGCTCATTCTCGAAGGGCGCAGAAATTTTCTTTTGCTGCTTCTTCTTCTCTTGCTCAAAAGTGCAAGGTGTGCCAAATGAAGCATGGCTGCCATTTCCGTCTTTTTCTATCGTTCGTTTTTCATTTGGGGGGGGAGAATGTTCTGAAAACGAGGCGGAGCTGGACAGCTGGGTGGTTGGGGGATGGCTGACGGGGGGATGGGGCGAGGGTCCAGCTGTTTTCTCATGTGTGTGTGAGAGATAGAGAGAGAGAGAGAGAGAGAGAGAGAGAGAGAGAGAGAAGCCGACCGGGGGCCGAGCCGCTGGTCCGAGAATTCGGACAGACAAACATACAGACAAACAGACAGAGAGAAGGGGGCGAGACTAGGCTAGTGACTAGAACGGCTGGGTGTTCAGTCAAAGAGAGAGATCAGGACCTAGAGAGAGACGCAGCGCCAGTTCTCTTTCAGTCCGCAGCGCTCCGCTTTGCGCCCTGCGTTGCGGCCCCGGCCGGTCGCTCTCGTTCTCCCCCAAACACCCGGCCACTCGCCACCCTCCCCCCACAGCCCTTCAGCGAATTTTTTCCTGGCCTAAAATAGTGGACAGCGCCCGCCGGGGGAGTCGCGCCCTTTTGTAGTTTCCCACGATATCCGCTCGCGGATTGGTTAGGGTATTGTGACGTAATGGTGTCTTTTTAATGTACTTTATAGGGCTTTGGTCCGGCTTTTTGGGGTTGTTTTTTGGGCTTTTTCATTCACTATTAAGGTTTTTCCCCCTTCAAAATTCGCAGTTTGTTTTTATCGTTCACAAGACCCCAGTTTTACATTACGGCTCTATGCTGCTATTACCCTATAAAAATTGTGCTAATTTTTATACTTGTTTTTTTTTGTTGTTTTTAAACTCTTTGTCAAGTTCGTTTACATTAACTAACTTTATAATATTAGGGTGCTTTCAAAACGTTGAATTTACGTTTTGATACCCCGTAATGTTGCTAGCGTCTTGTACAATGGCTTAAAAATATCTAGATCTGAATTTCCACTATTATCTCCGTTACATCCCTTATTTACGCCCAAAATACACCTGTTTACGCCTCAATTTCTCTTCTATACCGTTTAAACCAAGCGTCATTACGTGGTCTGGCGTAATTCCTTCTAAATTTCCAATTTTCCCCAAATCAGCTGTTTTCTAAACATTTTCTAAACATCACATTTCACTCCGCTTTTGCATTCCAAAAGCCAACACCCAATTTCCCAATTAACACCCGATAATTAGCAGCTCATGTAAGGAGTACTCCCGCGTAATTCCCCCCAAACAAAGGCCAGGTGGCCCCCGTATTTGGCCCTTAATCCCTCGGGGCGGCAATTCTATAGCCCGAGGGCATTTTTTTGGGTATCGGCAGGCTGTTTGTTTATTGATTTTTGATCTCTCGAACTTTTAAATAGTTTTGGGCTTGAAAAACAATTTTATTTTTTGTAGGCTAGCCTCACTTGGCCCCATACCCCGTCGGCCTGCTATCGCTGCCCAGTAGATTAGATTCAATCGAGGTAAGTAAATGGGTACCTGAAATTTGGGTATATTTTAGTATTGATTAAAATTATAGTATTATAGCATTAATAAAATATATAACTTACTTTAGATGGTCCGTTCTTTCGAGAGCCGTATCGAGGCGGAAGCGACGATGGTGGAGAAGATGCTGGATGTTGAGGAGATTGACGACACAGACATCGCCGACGAGGTCGGTTTTTAGCATTTTTCACTTATTAAATTCATATTATTAGTATTTCGATTAGATATTCTATATAAAAATGCATTTCCAACATTTAGGTGGACATTTTGGACAGCGGTGAGGGTGAACTGTCACCGCAATCCGGGCGCCACGATTGGGCTAGCCAACTGGTGAATGTGGGCCATATGAATGGGTGGGTTTTGTGAGAAATTATTGTTATTTTAATGTGTTTATACCTTTAAATAGTTTTTGAACTCTTAATTCCAAGAAAATTCGGTTTTTAGATGTTTCCTCCAAAATTTGGGCTTTTTTTGGCTTACCAGGCCCTTTAAAGTCTTTTTTGAAAAGATTTTGGCATTTTATTTTTCGCCCATTTTCCAGAACCGTCCTCGCTGTAGTGATTCATTGAATTCCATTCCTTTTGCGATTCCATCACAATCCTCCTTCCACCTCTCTTTCATCACCAAAACAATCCCTTTCGTTCGCTAGGAAAATATTTTCGTAGCTCTGTCTCTCTTTCGCTCTCTCTTTCTCTCTCTCTCTCTCTGGCTCTCTCTCTCTGGCTCTGTCCTCTCTTTCACGATAAATCTCTCTCTATCTTTCTCTCACGGTCTTGCTCTCGCTATTCTTTCTCTTTCCCTGTCTCACTCGTGCTGTCTCTCGCTTTCTCTCGCTATATCTCGCTCTCTCTCCTTCCCTCTCTTTCTCTCTATCACCCAGGTGTTTGGATCATACTGTACTCTCCACCTATTACCATCCCATAACCTCCGCTCCTATTTTTCATCTCGAGGGTCAATCCATTTTTTGCTTCCTGGAACCACCGGTGTTGCTTGGACAAGGTTTGAGGAAAAGCCTTGTGCAGCCCCCTGAGAGGAGCCCTGGAAGAACAGCTGACAAAGTATTTGAAGGGCGGCACATGGCCAGAGGAGCGTTAGGAACAGCTGACCATTCGTTCTCCGAATCTTTCCCCCCTTCCTGCCCGCTAGACCATCACCCCACATATCCAACAGAGCTCGCTCCTCGGGCGGAGAGCCAGCTCTCCAGTATCTTTTAACTGGGCGGGCAAGGGCACAAAATCCGCAAACAAACATGTGCCATGGAAGTGTTGGGGGGAAGAAGGTTTTTCCCGGAAACGGGTTTTTAAAGGGACATAGAATGCTCGAGTAAGCTGAATGCTGAAAGTAATGCTCATGGCAAGTATAGATTTCCTATACTTTTCAATGTGTCTAGAAGCGTAGCATATCGGAGTCAATCTTGAAAAATGTGCAAAAATACCACAAGGCAATTTCCTATACCTCTTAAGGTGTTTAGAAGCGTAGCGTAACGTAGCGATACCTTGAAAGTTTTGCAAAACTGCCTAAATCCTCCCTTTTTGTTCCTTGAAACTGCCTTGAAGCCACTTTTTCGTAACGTCTAAACACTCGAATCTTAACTAAGATTTTCCCTTCGAAATAACTTTAAATTATCTAAATTGTGTCGTTGATAGTTTTCAAAGTCGTTTCAAATTTGAAGATCTTTTTTGAGGTTTTCGTGAAAAACCCTTCGAACAGCTGAAATCCCGGCTTCCTAATTACTTCCTCGACCTCAGACTTAGACTTGGACCTCCTAAAATCCCGCCCAATGGAGCACCAGATCCATACCACCTGGTGTCCCCTCAGAAACTCGGAAACTCTGAAACAAACGAAGCAAAGACCCGCCGCCTGGCTTCAAGTCCGCGATAAGGGGGGCGCAACAGCAGATGGTGGTTTTCCAGGGGTTTCCGGGCTTTTCGTCGCTTTCCGTAATCTCTCTAAAAATCCTCGCCTGGTAGTCTCTCTCTCTCTCTCTCTCGCTTTCTCTCTCTCTCTCAAATGTTCCACCTAGTTGGCGGTATGGGGGGTGCGCACGACGGTGTGCAGTCCAGCCGAGATCGTTTTTTGTGTTTGTCGTCCAGTTGGAAGGGGTTGGGGAGGGGGATGGGCCACACGGGGTTCTCTCTCTCTCTCTCTCTCTCTCTCTCTCTCTCTCTGTCTCTCTCTCTCGCTCCATCTCTAGCCATTCGCGATCCTTCTTCCCCATATCAGCTGTTACCTCCAACTGGCCTTCGCCCGCCCCCCCCGTCCCTTTTCTATATCAGCCATGAAAAAACGAATCCTTCCCCGGGCCCTGGGCCATGTGAAAAAGCACGGCTGGGGCTGGGGTTTTTTTTTGATCGGAACGAGGGGAGGCTTATCGCTTGGAGATGGGGGGGGGGCAGAAACATTCGGAAATGGCGAGCAGACCCTTTTTTGAGGGGTTATGCAAAGCTAGGAGAGAGTGAACTTTGGTAGTGAAACAGTGTACGCGAGCAGTTACTGTTGAGGATCTGAAAATAACGGATTCAAAGGACCTGTGAAGGCAAGCCTGGAGGTCACGCCCATGGATCTACTTACGATTTTTTTTAAAGGGGCGGGAAAGACTTAAAGTGTGGATTGCTCAAAATAAACTATGAAACATTTCCAATAAAAAGCTGCAATTGTTAGGTTTAGCCTGTTTAAAGGACCTGTGAAGGCAAGGTTTGATCCCGCTGCTTTTGAAATTCCTAGCCTTTGACTTCCTAGCCCCTTATAAAGCGGCGGAAAACCGCAACGGTGTACTTGTAACTCCGAATTCTTTGCGTTTTACGCCGCGACACGCAACGCGCACGCAACTGCCTTCAGGCCTCTTAAATCGGAATCCAATACGCAAATTAATGACGAGCCGAGGTCTTTGAGTTCCTGAATCCACAAGAACTGGTTTGAGCTCGCTTCCTGATCCCTTTAAATGGGCAAAAGCCAAAAAATGTTTATGGATTTCACTTGCTAATCCCTTTAAACCTAAGCCTGGATGCGAAAAACCCCGAAAAACTCTAGACAGTGTGTTCCAACATCACCCTACTCTCACCCCGCCCTGGGATCATCACGTATGGCCTCATAAAAAGTATCCAATCGAGTCGTTCTCTCTCTCTCTCTCTCTCTCTCTCTCTCTCTCTTTCTGTTCTTATCAGTCAGTCTACACCGAACGAGTCTCCCCCACCACCAATGGTTTCAATAGAAAGACTAATGGCCCTCCCCCACGAATCGAGATGAAGAAAAGAATAGAACCCTAGAGATGGATAATGACTCTTTTCTTTTTCAGTATCCGCTACCCGGACTCAGCAGCCGTCTCCCCAAACGGAAATGGCTGCCTGGACCCCGATCGACGCATGAGGCGACAAATTGCCAACTGCAACGAGCGCCGCCGGATGCAGAGTATCAACGCTGGCTTCCAAACACTCAGGAATCTACTGCCGAGGAAGGAGGGGGAGAAGTTGAGCAAGGCAGCGATACTCCAACAGACCGCTGAGCTGATTCATAGCCTGAAGAATGAAATGAATCGATTGTTGGATGACCGGGAAGGGGCTGTGCCGAAGAGGCGGAGGTTTTCAGGTATGAGCATGAGCAAGTGAAAGGAGAGGGAATCGAAAAAGGGAAAGGAAAGCGTAAAGAAGTAGCAGAACACTTGTTAAACCATAAAAAAAGTAATTGACAAGCGCTGAAAAAACTTGGAAATATAATATATTAATGATAGAAATCCCTTAAAATTCTTTGCTAACTGGCCTTCCTTTTTGGATAGAAGGAAAATGAGAAATTTACAAAAATTTTGAACAATTAAAATCTTTTAAGGGTATTTGCAAGCTAGCCCTGAATTTTTCAAGCATAAAATACCAATTAAATATAGAGAATCTACAAAAAAAACAGGCTTAAAAGTCCCTTTAAAATGTCTAAGTCCAATTTTCAGAAGAAATCGCCCACGAAGAAACGCGGCAAGTCATCGAACAGCTCCAATGTGCCTTAGAACGAGAACGGGGCCTTCGAGCCCTGTACGAAAGCCAATTAGCTAGCGTAAGCGTTTTATCCCAAATCTGAAAAAATAATTTAGCAACTACCAATGGCCCAGCCCGCCAAGCCACAACCCCCACTCGGGCTGGTACAAGAAGAAGCCAAAATGTTGCGAATGCATATCGGGGAAGAGACGGCGAGACCCGTGCCAACATTGGCGCCATTGCCACTTTTGACGATGGTCGGCACTACGCATAATACTATCAACCATGCGCTGTCGCCCGAGGCTACGGTATCGGTGATCAAGCCGTTGCCGACGACACCAGGTGAGAAAGTACCGAAAAACTTTAAAGGGGTACTGTAAAGCCCAAAAAAAGGTTTTAGTTCTCTATGGCCGAAAAAATAAGATATTCGGGCCTTGCGGGTCCCTTTAAAGGGAGGGTGACAGCAAAAAAACTTGATTCTTACAGCACGGCGTTCCTGTTTAAAAGGAGACGGACAAAACGATTATAACAATCTTTTCAGTTCTCGAAGCCCTCCCACCAACACCAACAATGAGCCTCACCCCCCAGCCACCCACGATAAACACCTCAACACCGACGATTGCCCTGAATTTCGGCATCCAGCGGCCACTGTCCTCCCTGGGCGGACCGACAAACTCCCCCTCCCCTCCACAACTAAATACACCACCTGTATCGGCGGCGTTTGAGACTCACCGCTCGCTGAATGTCATCCTGGATGCTATTCGGCATTTGGAGGGTGGAGCTTATCAGGTATTTATTTTAAAGGTATCCAGAAGTTTAAAAAATCCCAGAAATTTTCGAAATTACTTTGTTAATATAAGTTAAGATAGAATTCATAATTTGAAGGGGTAATATAGTTGATGTATTTTCAATTTTTAAAATATAGCGATTTTTACCCAAGTCTCTAAAGAGACGACGACGTGTCTCCTGGCGGCTAAATTCGTCTGGAAACCATAAAATGTCTTCCCAGTCCCTTTAGACAGACTTTTTCAAGATAATCGAGCTTAAATAAATTTTGAAAAGTATAAAAATTCTATAAAAACTTATATAAAATTTACAACTTTCAGGCAACCCCTCCAACAACCCCTACCTCACATGCCAACCTGATGGTGCGCTGAGCGTCACCCTCCCCCAAATTCAGCTGATTCTCCATTGCGAGGGCTGTTAGCAGCTAGTATCGTCTCGTAGTCCCGGCGGCCAGGAAAAGCCTTTTTTTATTAATCACCCCGGGATAGTTGATTGTCAGTAGATGTTCTGCCCCCCACAGAAGCACACACGCTCTCTAATTCTCTCACTCTCTCACCCCCTCGATATAAACACATACGTCTTTGTGTTTATCCTATTATTGTTATATAAAATCTATTAAGGCTCTAAAGATTTTATAAGAATTTTTATAAGGAGTTTTATAAGGATTTTTTAAGGATTTTCGCACCGCCCCCTGAATCCCCCACACCCCGTCATTTCCAGTATCTCTGCCAAATTTTATCTCGTTATGATTCCAATTTTTAAGGCTGTTTTTGTTGTTGTAAAATCTTTTTTCTTGTAAACTTGTTATAACGTCATTTAATTGAAGCTGGAATGTGGCTGAGAATGGGTTTTAATTGACAAAAATCGTTAAAATTGGCATTTTTGGGTTTGTAATCTTTGAAAAATTGAATAAAGACAGCCAGAGTTTCTAAAGCATGTCTAGCAATTTTCTATTTAGAATTAGGATTAAGTAAAGTAACACACGCTAAAATAAAAATTTTTATAAATTAAATTAGCATAAAACACACTTTTTTTTGATTTTTTCGAAATTTTAGCGTGGAAAAATTGAATTTTTTGGGGCTTAAAAAAGCCAAGATTTTGTTTTTACACCTTTAATAAACTGGCTCTAGAAATGACTTTAAACAGTAGACGTTGCAATAAATCTAAAAAAATTAAAGCCATTTTTTAAAGCCCCTTTCAGTCACATTTCAGCCAGCCGGGTTCGCCCTCCTCTCCCTCAATTTCCGGTAGCTTCCAAATTCCCGGTTCCCCCCACCCATTGGTAAAACTTTGAAAACAAAAAATGATGAGCATACTTTGCACCCTCCCCCTCCCCACCCTCATCCTCCTCAATACCCTATATAGTCACTTTTGTCCGAATATTTGTCCCCAAATTGTTAAGGCTAGTTTTTGTTACCTCGCTCTCCCCACACCCCCCTTGTTATTTGTTAAATAGAGTATGATATTTTAAGGTAAAACGTTAAAAAATAATTTTCCGCGCTTGACTATCCCAACGAAACCAGGTTGAGCTATATTTTCTGGTGCAAGAAGAGCTGGCTCGATCTGTTTCTAAAATTATCTCTTTTCAAATCTCTATACCTTTACGTCTTAAATTATGGTGATAGTTTACGCGTTCAAGTGGCACTTTTATTTTTTTATACATTGTTACGTACAAATGCTGGCAGTTTTTGGCAATTTGCCAGGCAGTCCGATTGATTTTGTTCTCTGCCCCCCACTGCCCCCCTTCCAAAGCCACAGGACCCAATATTATATACAGTAATACATTGCCAAGGTTTTCAAATGCGAAATACAAGTGTTTTTTTGCGTCGGAATTATTGCACCGGATATTTTTAAATACACTTAAGAGACTCAAAAGGATGAGAAATGCGGAAATCCACATACTACAGTAATTACAGTACCGAACAAAAAATTAGATACGCCTCCTGAGGCCGTCTAAAGTCAAATGGATGGATGGGAAACCTAAGCCGAACCCTAAGCGTAGGCCGAAGCCAGAACCGAAACCTAAGCTTAGGCATCGGTCTAAGCCTAAGCCTATGCATAGTTCTAAGCCTAGGCCAAAACCTACACCTAAGCCTAAGCCAAAACCTAAACTTAAGTCTACGCCAAAGCCTAAGCTAGGCCCGGACCTAATCCTAAGCCTAAGCCAGAGCCTAAGCTGACGTGTAAGCCTAAGCCAAAGCCGAAGCATAAGCCTAAGCCAAAGCCTAAGCTAGGCCCAAACCTAATCCTAAGCCTAAGCCAGAGCCTAAGCTGACGTCTAAGCCTAAGCCCAAGCCAAACAGCCTACAGTAATTACAGTACCCAATAAAAATAAATCTTCTACGCTTTGAAAAAATCGTCTAAAGCTTCTTAACGTCTTCCTGAACTCATTTCCCCACGCCATACTTGCGTTGGCGCATCGCTGCCGTCGCCGCCCCCTCGAGCGCTTTCCAGGTTGATAATTGTTCTAGTTCTTCTTCAGCCTGTTTTAGCATGGCGGTCTGAACCACCAGTTCAACGACACTGTCACCATCAGCAAAGGCGGCCGCGAAACCCGCTCGAATATCCCTAAGGTTGATAATTCTTCTTGTTCTTCTTCAGCTTGCTTTAGAATTCGGGTCTTTCTTTCGAATTCTTCCGGATTTCCCGGGGCGGGAAGAGGCAAATCTGGTACCAGGAATAGCAATTACGAATAATGCATAATATTGAATACGCTTTAACCGCGCGCATTCTTGCATATGTGATAGGTTATCCCTCGGGGTGACAGTGTGCGTTCCAGAGCTCTGACGGTCTTTAATAATTGCCCGAAAACTAGACTAACGACGCGAAAATTCAAAAAGTCGATAATTTGACTAATGAGTTGATTTTGAATGTTGGCATTTCCGGGAATCTGTTTATAAAAAAATTTGCGTGTGGGCATTTCATTTTCATAAAATGGCCCAAAAAACGCCTGAACCCGCCGCTGCTGGTTCGACCAATGTGACGGCCGCCGCCCCAACCATTCACCCACCGGCCAAGACGCACAAGGAGAAGCCGGTCGGCCCTATTAAAGCTTAAGCTATATACATCAAATGCAAGCTGTGCCAAACTGCTTTTTTAGAAGTTCCCCGTCTTCGAGGGAGACATCGTCTTCGGTAGGAAATCGACCTCTACCACCGCCCTCTGCCCATCGCCGCCCCCGCCCGCGTCTTCTTCCCGTTCGACGTCGCCGTCCTGGATGGAGGTAATTTTTTAAGCAGCTCCGTCAATCAATTATGCTTTCATTTTGAAAAACTCTAGGATTTTAGAATTTCCTTCCTAGAATTCCTTTTTCTGCGGAAAATTGGGCACTGGACTGTTAGCAGGGGGGATTTTGGCGGGGAAGACTAATCCTCTCAATAATCCGGGACGGTCCTAAAGCAAAAAGGACCATTTTTATAGCAGTTTACACCATTTTTAGATATAAAAAGCTCATGGTGGTTAAAACTTGGTAATGATTAAATAAATTGTTAAAATCCTTAGCGTATTTTTTGATGCTCTATCGATTGGCATAACCAAAATACCGAAACAATAGCGTAGATGTCGAAAATTTTTGGTAACTTTCGGCTGGGGGGATATGGTAAAGCCTAGCCGATATATTTATTTTTATTTTACATTGATGAGTGTTTTTACAGGGGGATGATGGTGTGCCGATTCCCGGTTCGCCGCCCGGCCCCGGCACTCCCGTCCTGCGCCTCGGCGTCTACTCGCGCAAATGAAGGGCAACAAAATCAAGGCTATTTTGTGGAGTGGTTTTTATTCTGAATTCTATGTGTTTGTAATAAATCGTGCTAGATAAATGGTCTTCGTTACAAGACTTTTGATTTTGAAATGCATTATACAGAATATTCTATAGTCGCTACAGTTAATCTGGGCCAGGAAGTAGAAAGCTGAAATTACAGTGATAGGAAAAATGATTAGCTGGTAACTTTGGTGTATTGCATGATTTCCATTGCGCATTTCCGGTTTTCCTGGTATAAAAGGAAAATCATGGGGAGCGGATTCATTTTCTGCACTGCGATGCCCTGCTACCTCGATCCTAGGCGCGTGCAGTCCGAGCCGTCGTTGTGCGCGCCACCGCTCGTTGAGCCTTACAGTGTCAGTTTCCGGATTCAAATTAACTATGCAAATTTTTATCTAGTTCGGCTCGCTCTAATTGCCCCCGTTCGGGCCAGGATTCGAATCGTTCACATCGTTTTTACCTCATTATTTTTTATTTAATCGAAATCTAACCTTATTCTACAAAACACGGCAAACATTCTGGCATTATTTAGAAGCCTGTAGCTTATAGGCCAGCCGACATAAAAATTTGGGACCGGTTTCGGGGAAGGGGGGGCGCAGGGGTTAAACTAGGGTCTTGTTTTTCAAATTTTTTCGAGGCATTGGTTCTTTAGGATTTCCGGGGGAAGTATTTCCGGGGAAACCAAATTTTTCGGCCCAAGCCTAAATTTTTTTCTAAATAGCGCATGCGTTCCTAAATGGTTTTTAACTATTCCTGAGCATAAAAACTACCCGTATTTTAATTAAAAAATTTAATTTTAGGTCGAAAAATCCTATAGAACCTTTAGGATTACCGGGGGGGGAAGACCCAACATGACCAATTTTCGACTTTTTCAAACATTTTTTAACTTTTTTGAAAGGTTTTTCTACTTTAAATATAGTTAAAATTTACTAAATACGATGTCAAAACACTTTATATTTGATTACTAGGTCAACCGGGAAAACCAGGAAAAAATTTGGTTTCCCGCCCCGGAAATACTTTCCCCCCCCCCCGGAAATCCTAAAGAACCGAGGCATTTTGGTACTGGACTATTAGCGGGGGGGGGGGGCTAGCGGGAAACCGAATTTATTTTCCAAGGAATCCGATTTGGTTTTTTTTGGCGGAATATAAAATAATTTTTTGATGTAAAAACCTATAGAACATATAGAAACTTTTTTGAAAACTATTTACTATTCGAACATTTAATGGGTAAAAGAGCCAAAAAGTGTCCAATTTTCAAAATTGTTTAAAAGAACTTGATAACTTTTTGTTAATCATAAGTTACTAAAAATGTTGCGAAAAACACATTTGTTATTTTCAGCAAATTTTTAAAACAAAAATTGGTTTTTCCCAGGCTTAGAATTCCCCCGCTAACACTACAATGCCAATGTTTTAAATAGTTTTCCGCCCAAATGTATTTAAATGGTACATCAAAACTATTAAAATACTTTCTACCTTTCACAAAATAGGCAGTTCCAGGATATAGGAAAAAAGTTGATTTACTAGCAATCATGCGAAAAACTCCATACTTTAAGCGTATCCTGCCCGGCACGCTGATCATCGTCGGATCATGCTTGGGGCTGGAATTTATCGGTGATTCGCCTAGCGAGGTCAAGGTTGGTCTCATCATCGATTTGTATTCTAGGGAGCTAAATCTAGGTTCGTGTTGTGTTTCGTAGGATTGAGTTAATTCTAGGTCGAAGTTATGTCGGTCGACGACACGCAGATGGAGGTGGCCCAGGACGACTACATGGACATCGACCATGTCGACGACGCCGCCGAGCTGTTGGCCAACGTCACTCTCAACTACAACGACAACAACCCCAACTACCACAACCACCACGGTTACAACTAAACCGGTCCCACACATGGGTGTTTTTTTACTATTGTTTTTGGAGTCTGGCGGAATAAATTTATATAAGTTTTGAATTAACCATCTTCCAGTGGTATCCACAAAGCAGCAGATATATTGATTTGAATCGCAAGGGTGCACATAATTTTCATACCTCATATATCGTAGCCTAAATAGTATGTGACTAATTTGGCGCCTTTCGCATTATCGTAGGGGTTTCCCATTTTTTTAAAAATGTATTTTCAACTTTAAAATTTTTTATTAAAGAGATTTAGTATATGTGTGGCTGTTTTGACCAATTTCCGACGCTTTTAAAATTTGAACTCTTTAAACAGTTTTATTTTACAGAAAGCTCCATTAAAATACTTCCTGTCAGCTTACTAGTCATTTTTAAGCTTGCACCAAAAAAGTTTGGCCCCACCCCCGATAATGCGAAAGAATCTGACTTCCTGGTCGTGTCATTGGAGGTCTGTTGCTGTGTTGATTGAGGAATTAAAAGCTTGAGCTGATTAGTGGCTTTTAGGCAGCTTGTCTCAATCCTTCCGGCGCTCTTTTCTTAAATCCATACTTAAAAACCCGGGCGTTTTCTGCAAAGCGTTTTTCGCTTGTTAAGAATCGTAAAAATTATACGAAAACCTTTGACAAAAACCAAAAATATCGACGCTATATATGTTGCATCGGCTCGTTTTGAATACGTGGATTGCCTGGTGTACCAAAAATCCGAACGGAGCTAGTCATTTCCAATCTAACCACAAGGAAAGATGGCCGGCCCGAATTCGCCCAAATCGCCCGTCTATTCGACCATTGTCCCGCCGACCTGGCCGGTGACGCCGATCAGCAAGGCGCTGGTAACTTTTGATTCAAAGTTTATATGCTAATTTTTTTAACATGATTGTTTTCAAGGGCATTTTTAGTGCTCTAGGACCTATTTTTAAGCGTTTTTCAAAGTTAAAGTTTAAAGTTCAGCAGCGGCGCTAGGCCTAAGCGACGACCGCAAAACGCAGCGCATGTTAATCGCCTCCCTGCGAAGGGCGCGTTGCGGTCGCGGCGTCGGCTAAATGTATCCAGGATGGATAGCCAGAATAGACTATATTCATGCCTAGCCCGTTTCTTTAAAGCTAAGGTAGCTTCTTCTATAAGCCGAGTTTTTTTAAATCAACTACTTTAAACTATAAACACTATCAATTTTACCACAAAACTCGAACGTTTTCGTTCAGCCGGTCTCCAAGAAGCTCGTCGAGCCGTCCACCTCGAGCACCACCCAACCCAACACGTTCACCACCTCGACCCCAAAGTTGGAGATGGTACTGCATTTAACATAGCTTTTTGGTGTTAACCCCCTAATGAAACTTCTTTTAAAAGTACTAGGACATTAGGGCTCGCGCCTCCGATAAAGTTTTTTTTTTAATTGCGTGGCCTGGAACTATTTTATTTAGATGTTTTAGTTAATAAACTATTCTTAAAATTGCCCAATGTTAGGTTATTCAGTAATGCTTACTGAAAATACTTTAAATGTGATACTCTCGACCTCCAAATTCGGGGCCGAGGCCCAGGCAAGACGTGACTTTCAATTGGCTTTGGCTCGGGATTCCAACAGGTCTTTCGGCGCCCGCGACACGCAACGCTTACACTCATCTTTCCATTGTTTAATGGTTTGCGACAATTTTCCGGAATGGGGTAGCGTGCGCGTTGCGTATCGCGATGGCGTGCGCGTTGCGTATCGCGATAGCGTGCGCGTTGCGTATCGCGATGGCGTGCGCGTTGCGTATCGCGGTAGCGTGCGCGCTGCGTATCGAAATAGCGTGCGCGTTGCGTATCGCGATAGCGTGCGCGTTGCATATCGCTTTAGAGTGCGCGTTGCGTATCGCGGTAGCTTGGAAATCTTTGCTAGCCGGTAGTCGTTAAGATTAGAGTGCGGCTTATTCAAATCAAATCACGACTCAAACCGGTTTGATTTGAATAAGGGCGGTTTGAATAAGAATCTGCTTTTCAAATCAAACCGGTTTGGTTTGAATAAGGATCCGTTATTCAACCAAACCGACCAGGTTTGAGTTGGTTTGAATTGGTTTGAACAACAGGAAAATCAGCATGTTAATCGATTGGATGGATGCTAATCTGCTAAGTTTTCGAGGCATCCCTTCTAAAACCTTGTGCGATCAATATAATGATGAAATTGGCATCATTTACGGGGTTTACGCACTTTTTCAACGATAGGCTTGGTATTCACAACCTTTCACAAGCATCCAAATGGTCGGGATAATCTTGGCAGCGCTGAAAGAAAAAGGTCTCGAAACGATCCGCTAACCCCAAAAACCAAGCAGGAATGCTGCTGAATCACCCTAAAGTGAAGTCACAAAAGGATTTGTGCCAAAACGCAAAAATGGTGCCGAAAACCGACTGTTTCGGAGACTGGTTCTTATTCCAACCTTGTTCAAATTATTCAAACCGGTTTGGTTTGGTTTGAGTTGGGAATCCTTATTCAAACCGGGTTTGGTTTGAATAAGGATCCCGTATTCAAATCAAACCGGTTTGATTTGAATAACGGAAATCTTATTCAAACCCGGTTTGAATAAGCCGCACTCTAGTTAAGATCCATGATGATGGCTTAGCCGTTTCTTTAAGGGAAGGGCGCAGATGAAAAAATATAAACATGCAGAAATCCGTGTACATTGTAAATTAAGGTGGTCAAGGACAAGAAGCAAAGCCCCGGCACCCCGATCATCACCAAGGGTTTCCTGCGCCGTTAGTAACCGTTGGAAGAGGAGAACCCGAATTAAAATTTTTTTGTATGAAATTTAAAGCTGATTGTGTATAAATATATTTGGAGGGTATTGGGGCGACACAGAGCTCAAATTAGCTGAAAGCCCAGCACGATAAAATACACTGTTTTGCCTAGAAAGATTTTGTAGATGAGCGCAGATTGAAAAATTAAGATTGTGCGAATCGGGGGCAAAAAGTTGCATAGCTTGGCCATCGATAAGCTAAATTCTTGAAAAAAAATAGTGTGTTAGACCATTAACGGGAGAATCAAAGCTTGATTATATTTCATACAGGAAACAGCTTACTATAAAATTTCTGGTCTCGCGGCATGCAACGCGCAGGCGGGAGCGTTGCGTGTAGCAAAGCGGTAAAATCAGAAATGAGGCGCCGTTTTTTGACCATAAAATGGATAAGCAAACTCCTTTAGACATTAGGGGTGACTGGATTACAAAACAGGTTTTGGTATCTAAATTTTAGCTTTTTAGCTTGAGCTTAGTGCTTTGGTAAGATTTTTTTAGAAAACCGTGTGGTTGTATCTGGAAAATTTAATAGTTAAATGCATCCTTTCAGTTGAATGTGAATCGTTTGTTTGTAATATGCTTGGCGACTATCGTTTGAATAAGGGACTTCCGGGTTTCCGGCCGAAAACTGGAAAATCAATCTTGGTACCTCATTCTTCCACGCTCATCATCATGAGTGGTACCCCCAAAAACTCTGGTACTGACGGAAATTCGGCGCCTCCCAACGGCAACAAGCAACACATTCCCAAGTCGGACCCGGTAAGTAAAACTTATTAAATTATTAAGCTAGTCCGGTCGGTCGTCTGTTATTTATTTTACTATTATTTTACTTTTGCAGCCCAACTACCCGTCCTTCCCCACCGATATAATTTTTGGGAAGAAATCGACTTCCATGACCGCCATCTGCAACGACGACCAGGGCCCCATCACCGACCCCTCGTCGCCACCGTCTCCTGCTTCTAGCTGCCCCTCCTGGATGGAGGTCAATTTTGAAACATTTTAATTATATGGGGGTCTTCTTAAAATGTTCTTATGCAGCAGTGATACGTTTTAACTATGGTATATACGGTATATGTCGGCTACGCGGGGGAAATTTTACGCGGGGGGACGGGACAGGCAGGCCTTTTTGGATGTTCTCGTTATTTTCTCGGAATTTTTTCAACGGCATTCGATAGAGCACCAAAAAATCCACTAAGAGTTTTTGTTTTAGCTCAAATTAGTGTAATATAAAAAAGTTATGGCAACTACAAAAATAAGCTTTGAAAATCGGTTTGAGCGGCTGTTTTTTGACATTCGCGCTATTTTTTCGACATTTTAAAGATGCCATTCGATAGAGCATCCAAAAATATACTAAGAGTTTTAATTTTAGCTCAAAATAATGTAATATAAAATAGTTATAACAAAAACAAGTATCAAATGTTGTTTCCATGGAAGACATGGAAGAAAATGAAGTTTTCGACATTTTCGACATTTTTACAAAATTTCTTTAGTGCCATTCGACAGAGCGTCGAAAAAGATACTAAGAGTTTTGTTTGTAGCAAAAAGAAACGCAAAAAAAATAGTTAGGTCGGCCCCAACAGTCCGTCCCCCCGCGTAAAATTTTCCCCCCGCGTAGCCGACATATACCGGTATATACAGGGTGGCGATTAATTACCTGCGCGTCGCTTTTTCCCCCAAAAATCAGGCTTTAAATTTTTTTGATAGAGTGGTTTTACTATATTGGTGGTTGTTTAGTTGCATCCTATCCAAATTTTAAACGGGTTAAGCAATCACGAAAAATCATGGGGCGCGGATTCATTTTCACAAACTGCCATGCAGTGCTACCTCGACGCTAGGCGCGTGCGGTCGGAGCCAGCCCTGGCTTCGCCGGCTCTCGTCCCGCCCCGTACGGTCAGTTTGCGGATTTAAATTGCTTAGAAATTTAAATGCAAATTACAATCTAGATTTAAATTACCTTGGCAAATTTTTATGTAGTTCGGCTAGCTCTGATTGCCCCGTTCGGGCCAGGATTCGAATCGTTCACATCGTTTTTACCTCACTAATTTTTAATTAATCGAAATCTAACCTTATTCTACAAAACACTGCAAACATTTTGGCATTATTTAGAAGTCTGTAGCTTATAGGTCAGCCGACATAAAAATTTGGGACCGGTTTCGGGGGGCGCAGGGGTTAAACTAGGGTCTTGTTTTTCAAAATTTTTCGAGGCATTTTGGTACTGGACTATTAGCGGGGGGGCTATCGGGAAACCGAATTTTCCAAGGGATCCGATTTGGTTTTTTTGGCGAAATATAAAATCATTTTTTGATGTAAAAACCTATAGAACATATAGAAACTTTTTTGAAAACTATTTACTATTCGAACATTTAATGGGTAAAAGAACCAAAAAGTGTCCAATTTTCAAAATTGTTTAAAAGAACTTGATAACTTTTTGTTAATCATAAGTTACTAAAAATGTTGCGAAAAACACATTTGTTATTTTCAGCAAATTTTTAAAACAAAAATTGGTTTTTCCCAGGCTTAGAATTCCCCCGCTAACACTACAATGCCAATGTTTTAAATAGTTTTCCGCCCAAATGTATTTAAATGGTACATCAAAACTATTAAAATACTTTCTACCTTTCACAAAATAGGCAGTTCCAGGATATAGGAAAAAGTTGATTTACTAGCAATCATGCGAAAAACTCCATACTTTAAGCGTATCCTGCCCGGGACGTTGATCATGGTCGGATCTTGCCTCGGCCTGGAATACCTGGCTGATTCGCCAAGCGACTTCAAGGTTGGTCTCATCATCGATTTGTATTCTAGGGAGCTAAATCTAGGTTCGTGTTGTGTTTCGTAGGATTGAGTTAATTCTAGGTCGAAGTTATGTCGGTCGACGACACGCAGATGGAGGTGGCCCAGGACGACTACATGGACATCGACCATGTCGACGACGCCGCCGAGCTGTTGGCCAACGTCACTCTCAACTACAACAACAACAACCCCAACTACCACAACTACCACGGTTACAACTAAACCGGTCCCACACATGGGTGTTTTTTTTTACTATTGTTTTTGGAGTCTGGCGGAATAAATTTATATAAGTTTTGAATTAACCATCTTCCAGTGGTATCCACAAAGCAGCAGATATATTGATTTGAATCGTAAGGGTGCACATAATTTTCATACCTCATATATCGTAGCCTAAATAGTATGTGACTAATTTGGCGCCTTTCGCATTATCGTAGGGGTTCCCATTTTTTTAAAAATGTATTTTCAACTTTAAAATTTTTTATTAAAGAGATTTAGTATATGTGTGGCTGTTTTGACCAATTTCCGACGCTTTTAAAATTTGAACTCTTTAAACAGTTTTATTTTACAGAAAGCTCCATTAAAATACTTCCTGTCAGCTTACTAGTCATGTTTAAGCTTGCACCAAAAAAAGTTTGGCCCCACCCCCCCGATAATGCGAAAGAATCTGACTTCCTGGTCGTGTCCTTGGAGGGTGTTGCTGTGTTGATTGAGGAATTAGGATTAGAAAATGTAGGAATCTTAGCTGTCGGGATTCTGGGATTTCGCCTCCAATCGTTCTTGAAAAGCCTCAATTTGAGCTCAAAGTTCTCTTAAAGCGCACGTTCAGGGAGGGGCCGTGTACTCGTCCCAACGTGTACACCCTATGGACGTAGGGACCGCGCGCAGGGCCTGCCCGTGCTGTGACAGGCCATTCCCCTGCTTTGCGGCGTGGGGCGCCCCTCACCCCTCGCCAGGTTGCACATGTGGCTGACTGGTATGCGACCGCGTCTCCCGATCGGGAGGCCCGGGTTCGACCCCCCTGGCCTCCCGATCTCTGCTTTTTCCAAAAAAACGTCCCTGAACGTGCCCTTTATAAGCTTGCGCTGATTAGTCGCTTTTAGGCAGCTTGTCTCATCACTTGTCACATCGCCGCTTTCTTCTTAAATACATACTCAAAAACCCGGGAATTTTCTGCAAAGCGTTATTCGCTTGCTGAAAATTGAAAAAAATATGAAAACCTTTGAAAACAATCAAAAAGAAACGATGGTATACTTTGTTGCATCGGCTAGTTTTGAATACGTGGATTGCCTGGTGTACCAAAAATCCGAACCGAGCTAGTCATTTCCAATCTAACCACAAGGAAAGATGGCCGGCCCAAATTCGCCCAAATCGCCCGTCCATTCGACCATTGTCCCGCCGACCTGGCCGGTGACGCCGATCAGCAAGGCGCTGGTAATTTTTGATTCAAAGTTTATATGCTAATTTTTTTAGCATGATTGTTTTCAAGGGCATTTTTAGTGCTCTAGGACCTATTTTTAAGCGTTTTTCAAAGTTAAAGTTTAAAGTTCAGCAGCGGCGCTAGGCCTAAGCGACGACCGCAAAACACAGCGCATGTTAATCGCCTCCCTGCGAAGGGCGCGTTGCGGTCGCGGCGTCGGCTAAATGTATCCAGGATGGATAGCCAGAATAGACTATATTCATGCCTAGCCCGTTTCTTTAAAGCTAAGGTAGCTTCTTCTATAAGCCGAGTTTTTTAAAATCAACTACTTTAAACTATAAACACTATCAATTTTACCACAAAACTCGAACGTTTTCGTTCAGCCGGTCTCCAAGAAGCTCGTCGAGCCGTCCACCTCGAGCACCACCCAACCCAACACGTTCACCACCTCGACCCCAAAGTTGGAGATGGTACTGCATTTAACATAGCTTTTTGGTGTTAACCCCCTAATGAAACTTCTTTTAAAAGTACTAGGACATTAGGGCTCGCGCCTCCGATAAAGTTTTTTTTAATTGCGTGGCCTGGAGCTATTTTATTTAGATGTTTTAGTTAATAAACTATTCTTAAAATTGCCCAATGTTAGGTTATTCAGTAATGCTTACTGAAAATACTTTAAATGTGATACTCTCGACCTCCAAATTCGGGGCCGAGGCCCAGGCAAGACGTGACTTTCAATTGGCTTTGGCTCGGGATTCCAACAGGTCTTTCGGCGCCCGCGACACGCAACGCTTACACTCATCTTTCCATTGTTTAATGGTTTGCGACAATTTTCCGGAATGGGGTAGCGTGCGCGTTGCGTATCGCGATGGCGTGCGCGTTGCGTATCGCGATAGCGTGCGCGTTGCGTATCGCGATGGCGTGCGCGTTGCGTATCGCGGTAGCGTGCGCGCTGCGTATCGAAATAGCGTGCGCGTTGCGTATCGCGATAGCGTGCGCGTTGCATATCGCTTTAGAGTGCGCGTTGCGTATCGCGGTAGCTTGGAAATCTTTGCTAGCCGGTAGTCGTTAAGATTAGAGTGCGGCTTATTCAAATCAAATCACGACTCAAACCGGTTTGATTTGAATAAGGGCGGTTTGAATAAGAATCTGCTTTTCAAATCAAACCGGTTTGGTTTGAATAAGGATCCGTTATTCAACCAAACCGACCAGGTTTGAGTTGGTTTGAATTGGTTTGAACAACAGGAAAATCAGCATGTTAATCGATTGGATGGATGCTAATCTGCTAAGTTTTCGAGGCATCCCTTCTAAAACCTTGTGCGATCAATATAATGATGAAATTGGCATCATTTACGGGGTTTACGCACTTTTTCAACGATAGGCTTGGTATTCACAACCTTTCACAAGCATCCAAATGGTCGGGATAATCTTGGCAGCGCTGAAAGAAAAGGTCTCGAAACGATCCGCTAACCCCAAAAACCAAGCAGGAATGCTGCTGAATCACCCTAAAGTGAAGTCACAAAAGGATTTGTGCCAAAACGCAAAAATGGTGCCGAAAACCGACTGTTTCGGAGACTGGTTCTTATTCCAACCTTGTTCAAATTATTCAAACCGGTTTGGTTTGGTTTGAGTTGGGAATCCTTATTCAAACCGGGTTTGGTTTGAATAAGGATCCCGTATTCAAATCAAACCGGTTTGATTTGAATAACGGAAATCTTATTCAAACCCGGTTTGAATAAGCCGCACTCTAGTTAAGATCCATGATGATGGCTTAGCCGTTTCTTTAAGGGAAGGGCGCAGATGAAAAAATATAAACATGCAGAAATCCGTGTACATTGTAAATTAAGGTGGTCAAGGACAAGAAGCAAAGCCCCGGCACCCCGATCATCACCAAGGGTTTCCTGCGCCGTTAGTAACCGTTGGAAGAGGAGAACCCGAATTAAAATTTTTTTGTATGGAATTTAAAGCTGATTGTGTATAAATATATTTGGAGGGTATTGGGGCGACACAGAGCTCAAATTAGCTGAAAGCCCAGCACGATAAAATACACTGTTTTGCCTAGAAAGATTTTGTAGATGAGCGCAGATTGAAAAATTAAGATTGTGCGAATCGGGGGCAAAAAGTTGCATAGCTTGGCCATCGATAAGCTAAATTCTTGAAAAAAAATAGTGTGTTAGACCATTAACGGGAGAATCAAAGCTTGATTATATTTCATACAGGAAATAGCTTACTATAAAATTTCTGGTCTCGCGGCATGCAACGCGCAGGCGGGAGCGTTGCGTGTAGCAAAGCGGTAAAATCAGAAATGAGGCGCCGTTTTTTGACCATAAAATGGATAAGCAAACTCCTTTAGACATTAGGGGTGACTGGATTACAAAACAGGTTTTGGTATCTAAATTTTAGCTTTTTAGCTTGAGCTTAGTGCTTTGGTAAGATTTTTTTAGAAAACCGTGTGGTTGTATCTGGAAAATTTAATAGTTAAATGCATCCTTTCAGTTGAATGTGAATCGTTTGTTTGGAATATGCTTGGCGACTATCGTTTGAATAAGGGACTTCCGGGTTTCCGGCCGAAAACTGGAAAATCAATCTTGGTACCTCATTCTTCCACGCTCATCATCATGAGTGGTACCCCCAAAAACTCTGGTACTGACGGAAATTCGGCGCCTCCCAACGGCAACAAGCAACACATTCCCAAGTCGGACCCGGTAAGTAAAACTTATTAAATTTTAAGCTAGTCCGGTCGGTCGTCTGTTATTTATTTTACTATTATTTTACTTTTGCAGCCCAACTACCCGTCCTTCCCCACCGATATAATTTTTGGGAAGAAATCGACTTCCATGACCGCCATCTGCAACGACGACCAGGGCCCCATCACCGACCCCTCGTCGCCACCGTCTCCTGCTTCTAGCTGCCCCTCCTGGATGGAGGTCAATTTTGAAACATTTTAATTATATGGGGGTCTTCTTAAAATGTTCTTATGCAGCAGTGATACGTTTTAACTATGGTATATACGGTATATGTCGGCTACGCGGGGGGAATTTTACGCGGGGGACGGGACAGGCAGGCCTTTTTGGATGTTCTCGTTATTTTCTCGGAATTTTTTCAACGGCATTCGATAGAGCACCAAAAAATATACTAAGAGTTTTTGTTTTAGCTCAAATTAGTGTAATATAAAAAAGTTATGGCAACTACAAAAATAAGCTTTGAAAATCGGTTTGAGCGGCTGTTTTTTTGACATTCGCGCTATTTTTTCGACATTTTAAAGATGCCATTCGATAGAGCATCCAAAAATATACTAAGAGTTTTAATTTTAGCTCAAAATAATGTAATATAAAATAGTTATAACAAAAACAAGTATCAAACGTTGTTTCCATGGAAGACATGGAAGAAAATGAAGTTTTCGACATTTTCGACATTTTTACAAAATTTCTTTAGTGCCATTCGACAGAGCGTCGAAAAATATACTAAGAGTTTTGTTTGTAGCAAAAAGAAACGCAAAAAAAATAGTTAGGTCGGCCCCAACAGTCCGTCCCCCCCGCGTAAAATTTTCCCCCCCGCGTAGCCGACATATACCGGTATATACTTAAAGTAAAAAACTTTCAAAAAACGCTAGAAAAGTGTTGGAACAGTCGACATTTTGGTCGTTTTGGGTCGAAAAAATAATTTTTGAATTTTTTAATTGAATTGAAGAACGACTGCGTGATAGCCTGTTTGCTCCTCCAAACTTGCAAAGCTGTCCTACTTCTGTAAATATTGGAATTTAGGTCGATTCGGATGGGACGATCCCGGGAACTCCGCCGGGCCCCGGCACCCCCATCCCATCCAAGGGCAAGTACGACAGGAAATGAATCGACGATATTAACAGATTAAAATCGGATGTTACTTTATGTTTTGGGATTGATTTAATAAATGGTGCATAATAAACGTGACTGGAATTAATGACTAAAAATGCGCATTAGGTTTGAAAACCTTTGGAGTCTGGAATAAGCACTCGATTGAGAAAAATTCGATTCCTTTGTGGTTGACCGTTATGATGGTATCAAGCTCATCCTAACATAGAAAGTGTTAATTTTAATAAAAACTATCCTTTTATTTCCGTTGCATAAATAAGTTAAAATAAGTTAAACCAAGCAATGGGCCAGAAGCCTGAGATGGCAGTGATAAGAAAATGATTAGCTAGTAACTTTAGTGTATTACATGATTTCCATCGACCATTTCCTGTTTTCCTGGTATAAAAGGAAAATCAGGGGAGCGGGATTCATTTTCTGCCCCGTCATGCAGTGCCGCCTCGACGCGCGCGCGGTCCAATCGGAGCCGTCTTTGGGCTCTTCCCCGTTGGTGCCCCCTTTCACGGTCAGTTTCCGGATTCAAATTACCTATGCAAATTCTTATCTAGTCCGGCTAGCTCTAGTTGCCCCCGTTCGAGCCAGGTTTCCGACTCTTTCACATCGTTTTTACCTCACTAATTTTTATTTCATCGAAATCTAATCTTATTCCACAAAACTTGCCAACATTTTGGCCTTATTTAGAAGCCGAGAGAAAAATTCGGGACCGGTTTCGGGGCGGGGGGGATGACTAGGGTCTTTTTTCAAAAATTTTCTGGATATCTGGGTACTGGACTGTTAGCGAGGGGGGGGGTGGGAACCGAATCTTCCCAAGTAATCCCGTGCGGCGTCAAAACGAAATACAAAACGATTTCTGGGGTATTTTCTGCAGTTTCTGGATGTAAAAACTCAAAACAAATTCAGGAGCTTTTTGAAACATTTTTGACTATTCGAAAATTTTTAAATTTCGTATGTTTAAATGGCATTAAAAATGGTACGGTATTAAAGGCATGAAAAATGAGCCAAAAATGGTATGAACTCAGCCAATTTTCAAAATGTTTTATTTTTATTCATATAACCGTCTAGCAATCGTAAACTATACATTCTACATAACTAAACATTTGAAAAACACATTCGTTATTTGCAACAGGTTTTGAAAGCAAAAATTGGTTTTTTTCCTAGGTCAAAAATCCCCTTCCCGCTAACAGTCCTGTGCCGGTGTTTTAAATAGTCTTCCGCCCGAAAGTATTCAAATTATACATAAAACTGTTGGAAAAAAAGCGTTTCCAGAAAATAGGAAAAAAGTTGATTCACCACGTGTAATGCGACAACCCCGAATTTTAAGCGCATCATTCCGGGGACCCTCGTCATGATCGGGTCGGCTGTCGGCCTGGAGTATATGACCGACGGGCCTGTTCTGGACATTAAGGTTGGTCCATTGATTTGTATTCTGGCCAGTTAAATCCAGCTCGCGTTGTGTTTCGTACGATTGAGATGTTTCTAGGTGGAGATGATGTCTGTCGATGAGACACAGATGGACGTGTCGGTGGCCCAGGACAATTATATGGAAGTCGACGGCGTCGACAACGTCACCGTGCAGTTCGGGCAAGTTGTCCTCGACCACCGCAACTACGACGTCTACCACCACGACTACAACAACAACAACCACTACCGCCACGACGACCACTAATGGAACAATTGACTTCTTCTGTAGTTTTTCTCGGAATTGTGTATAAAAATTTGATATGATTTTTTTAATTACCAAGCTTTTAAGCTGACAGAGGTATCCATAGCAGTGATTAATTTTCGACATAAAAGTGAAAATAACTAAAAACCCGGAAAATGAGTGGCTAAATTCACTTCCGGTTCTTTCGCCCTATCGGGGGGGGGGGGGGATGGGTGTCGGGGGCGGGCAACCACATTCTTTGTTAAAAAATATTTTCAACTTTGCAATTTTTTGTTAAAAAAGACAACAAATATCGAAATTTCGCCCAAAAATGGCTTGTTTTGGCCAAATTGCGACGTTTTAATTTGTCAATATCAATATAAATAATGTCTTTGATTCAATAAAAGCGCCTTAAATACTTGCTATAAACTTCTAGGGATTTCTAAGCCTACATCAAAAAATTTTCGCCCCCCCCCGCCCCCACGGTAATGCGAAAGAAGGCATCTGGTTCTAAGTTCGTATCTTGCTGTCTGCTGCTGTGTGTTGATGGAGGAATTATTTGAGGCCTTTTCACCGCTGTGCGGCGATCGACGCTATGGTGTACCGGTTAGCACGCTAGGCTGCGGGGTGAACCCAGGCTGGTTCGAGTCCCGGCCGCGACAAAATCTTTTGCTTTTTGACCAAATGCATCTTCTCGAGTCCTTTACAGGGGCTTGTGCTTTAAAAGGAGGAGCTTGTGCTGATTAGTGGAATTCAGACAGCTTGTCTCATCATTTCCTACACTTTTGGAACATCCCGTCGTAATTTTTCTACAATATTTGGCTCTTAAAAAGTCTTGTGCTTTGTTTTTTAGGGGCTGGGACCTAGAGAAAAAATTTGAGTGAATTCATATTGGTATTGATAATTTGGTAAAGCAGTCGATTTTGAATGCGACATTATGGGCTTCCGGAGCATTGGGCAGAAAAATCCGCATGGAGACATTCATTCCATCATAATTCCCTCCTATGGCTTACCCTGCCAAACTGCCAGAGTGGCCAGTTTCTCCCATTCTCCCATCTCCCATCCCATCCCAGGTAAGTTTTCATTTTCTTTATTTAACAACTTTTTTGCTCATTTATTAACTGAAAAAGGGGCTTTAGTTTCGAAATTGATTATTTTGTGTTATTCTTTTTGTGTTCTTAGATTTTTTAGTTATTCCCTGTCTATTTTTCGCCTTGTTAGCAATAAAAAATGTAGTTAGGTATGTACAAAATTTTTTGAAAAGTTGCGATTCAGGCTGAGATGCTGAAGAAGCCCGACAAGCCCGACAAGCCGGACCAGGAGGACAAACCGGCGAAGAAGAAGAAGGAAAAGAAGGAGGAAGAGGAGGAGAAAAAGAAGGAGGACAAGAAAGAGGACAAGAAGATCCCGCGCGCGCGTCGCCTTCCCGGTACGCCCATCCCGGAAGTCGGATTCTATGAATATTAATTGATATTGAGGCCATGAGGCTATGATATTGTATGTTAATAAATGTCTTGGTTGAGTAGCAACACTTTGAGCCTTTCAAAACACAGTTTTTTGGCACCATTACACTTCACGACAGCGCGACATAGGATGACCGACGTCTCCGAACGGTTCAGAGGCAAAATTATTGTTGTCTGCTTATATATTGCACCGAGATAAATGATAAAAATTTTTATTCCTTTAAGCCAGCAGGAAATAGAAATAATAAGTTGATATTTGAGATCGATGCCGGACTTTCCAATATTAGAACTCGTCCGGCCTGGCCTTGATGTCGATATCGCGCAGCACCACCGTCCACGGGTTTTCATTACTGAAAAAAAATTGTTTATTAAGGTCTTGAGAAGGGAGCCTAGAAATCTACCACGAAAACTAGTTTAAAAGCGGAAAAATTCGTTGTTTTGCATTGTAAAAGTTAGTTCAAATTATTAAGCTTAGTTTCCGGTCCTAATTTTTCCAAAACCTACTTCATCTTCTCCTGCTCCTCGGGTGTGAAGTCGTTCTCCAGTATCCAGACCTCACGGATTTCTTCTACGGATTTTCCCCGTGCCATATCTGCCACGGCTTCAGCGCATTTGTCAAACAGACATTTGATGTCCATGTAGTTTGCCGCCTGGAAAATCATTATTATCGATATCAATTGTATTTGCTTTTTCTATTTATAATGTTGTGGCTTTGGTTGATAGCTTAATTTAAGAATAGTATTTAAGAATAGTACTTAATAAGAATTGCATTGTTTTAGAATTAGTTAATTGGCAATAATTTTTATTAATAATATTATTAACAATTTTGAACTTACGGAGAAGACGTTGAAGAGTTGATCAGGAGACATGGCGGTGATAAATTCTCGTTCCCATCTCCTCATCTCTGCGTCTCTCTCATTCAGCCACCATTTCTCCTCCTCCCAAGCGGGCATCGTCTTGTGATGCTCGCACCATTTGACTACCTGAAAAACAGCATTGTTATAGTAAATCTGATTTTTAATAAAATTTAAAATTAACCTTCTTATTAAGTTTGGAAATCAATAATCGAATTCAATCGTTTGATTAGAAAAGCGCGCCAAAAATGGCATTTTGACGTCAGCTAGTTTATCTGATTTAAATTCCAGAATTTAATATATGTAGTTGGCACCTAGATTAATTAATTTAAGACAGTTTGTAAACATTAAAATAATTTGAAAATAAAATCAAGCTTACCAGCGCCAATGCCTCGCTACCGACATTGATCAGCGGAATTGGCCTCATAGTCTTGATCTCCTCGTCGTCATCGATTCCCAGATCCTGAACAATAATTAATTGAATTAACGCTAAGAAATAGAGCTGTAAAGTAAAAATTAATAATAGATATAATTAAACTAAAATTACCGGAACCATCTGTTTGACGAGGACTGAAAGGTGGGCGGCCGATTTTGAGAGGGTGAATTCGCGGCCTTCTTTCGAGTGAAACTGTAATCGGATCGTAAAACTCAGTAATAAATGTATTATTTAAGTTGTAAAAGCAGAAATAATTACCAAAATTGAAAACATAAAGTTACGTTTCTTGCAATTTTTCCATCCTGGTCCTATGGACGGCTTGAAGGAAATAGGATTAGAAAAAATTTAGTTTCAACGAAACCTATAAAAAATTCAAGACAACTAAAGCAATTTTTTGCTACCGTAACCATACCAGATTTAATTAAATAAAAATGAAAAAAACATACCCTATAGCAGACCTCCTCCTTGGCCACCATCGATCCCTCGACGTTTTGTTCAGCAGTTGGTGACATTTTGGTTGTTGTAGACGAAATTGAAGAGTAGAGATCCAGTTGATAGTTGTTGTGACTTTGTAATGATTCGCAGGTAATGCCGGGATTCTTATATATCATAGAACAGATGTGTAGACAGTGCCTCCACATCTGCATCCGCCCAGTTTTGGGTTACCTTTCTCACTATTATGGGGGTGCATTAATAGAGCACATTATTAGAGTGATAACTGATGCTCAGGCAGTAGTGCTCACATTTGCTCTGCACAACCGGAGCGATATCCCCTCAGTTAGTATAGCTGGTGCATTAATAGGCCATTATGGTTTGATTTTTAAACTTAGGCCGAATAAAAGGATTTATTAGAAATATAATTACGATTTTATTGTTTAGTTTACCGGCTTTAGACCGAATCTCCCCCCCACACGACACGTCCCCTTAAAAAATTCTTAGGTGCGAAAAACAAGGATACCATATTTATCGATTTTTCTGACAATTTTGAACAATAAAATTACTCTTATGCTTTTAGTCCTTGCGCCCCATGGGGTTTGCGTTGATTTCATCTTGGGAGCACTCTTCTTTCTTCGTGCATCGTCCATCAGCCCTACGCACCAAGCCCGATTTGCATAAGCAAATGTGCGACGTCATTTCACGGGTGCACGGGAACTAAATCAGCAATTTTAAAGGTAAAAAATGGTGATTAATAAGAATTAATGGTTTTATTAATAATTGTGAAAATTAATGGATTTTTAAGGGTTGTTAAAGATACTCCAAATTCATGAGGTACGCATAAAAAGCTCGATTTTACACTTACTGAAGTGCCGCTGCAGATTTCACGATCGCAAGCGCCGCTCATTTCAAGGAATTCTTCACCCTCTTTGCAGTCTATAATAAATTCATGTAAATTTTTATGAATTTCAGGCTATAGTAAATTTATATAGTAAACACAGATTTTCAATTCATTTTCTTAGCATATATTGTCCTTGATTATTAATCGCTTACCTTCCTTCTTCTGCCCTCCCGAATGTCTCCAATACCAAGCCGAAGTCACGGAAACCAGGCAGAAAAACACGAACAGCAACCTCATCTCCTCAAAATAGCAATAATACCATTTTTTTAGGTCAATGAAAACAATTGTAAACAAAAATAGCTAGCACCTCTATCTCCTAAAAATAAAAAAATCATTAAAAATTTGAAAATGCACTTGTTCTGTTTGAAACAAGAGTGAAGTGGGGTTTTATAACGCGTAGTGGTGTTTATGACATGAAACGTTGTGTTTATAGTCGACTCAGCTTTTTTGGCGGGAAACCGAAAAGATGGAACGGGTGATCCGGGAGAATCGATGAGGACAGAAAAAACAAACGAAATGAAAGGATCGGGTTGCTCGATCAAAATATAGCAAACAGATAGAATTTAGTTATTTGGGCAAACCAGGCAATTACAACCTGGCTGAAAAAAGTGACGCGAAGCAAATACTTAGGGTTAAGTCTAAGCCTACGCCTGAGCTGAAGCCGGAGCCGGAGCCTGAGCCGGGGCCTGAGCCTGAGCCTAAGTCAGCCCAATCGAAGAAGCCAAAAGTGAAGCCCCAAGTCTAAGCTTCCAGAAGCGTCCACAATAAAGTTATTTATAACAGAAGGAAACTTAAAATCCGGCTGGTACAAACTTGCACTAAACGGTTAGCAGCATTTTATTGCAAAAAAAAAAATAGTTCCGACAGGACCGCCGAACCTAATGCTCTTTTAAATGTTCCTGGTTCTTTCCGGATTTCCGGTGCATCTGTATGCAGTTGGCGGCCTGGAGTTGAACGTTTCCGGGAAGCTTTGCCTCGTGAAGGGTCCGTAGTGGGAACGTAATATTTAAAACGAAAGTTTAAAACTTTTCCACAAATACTTTTAGCTTTTCATCATCATTTAGCCTGGACGAAAAAGAAATCGAAGTAATAAAATCAAACCAACAAAAATGAAACTCATAAATTGAAGAATAAATAAAAATGTCACATAAAACTGTTTAATCGCTACCTTAAAAATCACCCCTAGTCGCCTATTAATGCGCCAGCCACAATAAGTGAGATGCGATGGATTTGGTTGCGAAGAGTAGATGTGAGCACCACTCTCTGAGCATCAGTTATCACTCTATTAATGTGCTCTATTAATGCATACCAAAAAATGGTGAGAAAAGTCATCCAAAAGTGGGCGTATGCAGATGTTTCCACACTTCCTACACATCTGTTCTATGGTATATAAGAAACACGGCTTAAGCTGGAAATCGTTACAAAACCTCAACAGCTACAGCATCTACTCTTCAATTTCTCTTCATCTACCGATATGTCAGCAACTCTGGAACAAAACGCTGAGGGATCGATGATGGTCAAGGAGGAGGCCTGCTATAGGGTATGTTTTAGTTTTATTTTTATTGAATTAACTTTGGTATGGTAACGCTAGGAGAAATTGCTCAAAATTTTTTCGAATTTTGTATAGGTTTGGTTGTAACTAAATTTTTTCTGTTCCTATTTCCTTGAAGCTGTCAAGAGGAATACGACTGAAAAATTGGAAGAAACGTAACTCGATGTTTGCAACTTCTGGCTAATTATTTGTTTTGGCTTTTACAATATAAATAAAACCTTTTTTGCTTTTTTACCGAGTTTTACGATCCGCTTTCAGTTCCACTCGAAAGAAGACGACGAATTCACCCTCTCGAAATCGGCCGCCCACCTTTCCGTCCTCATCAAACAGATGGTTCAGGTAATTTTAATTTAATTATTTATATCAGTAATTTGAATTTATACCTTTATTTCTTAGCATTAATTAAATTTAATATTTTTCAGGATTTGGGAATCGATGACGACGAGGAGATCAAGACCATGAGGCCAATTCCGCTGATCAACGTCGGCAGCGAGGCCTTGCAGCTGGTAGGCTTTATTTTATTTTCAAATTATTTTAATGTTGACAAATTATCTTAAATTAATTAATCTAGGTGCCAATTACATATATACTTATAGAATTTAACTCCGATAAACTAGCTGCCGTCAAAATGCCATTTTTGGCGCGCTTGTCCAATAAATCAATTTAATTTGATTATTGATTTCCGGACTTAACACGAAGCTTAATTTGATATTGTATTCAAATTCGCTTTAATATAACAGGGCCTTTTCGGGTAGTCAAATGGTGTGAGCAACACAAGACGATGCCCGCTTGGGAGGAGGAGAAATGGTGGCTGAATGAGAGAGACGCAGAGATGAGGAGATGGGCACGAGAATTCATCACCGCCATGACTCCGGATCAACTCTTCAACGTCTTCTCCGTAAGTTAAAAGTACTATTTTAATCATAAAGCTACTGTCGAACAATTTATGCAATGAAACAATTAGCATTTTCTAAAACTCTCCAAAAAGTTTTGCAAAATTTAGCACCAAAGGAAACTCTAAAACCTTCGATATTTTCCATATTTTTCGGGATTTTTCGGGCGCCATTCGATAGGGCGATAATAAAATAGTGATGGCAAAAAAAGTAAAATTCGAATAACCTTGCAAAAGTTAGCGATTGTATGATAAATTTAACGAAATAAAAATATTGAATCTATTACAGGCGTCAAACTACATGGACATCAAATGCCTGTTTGACAAATGCGCTGAAGCCGTGGCGGATATGGCCCGGGGAAAATCCGTAGAAGAAATCCGTGAGGTCTGGATGCTGGAGAACGACTTCACACCCGAGGAGCAGGAGAAGATGAAGTAGGTTTTGGAAAAATTAGGACCGAAAAATAAACTTAATAGATGATGCTAACTTTTACAGTGTAAAACAAATAATTTTCTAACTTTGAAACTTTACTTTAAATTTTCGTGGTAGACTTATAGGCTCTCGTCTTAAAACTTTAATAAACAATTTTTTTCAGTAATGAAAACCCTTGGACGGTGGTGCTGCGCGATATCGACATCAAGGCCAGGCCGGACGAGTTCTAATATTGAACAGTCAAGTATTGATGAAAATATCAACTTATTATTACTATTCTCTGCCGGCTTGAATAAAATAATTTTATACCTTATCTCGATACAATATACCATCAGCCATACATAATTTTGCCTCTGAACGAGTTGACAACGCCGGCTTAAGCTTAAGCACTCTCACTTTCAAAACTTCAAAAAATGATAGCGGCCAAATACGTGCTGTGACCGAATTCTACATCGCGCGAACTTTAAGATTCCGCTAGTTTTAATAATTGCTCCCTTTCTCTCTCTCTCTCTCTCTCTCTCTCTCTCTCTCGCTCTCTATCACGCTCCCTCTCCCCCTCTCTCTCCCTCTCTCTCACCCTCTCTTTGACTCTGTCTCACGCTCCCTCTCTCCCTCCCTCCCTCTCTCTCTCTCTCTCTCTCTCTCTCTCTCTCTCTCTCACTCTCTCCACTCTCTCTCCCCTCTCTCTCACGCTCCCTCTCTCCCTCTCTCTCTGCTCTCGAGTAGTCGCGAAGTTCTTGTAAGCGATTCTTGTAATTAAGCTTTTGATTTTGAACGCTGATATCTTTCCTGTTTTTCTGATCGAAATATCCACATATTCCGCTATTTGTTAGAGTTGTAGCGGCAAGTTAGTCGTCGTGGATGCGTGTGTGTATGGGGGGTGTGTTCTTCCCGCGACCTCGGGCTCATGATAGCGCATTCCATCCTTGGTGGAGCTCCCCCCATCCTTCCTCCGTACGCCTCGACCTGCGAGCCACACCCACCCTCAGTCTCCCCCGCCTTTCTAAAAGTGGAGAGTTTGTAATGATTACCCGATCCGTCGATTGCAAAGGGGAGGGCGAGACGAGGTTGAGACTCGTGCAGAAAAAGCGCCCATTGGCGATCTGGAGGAAGGAGAAACGCTTTCTGAGGAGGGGAGCACCACGGATTTTCGATGACCTTTCCAGGGAGGAGCACCTTGTTGGCCTCACACCATCAGTATTGCTCCTGCTCTTGCTCGAGGGAGAAGGGTGGGGCATAATTTTTGATCAGTTGCGAGCAAGCGTCTTTTTTATTTAAATCTATTTAATCTAAAAATTAAATGATCTGAAATAGGAATAAATCCATAAATACTTCGTCGTCTTAGAATCTTTCAGCTAAGTAGGCTTAGCAGGCTTTGCTTCTTCGGTTTGGACGTGGTCCTAGGTTGGACTTAGGCTTAGGCTTGGCGTAGGCTTTGCTTAGGCTTGCTCAGGCTTAGCTCAAACGTAGCTTCGCCTTGGCTTACGCTTACCTCAGGCTTACTTAGGCTTAGTTTAAGCTTGGATTAGGCTTATGATGCGCTTAAGGTTGGTCTTAGGCCTAGGCTTAGGCTTAGTCTTGCTTAAGACTATGTCAAGCTCAAAATGTGCTTACTCGGCTTTGTAAGAAAAGCTCAGTTGCTTAGGCTTCGGCTTAGCTTTAAGTAAGCTTTAATTCGCAAATGCTCAGGCTGAGCATGAGTTTTTGAGGCTAAGGTTTAGACTCAACTGAAGCTCACTGCGTTTAGCATCTCAGGCTTTTCCTCCGGGTAAGCCTCATGCTCAAATTTCTAAAAACCTGACTCACAATCAAATTCTTCCCCCTTTTTTTCCCTCCCCACCCTGTTCTTTGAGGCTTTGTCCTCGTGAGTCTGACTCAGTTCCTCTACCCAATGGTGTGTATCCAATACAGGGCAATGCTCATTCCAGGGCACACCCCCCGGAAAGTTGGGTCTCCTTGCGTGGATCATCTTGGGCGCGGAAATAGCCGGCCTTCAACTACTCACACCCGCCCGTTTCTTGCCCCCTGTCAATTTCTTGATGTCCCCCTCCCCTCCCTGACTGGATATGGGGTGTGGTGTGTTGTTTTTCCGGTTTTTGGCCGGGCGTCGAGTAGGATTTTGTGGAGTAGGTTGAACGTGTGAAATTTGCTAGATGCTTGGGAACATTTTTGAAGGCTGGATTCAGTTTTTAAAGCACTCAGAATACCTTAAAAACCTAAAACACCCGATTTTTTAGATTTAGATCGAAAACCGGATTTTTGTAGTTTAATAAATTTAGTTAAGACAGTTTTTCGACAGTTTCAAGCCATTTTAGTGTTTACAGAGACTAATGGGCTGGAACCGATAGTTTTCCAAGCTT